CTACAAATATTCAACTCTACTCAATTACATTAAGGTAAGAAAAACTGAATAATCGTGGACAAGAGATAATAAACTGTTGATATTCTCTTGTCGTAGATGAATGTTGAAAAAATTGTTACATTAATTTTGTTTGTTTGCAAGGTTGCGCTGTAGTGACGAGTAATCTCCAATTTTTTTGCTTTATAGGTTTAGTTAAGGGAAGAAATCTCAGTCGAGTTTTGCCATTTTATCGTGGTTAGCTGCATAAGCTATATTAAGAAATTTGTGGGAATCGCGATGTGCGACCTTTTTTCTGTTTATCTCCGGCCACTGATCGATCATAAAAAGGTCCGATCTGAAGTGACGCGCAGGCAAGGTCTCACCTACTGACCGACATGGTTTCGTAGTACAAGTCTAACCACAGCTTTGTAGACCGGACTACCAACTTTTGAACTAAATTCAATTTTAATTAAGAATTTGAGGAAAAGTGTTTTCGTCGTGTCGCTTGTTTATCAAGAGCTTGAGCAAACAGAAATTTATGCAACTTGAAACGTGCCGTTGCTATGATGGTTAATAGTTGAACGGAATTCAAGTTAAATTTAGAAGTTGAGATAATATCTTTTCGTCATATTGCTTGTTTTCGCGAACCTGGATAAACAAAAACTTATGCAACTTGAAGCGTGCCGTTGCTATGATTATTAATAGCTGAACGGAATTCAAGTTAAATTAAGAAGTTGAGATAAAATCTCTTCGTCGTATTGCTTGTTTTTCTCGAGCCTGAACAGACAGAAACTCATGCAACTTAAAGGATGCCGTTGCTTTGATGTTGACGTCATTTATTTGTGAGCTTTGTATTTGCAGTTTTTCGATCGTTAAGGAAGTAAACTTGGCTGACTCGATTTCTCACGACATCGTAACCTTGCGTTAAGACATAAAGGCTCGAGTTCAGAGTTGCAAAGCGGAGATTTTACAAAAGGGGCAATCGAAAATAAGGTTGCATCGGTATTAGACCGATGAAAAGAACGTCAAAGCGGTCTGTCTTTTGGGCGGACAGCCAGTATATTTCTTCGAAGGTAAATTGATCGCCCAACCATGATCCGTGTCTCGAAAAGGTGAACTGGGTACGAGTATATAACGAGCCTATTAAATTTGCGGACTGAGGTTCCCGGCCCACCCAGAAATTTCTGAGAAAATTATAAAACTGGTTTTCTTCGCAGAACACATTCAGTCGTTGCGTTGGGCTAATCTTATAATTTGATTTTCGGATATTGTTAGCTTATTACCTACTTCAGATTTCCATCGACAATTGACAGTCAATCTACAAATATCCAACTCTTCGCAATTACATTAAGGTAACAAAAATAAATCAAAGCAACAACTAAATGACGTCACCATCGAAGAACGGCATGCTTTAAGCTGCACGAGTTTCTGTTTGTTCATGCTCGTGAAAAACAAGCGACACGACGAAAAGATTTTATCTCAACTCCTTAACTTAACTTGAATTCCGTTCAACTATTAACCATCATATCAACGGTACGCTTCAAGTTCCATGGATTTCTGTTTGTTCAGGCTCGTGAAAAAAAAGCGACTCGATGAAGACATTTTTTCTCAACTTCTTAATTGAAATTGATTTCAGTTCAACAATTAAACTCGCAAAAGTTGTTAGTCCGGTCTCCAAAGCTGTGAAACAGTTTCGGTTTGTAGTTGCGACTTGTGCGTCACTTGAAATCGGCCTATTTATGGTTGATCAGTGGCCAGAGATAAACAGGAAAAAGTCCGCAAATCGTGATTCACAAAAATATCAACCTTTTTTTTCCCAGATTTCTGTCAGCCATCACCACTTAATCTACAAAAATTCAATTCTTTTCAATTACATTAGGGTAAGGAAAACTGAATAATCGTAGACAAGAGATGATAAACAGTTGATATTCTCTTGTCGTATATGAATTTGAATAAAATTATTATATTAATTTTATTTGTTTGAGTAATCGGATACTTGTGCTTGCGCAAAAATATCTGGGAGCGCTACGGCGCAAACATTGCAAGTTGCTTGTAGGAAATATATGGCGAAAGTTTGTTTCGAAGTCTTAAAAAAAGATTTTGGAGAGAGATCTTCGCTTTTTCGCCGCACTTTTATCATAAATGGGTTAAGATAATGTTGATAGAGGGAAGTAAAAGTTTTCGTCGGAACAACCATGAAATATGCTATAAATAGACCGATAGACATCCTAGCCTAAGATTTATTGAATTCGTTATCGCATAATGGTCTTGAAAAATTATAAAATTGATCATAAACTGATTGCTAGGAAATAACTCATTTAAGTCTTTTTCGTTATATTTGTATTTAAAAAAGATCCAAAGGTTCTTAGTGCCACATTCTTCCTCCAACTCCCTGGAGAATCTTGTCAGGAGAAGCAAGATCACTGAAACATCCGCAAAAATTGTGGAAACGTATTCAAATGTACACCGCTCCTAAAGCAACCCATTTATACCTACTCATCGTCACAGCATAAAGGGTTCAGTATTGAAGTGATTATCAACGCTGATTCGTACTCATTGATAAAACAAAAACGAAATGTAGAAAAGAAACTAGAAGTGGACTAAACACACAGACAGGATGCTGGAAAGGCTTAATTTAGTTATTTCTTGGTGATTTGTAGCTAATATTTCTGAATTTCGAGACCATTACGCGATGTCAATTTCACAATAAGCCTTACACATGGAGAAAAAAATCGGTAGATTCTATGGTGACTACATGTGTAAGCTATTGATCAAACAGTTGGAGTAAATCGCAATAATCATAGCTGGCTTCCAACCGTAGTAGAGCCCAATTTTAAGTGACTACTGACCGGTGTTTTAAGGACTGTTCCAAACTCAACGTACATTTGTACATGGGAACAACTAAATTTAGATTTAATTGTTATTCAAACTGTAAGTTAGGATAACAATTTTTGAGTATAGAATGGCTTCTTTACCACAAACCTGAATAAACAGGAACCTTGAAACGTTGCTATGGATGCTTTCGTTTATTTTTTGATTCCGGTTTTGCCGGTTTTATGGTCGTTAAGGAAGTAACCGCCGGCTCGACGTCTCAGGTGCCCAGTGTGACGTATCGCAACAATTTTCCGGGTAATTGAAAAATGGAATAAGCTTCGTAGAAATCGTTCAATGAATCACTCGTCATTTGAAAATGAAAGTCTCTCAACCTAACTGGATGCATCCTCTTTATGGCAGGAATCCGTAAAATTGCATTGCTGCTCCACTGCCTGATCACAAAGTTTTTACATCACCTTTAAAGCAAAAATGCTATGGACTACTGAAATATTATTGGAAAACCTTTAGCCGGGAGTTGAAATTTATATGCAATTTTTATATTGAAATTTTTTTTAGGTCAACACATGGGCAAGTTGGTCTGTAAACAGCGAAGATGAAGACATCGTTTACCGCCTGGATCAGTTTGTCTCTTTTCTTTACAATCCTTTGGACCACACAAGGTGAATGAAACTTGATTTTGCATAAATAAACGTTTTATTACGTTAGGCTACCAGATTTGTCTTCTTTTCAACTTAGAGTTTAACCTGTTTTGAGAGTTGAATGAGCAAATGTTTAAAACCCATCAATAACGAAAAACACGAAAATTAAATGAACGAGTTCGTTTTCATCAGTTGATCCTTGGATCCACTCACGTAGAGCGAAACGAGATAAAAGCATTGTCGAACGTCATAACATAATTTAGACGCTTGGCGGGTAAGTTGTGTCAACCCTTGGCGAGTTAAGTTGTTTCCGGGTCCAAAACATGCACAGTTGAGTCGCAAAACTTTCAAACTAGGGTATTGTTGTGAGTGTGAAACCGTTCATACGTTCACCTAGTGAGACTTATAGCTTCACTTGCCTTTTTGTTTTCTGCAGCAGTCTAAAAGTTTCTCATAATCAGCAAAGATGACTTCTTGGTGATTTTCGAGGGGGGAGGGGGGGAGCAAAAGGTATAACGAGTGCATACTACAAGCGACTGTCAATGTTAATATGACTGTTAATTTGCACTTTAAAAGTAAAAAAATGAGGTACCAGGCACAATTTTATCACATTTAATTTCATCCATTTCCGCTTTCATTTTATGCACTCTTCGAGGGTGTTCCTTAGGGGACTCGATTGTTGTTCAGTTGTGTGAAGCAACAAATAACAAAATTTCAAAATAAGGTAGGAAGGGACAGTTTTCACAGGAAGTAAATTTGTCCTACCGATCATTTTAAAGTCTAAAAAAATAGGGATTACAAAGGCTGTTTTTTCGCTTTTAGCACATTTCTGTTTCTAACTTAGAATTACAACTTTCTTGGTAAAAAGATTGAATTTATTTCTAATTTCAGCCTCGATGGCGAACCCAATACCTACTACCGAGGTAAGTTAATACATGTCATAATGAAGTTCAAGCCAAGCCTTTAAATCTAAGAAAATATGGTAAATATTTAGTAAATACCTCGTCTATGAGCTATCTTCTTTCATTCGTGACGGTTTATCGCTTTAAAAAGGTGTTACACTTTTAGACCAATACGAGAAACTCGTGGAAAATGTTAGGCGATGGGCAGTTGAACATCATCTGAAAATGTTGCGTGGTTGAACATGCTATTCGAGTTTTAAACAAACATCTTATCCTCTTAGTTCCTCATTTATCATAATTCTGTGATCCTAAGCTTTACATGTCGTTAAACAATATCTTATGATACACTAGTGAGTGTTGTAAACAAAAAAACCAAAGCAATTGAAGCGGTAAAATAGAACAAAAGACGAAATCACTGGGAACCAACGACCGCTCAAGAGTAAAACATGTCACATGTTTGATAACGTCCTTAAAATAAATAATTTCGATTAGAAATTGAAAATTGCTTTCACACTTACTCATGATTGATCATTCCTTGCAGATCACCGTTACCCTAAAGCTCGAATGGAATGTCACCGTCATTGATAAACCCATTCCAGCGAGTTATACCACAAAGGTTCCCAACGGAACTCTTCTGATTGACATTATGAACAAAGCCGCTGACAGCGAGAAGCAAGGGCCTTTTGACGAATACAAAAGCACGTATTACGGCGTCTTGGGTTATTTCATCACCACCATAAATGGCACAGAAAACGATCCTAGCACGAACTCCTACTGGTTGTTTTATGATGAGCAAACCGGAGCGTCACTTGAATTTGGGATGAGCTCGTACCTGCCATTTAACGTTAAAAATTCCAAGAAACTCAAGTCACGGTAATAATGCGAGTGCTAGTGGAAGCTGTAAAACCCATTCCAATGATCCGGTTATTACCCAGTACACGCTCAATATGTTTGGATGTGGCCCCGAGAAACTGGGTTCAGTACACAAAAGCCATGGCCTATTTGTAAACTTTGTGGAAAAATGAAGAAAATAGGAATAGCCTAAAAAAGGGGCGTAAAAGGAAAAGGCAACGACTCAAACCACGGAAGTTTCCTTTAATTAATTTTTACGGGGACATAGCTGCGGGCAATCCCTCTCCATATTAAAAGTTTATTCCGATGGAAAGACTTCACAGTTCCGGTTCAAATTCCCTACCCTACAGAGGCAAGGTACAAATTCCCCACCCCCGGGCACGAACGACAGTCAAGTGCCCGTGGGTTACCTGGGGGAAGGATGTTGAGGCTTCGAATTGATCGACGCGTATGCCTCGACGTGGTTAACTGAACTAGGAAAATTCTGGGCGAGCGAGGTTGTATCTACTTAGTTTTCCCGTGATCATGTAAGAGCAAGTAATTCGTTATTAACGCCATGTTCAGCCATTTTCTATCAGGATTTAGCAGCGAGGCATAATCGAAGCAAAGAAGTAGAGATTAGTGCTAGCTATAAAGAACGAGTCTAACCAAAATCAGATGTGCTCCCAGGACTTTCTGAATGGTAATGACAAAACATCGGTATAATTTTCAAGGGGAAAAAAGTAAGAAAATTTGCCATTTTAACATAACTGTTTATTAAATAGGAACTCGATGTAACTAAATGCTTTGCCCTTGATGTGGTATTCCGTCACAGTTTTAAGACTTATAACAAATTTCGAATGAACGCCACTTCTCCAGTCGTCTGAGATCTGCCTTTTCATTGTTTTACCGAAGTCGCGTGTACTTGTGTTCACTCTGTTAATTTTGAAGATTCTCAGACCTACAATGCTAGACATAAACAAGAAGAATACAAAATAAAAATGAGAATTTAGCAAAGGACATTTCACTAGGTGGCTCTTATCCCTCTCCGTTTCACTGAGGTTGAATTGAAATTTGAAATGTTGATTTCTGAAGAGGAAGTAAAACCGAAGGACCTGGAGAAAAGCCGTTGGAGCAAAGACGAGAACCAACGACAGACTCAACTCACATGTGACGTCAGGTTCAGGAATCGAACCCAGGCCACAGAAATGGGAGGCGAGCACTATCACCACTGCACCATCCCTGCTCCCCAAAAATACATGCGGGAAACGATGGGACGATATTGAGAAGTTTTGCGGAGAAGGTCCAACCAGCGATTTTGCATGTACTAATGTGCTTTCATATCGTTCTAGGTTCCACCCTCTGCGATCACAGTTACCATTGCAATAGAGTGGAATCCGGACGTTACCATGAAGCCCATCCCTCCTCCCTACACCACCAAAGTCGCCAGCGGCACGACACTTACAGAAATCATCAACAAAGCTGCAGATAAAAATCCCAAGGGCCCTTTTAATAAGTATTCATCCGCATATTATGGCGGACAGGGACATTTTATCACTGCCATAAACGGTACTCAAGAGCCGCCAGTTATTTTACATAACTTAGATTAACGGATTCCACTATTTTTCGCTTCAAGATGTTAGTGCAGTTATGAAGCAAATTCGGAGTCCGAGTTGGTTATTACAAAAACTGCTTGAACTGCAAAACCTCAAAAATGGAACAAAGATCCCCATCCTACGCTCAAATTCCACTTCCTTTCTTCAGTATAACAAGGAAGATGTGCGATGGCCAAAATGCACCATTTTGGCATCATTAAAAATGGTGGAGAGGTGGGGAGGGGATAGCGCAAATGTTACATTTACTTACGTCAGGATAGTTGGATCAAGTATAGATTATCACCGCTGTAACGCTTCCTGTTTTGTTTTCTAAGGATTCTACCAAGGACTGGCTCTGGAAGATTTACGACAAAGCAACTGGAAAACTCTGGTCACCCTTTGTAGATGAGTACAAACCACAGGACGGCTCAACTACGATCCTGAAGTTTATCTCAAGTTAGGAATATAAGTCTAACGCCAGCGGGACACTTGAAGGGATGGGATTGGTAGTCCTGTGCATCTCACCCATTGTGGAAGGCCTGCTTTTTTTTCTAACTCAAAGTTGAAGAAAAAAAAAACCTTAATTACGTAATAGATGTAGTCAGTGAAAGAATTTCGCAGAGGCATTTCAGAAGTACGCTAGCATTACAGAGTAACACTAGATTTCAAGGTGTAAAGAACAGCAAGTGTTATAGTTCGACACTCAGCTTTCTTCATTGTTTTACAAGTACTTTCAAGAAAATATGTTGATGTCTTAGAGTCTTATGACGAGTATAATGAAGAGTCGAAAAGATAAATATTTTCATGGCTTTTCATAGTTTTGTTAGGCTTTTTGTATACTGTTACTGTTATCAATGCTTGTAATCTCAAATATCGAAAGACCTTTTTTTCCTCGCTAATTTCTATTCTCATTTCAGTTAAGGAGAATGTAACGCTGCTCTATATTCATTGATCTGCCATTTGTCTGTTTATTTGGTATTGTAATGTGGGGAGTTAGCCGCTTTTAAGCTCGTATTCTTTAAGGAGAAGCCTTTTTAAGCACAGTTGAATTGGTCCATAAACGTTTTCAACCGGTTTTGAACCAGTTTGAGTTAGGTAAAAAAAGCATAGGTAGCGACCGCTGTCGTCTTTTGTCGTCTTTGGCAGGCTCTTTGAAGTCAGGCTTCGGTTGTCAGCAGAAAATGGTTGGGGATGAAACGGTTAAAATCAGAACACGACCCAAGGTTTATTCCTCGACACACGATAATGATTATTTAATCCAAAAAATCCACACGTTTCCTTTCCATGAACACTTGATGAGAATGCTGTCAGTGCACTTCCCACTCTTTTTGAGATTCCTCACAGGTATTGAAACCTCAGCAATTTTCAACTGAATATAGGAAGTAATTTGATTTTGCTGCACAGCCGAGGAGATAAGACTGTAAAAGTCGTTCCATTCCTCTGACACTGAACACCCAACATCTCTAGTGAGGGCGCAAAGTCAAAGGGAAGGGATTTGGAGGATTTTGGTTGAGTTACGATTAAAATTTACCTGATCCTCCCTTCAGGCTCTGTAATATTCTTATGTTACCCACCCCCCCCCCCCCATCTCATTGGTGGATAATTGGCAGACAATTTCAATAGTCCCCCCCTTTTTTACTCTGTTAGCAACGACTGATTCCCCTTCCTTTTTTTCCACCCCCCTCCCCCCCACCGGCCGACTATAAACAAACGACTGGTCTTAGAGAGGGCGGAAAATACGAAAATGATGCAACCAGGGAACGGGATTCAAACATATTCGATTAAACATACCCTATAGCTTGTATAAGGTAATCTTAGTTCAGAGAAACATTTGCAAACAAGTTCCTCCTTATTTCTTGTATTCAAGTGGCATCTTCTCGCTTCAAAGGTGATGAACGAGTGTAATTGAGGGCTACAAATCCAAGTTTCCTCTCACATTTTTTCCGAAAGAATAACTTGATGTGAAGTTTTGAAATTGAAACGGTAGCAAAAGTATTTGCTGGATCAACTAAATTCGAAGATCCTAAATAATCAATGCCAAAATCGTTTAATACATCAAAAAAGTTTGGGAACTTCTAGTTGAAAAAGCTCTCCGTCGCATCACGCCCTAATACAATTTGAAAAGTCATTATATTTCTTCTAAGGTAAATTGATCGCCCAACCGTCATCCGTGTCTCAAAAAAGGTGAACTGGGTACGAGTGTGTGATGAGCCTATCAAATTTGCGAACTGAGCTTCCCGGCCCGCTCAGAAATTTCTGAGAAAACTATAAAACAGTTTGCTTCGCAGAACACAGTCAGTATTTGCGTTGAGCTAATCTTTCAAATTGATTTTCGGATATTTTTAGCTTATTATCTACTCCAGATTTCCATCGGCCATCAACAGATAATCTACAAAAATTCTACTCTACTCAGTTTCATTAAGGTAAGAAAAACTTATCGTAGAAGAGATTATAAACAGTTGATATTCTCTTGTCGTAGATGAATGTAAATAAAATTGTTACATCAATTTTGTTTCTTTGCAAGTTTGCGCTGTAGTGACGAGTAATCTCCAATTTTTTTGCCGTATAGCTTTAGTTTAAGAGAAGGAACCTCAGTCGAGTTTTTCTGTTTCATCGTGGTTAGCTGCATAAGCTATTTTAAGAAATTTGTGTGAATCACGACCTGCGAACTTTTTCCTGTTTATCACTGGCCACCGATCATTCGTAAGAAGGTCGGATTTCAATCGACACGCAAGTCACAACTACTGATTGAAAGTTGTTTCGTCGTACAACTCCAACCACAGCTTTGTAGACTGGACTAACAACTTTTGCGAGTTTAATTGTTGAACTGAATTCGATTTACATAAAGAAGTTGAGAAAAAATATCTGCGTCGTGTTGCTTGTTTTTCACGACTCTGAACAAAGAGAAATTTATGCAAACTTGAAACGTGCCGTTGCTATGATGGTAACGTCATTCCTTTGTAAGATTGTACTTGCGGTTTGCGATCGTTAAGGAAGTAAACTTGGCTGACTCGATTTCTCACGCCATCATTACCTCGCATCAAGACATAAAGGCTCGAGTTCAGAGCCGCAAAGCCACGGAGCAATCAGAAAATGGTTGTATTAGTTTTAGACCGATAAATTAAACGTCAAAAGGGTCCGTCTTTTGGTCGAGGAGACTTATATGTTTTATTCCGGATTAACTCGGTAATCTTTGTATTGAGTGCATGTGAGATATTTCAGTTTCATTGGTTTTTGGCAGCCGAGCTGTTCTTGTGATCTTTAAGTGATGAGAGCCACTATGTTGATTGAAATGAAACAGGGTGACATATTTCTCGCAAGAAAACTCTAAAATTGCCTTATATCACGGCTAACATGGCGAAGCGTAATTCACAGTTTACTGATGATGGCTCATTTCGATAAAGTTTGTGACGGAACTATCTTCTACTCTCCACCAATCTCGTTCCCAAGGCTCTCTCTTACTTGGACAACGAGTCAGAGAGAGAGTTGGGAACGAAGTTGAACCTTCATAGACATCATCATAATTTCATCGCACCAAAATAACAAAAGTGACATTTTGCATCTACTTAGCACGAGATGGAACCCATCACTGTTACAATTGCACTGCACTGGGATACAAATATTGTGGACAAACCAATCCCTGCTCCCTACACCACAAAGGTTTCTCAAGGTACGTTTCTTATTGACATCATGAAGAAAGCTGCAAACGAAGATGTTGATGGGCCGTTCAATAAATACTCCACCACCTACTACGGTAATGTGGGGGATTTTGTCATCGCCATGGACGGAGTTGAACAGGTATTGCATTCTGATGATTTCTTTCTCTTTCTGCCTTTTTCTTAGGAGAGGATATCGAAGGGGGGGGGGGAGGAGGGAGAGGTGTTTTAATTCAATTTCACGCACGAATTTTTAGAAAAATTCACGCGTCACGTATAATTTAAACAGCAGTTCTTGCATCACCAAATGAAAACGTAAACTCTTCATGTGTAAGGTTTCCATATCAACAGAAATGCTTCTTCATGCAACGCTCCATCGCAAATTTATTTTCGCAAATTTTTGCCGAATCCAGATACCATCCAGAAGAAGTCTCCTAACAAAAAGTTTCCTTTAACTAACATTTCTTTGATTTTGACTGCTCAGGATCCCGCCAAAAATCTATACTGGATGATAAGAGACAAACAGACTGGAAATCTCACCCCAACGGGAATAGACCAATACCAGCCACAGGACGGGTCAACTACAGTCTTCAGCTATGAAGAAACAGTCATGAGTCACCACGAAAGACTGACTCGTGGTTAAGCGTCTGGACAAGGGTGGGGGGTCCTCTGGATAAATCATAACCCAAAGTAGATAATGTGAACCACCTATGATTAGTTTTAAGAAAACTGTAATAGTTTATACATTTTTTTACTTTGCTGCATCTAGCGTTAGCTAAGTCATGATGTTAACTTCAGCTTTACTTGATAATTTAGACGTTTCACCATTTTGATTCGTTTCTCAAAGATCGTATTGCGATGCTGTTGCGTTGAACTGATTTTCAAAATACTTTTTAGTTATATCGTAAATTTAGGCAAATCTACCATAACGTTGACGTATAGTGATCTGGGAACTTTTTTATTTGCTTATGCAAAGTTTGGAAAATAGCTATTTGTCATATACTCCGTAGGTTTTGTATTTTCTCATTAGTTAAATACTGGTTTCAAAGCCCCACTGAGTTCCGGTTGTGATATGTATCAATAAAGGGAGTAAGTTGCTAAAGAAACTGTAGTGCTAATAGTCTCTGAGTCATTTTGAAGTCATTTAAAGTTGTTAAGAATGATAGATTTAACCGAGTGGTTGTAAGGGTAAAATGTGAGAGTGAATGGAATGCGATCGGTATTTTTCATCTGAGCCGTTTGTAGTGCTGACTGTCGATCAATTTGTTGGACGCGGTGGTAGCTCCCTTGAACGACAGAGACAGGATGGCCACTTTTATCGAAAAACTGGCGCGTTGCCTCCGATTTGTCGAAAAAATCAGAGTCGTCTCTTCATAAACGACGAAGTCTGAGAAACTGCCAAAGAGGAGTGGACTCCTCGACGTGATGCATGCGACAAGTCACTATGTGAATCTATAGGTTTGTAGTAAACACAAGTGCATGGACCGTTATTCGATTGTGATCAAGCCCATTCTTATTTCTTGGAGATTCGTTGTAAATATTAAAATTAGAGCAGTTTTCAGTGCAGTGTCTAACGCTTCCGTCCAACGTAATCTCGTGGGTGGAGTGCGTCGGTGTTGGTTCATTTTGTCCTGTGATTGGTCCAGGAAACTCGCGCCATCCTCACGACAAATCGGATGTAAAACTGAAATTAGCCACGGCTTTGCCACCCGCGTTTTCTCCGCGCTTCAGACAGTTCATAAGTGTTTACTTCGGTTTCTCATTAGTTTTGTCGCATTTTCATTTTTTTTCAGTTCGCAGTGGTAATTACTTTGTCATAACTCAATCGAAAAGGGATCACAATCAAAGTGCTCTGTGAGTAAACTCGTGAATTGACACATGATTTTTTAGATTATGTTTAATGTTATCTGGTTTAGGGAATTTTGTGGTTGATTGTCATATTTAGAGTACGAGCAGTAGTTCAGTGTTCGCTGATGTAGCAAAGAAACAAAGTAACGTTGGGATAAGAAGGCATTACAATTGAAATGATCATGCTATTACATTTGACAAGGTGGATGATGTCACGTGTTTTAAACGTCTATCATTTTTGTTTCTGGTTCAAAAGAAAAGGTTGAAGTAAATGTGGGTGAAAAGTGAAATTTACTGTCTTTCGTTGTAAATATTAGAAAATCAAGGCAATACTGTCTTAATGAAAACATTAACGATTCCCTCTTTATCAAATGAGACAAACGGGAACGAGTTTTGAGTGATATAACTAAGCCAAGCCTGCCACCGTCATTTTGGATCTCCGCCTGGGTAGATTTAAGTCACGTGCTAGGCAACGTATAATCAATAACAAGATAGAATTTCATTTCAGGCCTATTTATCAATTTTGTGGTGTGTAACTTTCGCATTTTAGTACGTTGTATGTATGTTGAATCTTCAAATTGTCTTGAAACTTAAAAGAAAATTGTTCTTTAAAAATTCACTGAAAATCGGTAGCTAAAATTGTTTGTTTAGGTGTTATTTGATTTTCGTGTTAACTTGTTATTTCGTCAGTCGCCGGCATCTTTTGTTGCTTCACACAGGAAAAACACACGCGACGAAACGTAATGATCAATTTTGTCCTCAATCTCACGCTATAACAGAAAAAGCTTTTGAACATCTGTAAACTCCGAGCGCTTCGCAGTAAGTGATATTTTCAATGAATCTTCGGATTGTTTTCAAGTTCAAGGATTGTGAATTACAATTTTATGAAAAACGAAGGTTGTTCTGTTATTTCAGTGTGAATCCTTGCATGCCTGCCAGTCGCTGGTGCCGCTTGTTGAAACTAAAACGAAAAAAAAAACTCTTTTAAGATTATTATTGGCTTCTTTTTCACCCCACCACTATTCTTAGCAACAAAGGTCGCCATTTCGTCTGTTTATTGCTCGCCAAAAACTATAAAATGCACTCAAAAGCCTAAAATCTAAAAAAGTTTACAGGAATCGACCAATCGAGCGAGCGAGCGAGCGAGCGAGCGAATGCTATTCCCCACATCGTATCTATAACTCGCATGCGCATGCGCGCAATTCACGAGTTAAAAAGGACCCATTAAACACATCACATTGTTAACATTTCTTTCAGATGAATGCATTAAAATCAAACATATATTATCGTGAACAATGTTTTAATTTTTACAAATTTATGGTTAATCACGTGCTACACACGAGAGAGACAGATAGGAATTTTCTCTATTACGCCTTTCATTTCCTGGAAGTAACCAAGACAGAATTTCTCCTTACAATATCAAAACAACGTCAAGCAGCCAAGTGATGAGAATAAAGAAAATTATCAATAATGGGATGAATAGTTGATCCAATACCAAATTCTTAGAACAAACTTTGCAGAAAATGAATGGCAGACTGTAAGGAGAATTTTCACCAAGTTACTAGAGGTGAAAGTTCTAACACGCAAACCAAAAATTGTTTTTCACCGCAAAATTGACCATGTATACTTTTCGTGGGGATAAAATCTATCGATAACTAATACAGGTATTCTAAAAAAAAGATAGAAAGAAATAGTGTCTTATTAACAATAAAACTCTAAGATCGTTTTCCAAGAGGAAAACTGGGGAGTATAGCGCTTGAAGTCAACTAAGTGAGGATGTTTATTCCTTACTGCACACCCATCAGTAATAAATTATGACTGTACAAATTGGAAATTAATTTGACATCATAGTGTCCACATTCTTGCTCTGAACAACGTTTAAAATGTACAATTTGAGGCAGGAAGGAATGTTCAGAGAATTGATAATATCAATACTACAGGGAGACAGCAACTTGCGGATGGAAAGACGACAAAGGCGTTTCAGACTTATGGGTTTTCCTGCAAATGAAAATTAAAAATTGATCAACCAAACTAAATGAAGAGTTAGGATGAACTCGTGAAAGTAAAAATCTCTGTGTTAAAGAAAGTGTTGATCCAATGAGAACTTTAGGTGACTTCGGTGACGAGGGCGCGCGAAAATTATGCCGACAGCGAAAAAGGCGATAAAATCGGGTATCTGTGGCAGGCAATCGGCATCTATCGCGGGAAAATCGTGTTATTTGCGTATCTAGAGAAACTAAAAAGCACAAAGGTGGGAAAAATTTAAGTAGCGTAGGAACACCGCGTTCAAACGTCTGCGGATGTAGATGTGATGAGTAGGTAGCGTGCTTTCAAGATGTCAGAACCAAGTTTTCTCACACAAGTAAACGACAATACAAGGCAGTAAGTCATGGTGTTATAAAAGTGTGTTACCTTTTTGGTAAAGCACAGAGTGGTAAATCAGCAGGATAGCCGTACTAGAATAAGCTTTGCAATCGAAAAGTGTCGAATATTCCTTTTCCCTTCTTCTGTTTCCTTTTTCAGATTTCTATAAACGTTTCAGAAATCTTATGCTTAACTTGCGAGACAGCGGCTGTTTCTTATATTTTCCTTTGAAATTTTGCGCGGGAAATTGGCGCGCGGGCTGCCAAAATTGATCACCACGCGCATGCCTGACGTTTGACCACTGTGTTTACCCTGTAGGCTTGTCACTGAGGATGGTTGGTACAATCATGAAAACCGCATGAAATTATTTCAACCTAATAAAAGCACGGGATAATCTTGGATCAAGATAAAAATTTTCGAAAAAAGAAAACGCGCAATGGTTTTGCATTCGTCACTTACACCTGAAAGCCCTGAGTGGATAAACCTCAACGTAACGACAAATATTCCCGCTAAAAACAAAGGAAATGAACCATTCGAAAACTCACCGTGGCTTTCCCAAAATAATTCCAAAAGTTGCTGATATGATAAAACTGTTTCCATATTTGGACCATTCCCGTAACGAGTCAGCAGTGATTGGACGAGAGTCTCCGCTGAATTACCGCTGTCATCTACAACGTCACTTCGAGCGCCATACTCTATCAAAAGGTGTGACAATGGTCCCGACTCCTCCCCTCTCAGGGCTGTAAAGCAAAGAGTGTGAACACACTTAGAAGTTCTTTCCCGTTCGAATGTTTCTAAAGCTTTACTCTGCTTTTCATGAATTTTACACCATGGAAAAGTTCATTAAGACGGTTTTCGTACAGCCAGTGGCCAGTTTATAGCTGTCCATACTCGGCCGATGGTTTACCGACACTTGTCCGATAGTTAGCCAATTCTCGGTCAAGATGTGGACAGGTTATAAAGTCGTTTGGAGCTCGACCGACTATAGATCGAGTCTTTGTCAACTATTAACCGACTATTGACCGACTCTCGGCCGACCACTAACCCGACATTTGACCGACTAATGGCCGATAGCTTGGTTTTTATCAACTGAGTTGACAATGTAAATTTGCCACCGTTAAGAGTTTCTAGAGCTGATATTTCTGGTGTTAGCTCTTCATCAGAGCGTATGAGTCGGTATATCCACCGAGGCCGACGTAATTTACATATGATCGAAACATTTAAGGCTCTACTTGCTTAAAATGGAAAAATATATATATTATGCAACAATTTAGTGTCTGATGACGTTTCAAGGATCTACATACCAATATGCAGAGGAGTCAGGCCACTCTCAGCCTGGACATTGGGATCTGCCCCAGCGTCAAGTAAATACTGGACACAAGCGACATTCTGAGCTTCACACGCCACGTGTAAGGCTGTCTTGTAATGAGCTTTATCTCTTTGGTTTACACATGCTCCATACTCTAACAGAAGCCTTACAACGTCACTAGAAAACAAAAAGAAAAAAAAATTGAACACCTCTTAAAGTGCGTTTGGTCTAAATACCCAACTCCTTGAAAACCATGCTTTAGCTTAGTACTAAATTTTCTTAGCATAACTATTTATTTCTTTGTTTTTCAACAAAGAAGTAGTGAAGTTAAATGTCTTTCAGCTTGATATGTAAATTTTTAATAATGTGACATTGGCTAATTGCCCCTTACAGTTCAGTTGATATCCTGCAGACATTTCATGCTTTCTATTCTAGAGTCATACAAACATGAATATGATCAATTTCCAAGAAAAAATCTCCAGAGATCAGTTACATGATCTGTTATTGGACAACAAAACAACAAGGTGAACTACTTGTTGTTTTCACGTCTTTCTGAGACTTTCCTTTTCATACACATGTGGGTGTTGTAACTTTTAATAAAAACAAACCTTTGGAGAGATTTAATATTCTCTGGGATAGATATACAATCAAGAGATTCAAGCTAAAAATGTACCTTGTTTAGAATATAAAGAACTAACCTATGAGCTCTTTGCGCTGCTAGAAATAAGGGCGTCTGACCCCATGCTTCTTCCACATTAACCAAAGCACCACCAGCCAGCAGCACAGCCGCGCAATCACAGTGTCCAAAATATGCCGCTTGATGTAAGGGGGTGCTACCAAACCTGGCCACAGATATATAACAAGTGAGACACTTGAGACATGTTCCTACATGACTGACTTATCAATATTGTCTGTTCTTCCTGCTTTTTTGTTTGTTGGTTAATAAGATTGTTTATTTGCATTTTCTTCTCTTAGTTTTTCTTTTACTGTGACCAAATGACCAACTGGCTAACCACCTGACTGCTGACTGATCAATGGACTGACCAACAGATGGACAGACAGAAAAACAGATGGAGACAATCAGAAAGATAGACAGACATACTACTGGAGGGCAATTAATGGAGTTTTTTATTCCAAATACTAAACTTCTTCCACAGTTACAAGTCTTTTTCAATCTTTTGTCAGTTTTCCTACACGATAAGCCACCTTACTGTGCTCAAAATTGTATCATTAATATTTATCAGAAGCAAATTACCTTGATGTACAGTTCACATCTGCCCCATGATCTATCAGTAGACTCACACATTTGACATAGCCATGATAAACAGCCAGATGCAGCGGAGTAAGACCATCTTTTTCTTGTACATTTCGTTTTGCTCCTGCCAATTTTTGAGTTGGAGAAATAGTTAAAACATAATTTAGGACCATTGACAATTTATAAATAGTTATAAACAATACTTTAATCAATAACATAAGATAATACTTCCTCAAAGAATGGCTAAGGTTTTTTTTGGGTTGAAATAGGTACTTCCACAGAATTATTGTAATACCATATCTCCTCTTCCCATGTTAAAAGATGGCTGAACAGGTGTAAAAATAAAGAGATTGGTGTGCTCGGTCAAACATTCTTACTCCCAAGATCTCATTAGTAATTCTCCATACTGTCTGCCCAACAATTCTAATGAAGTTAGATCGGAGAATTTGGTATTGAATCAAATACCAATCTCCTGATTTATATCATTCTTCATTCTTTTCACTTGTCTATTTGATATTGTATTGATATTGTGCAGAGAAATTCTGTGTTGGTCATTCGTGGTAGTTTAAGCTTGTTATCAGGTGAAGTGACATGTACAATTATCACATGTATGAATAGAGTCCTGTGTGTTAGTCATATTCTAAAGATTTTTTATGTGTAAGTTATTTCTGCCATGTAGCTACTCTGGTGGTTTTATGGGAGATCATTTTTTGAAGATTTTTTTTTTGTACCTGCCTACAAACAAAGACCAATTTCTCATAATTTTCTACTTACATTTAAAAATCTCTCTAGAGAAATAAGTGGCACATAGCACAAATATTCTTTATTTTCCCAAGGTAATAAGCTAACTAATCAACAACTCTAAATAATCAACAACTTGACCTCTCTAAGAGAGTTGCCTCTGATCCTTTCACTTTCAAGGTCTTTAAGCTACTGTATCTCCCAGCTATTGAACACAGACAGTCCTAAGAAACTAGTGTTCTAACCATGGAATATCTCCTTGTTTCATAAATTTAATAATCTTGTTACCTGTTTGCATGGCAGTGTATCAAAATTATAAAGTGAATTACTACTCTGATCACTAAAGGAGGTGAGATGGTAACTTGAGGATTTTCCTGAAAGTACTTACCAGCATCCACAAGCAGCTTCACACAACCCACACGACCCTTGGCAGCAGCTAGATGAAGAGCTGTCTGTTTTGTGTCTGGGTCTCTCAGGTCCGGGGAGATCTTCCTGTCATGGAGGGCCCACCGCAAGTCATCTTCGCGGCCTTCACGTGCTGTGAAGAATAGTGTGTACCTCTGACCCATGACTACTGGAGCACAAAGTTAAGTGCTATATGGGGGTGCTGAAAGAATTGAGTGTTCAAATAAGTAAAAATTAGATGGTGCCCTTGAGATTTCTATTACATAATAGTTGATGTGGGAAGAGCAAAAATCAGCTAACACCCACAGAAATCAAGGGCAAATAATCTCATTGTTGTAGCTTAAATCTATAAGTCTTTCTGAACTTAACCCTTTAACTCCCATGAGTGACAAAGACAGAATTTCTCCTTACAATAACATAATACACTATCAAGCAGACAAGTGACAAGAAAAAAGAAAAATATCAATTAGGGGATTATTTGTTGATTCAATGTCAAATTCTCCAAACTAACATCACAAGAACTATATGACAGACAGTAAGGAGAATTATTAATGAGATCTTGAGAGTTAAAGGGTTAACAACAATACATGCCCACACTTTTATTTTATTTTGTTACTAACTGCTCTATCACAGAATAGATAGCCTGTGATATTACAAATCATATTGCAGCATTTGTGAAGGTTAGTGATTTATTCTGATGAAAAATAGAAATGAAGTACATTGTATCCTGATTTACCACTTCCTAATGAAGATTTCCTAAGGCAATGTATGGAACATTTGACACACATCATATGCATCTATAGTGCTCTGGCTTTATGTAATTAATGAAAACACAATTTGCTTAACTGTCTGCAATTTTCAGTTAACCTTTGGAATCACATGTTAAGTTTTACAGATCTCGAACTGTTCGTTGTTATATCAGTGTGATGACACAACAAAAACAGTAATGCTGAGTCATGTAAATTTTCATTAAAAATGGTTGAGTACTTGAATCCTTTAACATACATCAGAACATATTCTTTCACTAAACCATGCACACAAAGGTAATCTACCCTCAGAAATCAAGGGAAAATTGCGACGAAAAACTAAAAGGTATCAAAAGTTACGAATTGTAGATACGAAAAAACACCATGGCAAATTTCCCAGATACTGGAAAAAATAATCATAATCAATACCTAAATGGAATCCGATAATTTTTGTATCTTGAATATTCTGTAGCACTATAAGGCCAAAGGTTTGTGATAGACATCAAATCGATACTCGAACAGTCCAAAGCTGTCTAGTAAATTCTTCGTAACATTAATTAAGGAAAATTTCAGGGGAAATTCATTGAACGTCACAAGGGTATGAGCTTAATGTATGGTGATATACCGTGAAGTACAAACGGATAAACTTTTATTTAATGTTATAGAAATTTTCCTGAGATTACTGCGTCAAAATATATATTGTATGGTATGAAACAAACCTTCTAAAAATAAAAAATCTACGCGAGTTATTTCGTAAAACAATTTCGTGCATCTCGACAGCACAAATATATGTTTGGTACGAAAAGCTAGAGGATAATGGATCCCTAAAAAAATTCTACATCTTTTTTAAATTATAATATAAGCAAATATTGTGTATAATCACGCGATCGAAAGCGCAGAAAGACAGAAACTAACCTCACTGTTCCCTTCGCCTTATCCTTGCGGCCATATTTGCTTGTTTGTTATAGTTTGTTCCTTTTTGTTCCCAGACTCCCGGGCATAAATATTAACTCTTGAGCTCGTCGTTACTCACTTGAATGTCAGCGGTCACTGCGATAATGTTTTTTTTTTCTTTCCCGCAAATGCCAAAGTTGATTAGGGGAGATAAGAGAAACTAGAAAGAGGGGTGGGAGCCTCAGAGGGGAAGGAGGAAAAGCTCTCCCCGATAAAGGGTTGTCTTATGTACACGAATAGATATTCCAGTGGTAGACTGTCTTATGAGACAAATCGAATCAGGAGCGATTCTCTGAGGCAGTTCTATTTGTTCGTTTTGAAACGCCCTTTTTCATACACGTTTCTTGGTTTTCACCCACGTGACTTGCGTCTTGACGACAGTTGCTATCCGCCATGTTGGTGCCCAAACAAATAGTTACAAATGCGCTTATAGTAAGGTGAACGTGAGATAGTAGAAATGAGGAAGAGGAAATTGGAGAGGAATTGCAAATGTAAGGATCCATGTTGAACGTGTGATTGGATTGCTCAGACGAAAATTTACAATTCTGGAAGGTACCCTGCCAACTTTCGTTTGATTGTTTATACTTTGCTTAATGATTATTTGAATCACGTTTTCTGGTATCCGTAATAATTACGTAATAGTTGATGTCACGTAAGTTAGATCATGTTATGTTAAGTTAGTTGCTATTTGCTGTCAAAAGAGTGCTATCGTCTAAGCTACAAGACATTTTCAGCTATCCAAGCAACTATTTAGGAGCTTCACCAAAGTAAGTCATATCGTTTTCTGTTTATGTTTCACATGATTTAATTGTACTTTGCTTTATTGTTTTTATCGGTTTAATTTACAGTAGTATAATAGATCGCACAATAGGTTTTCTTTGTTATTGCCTTTTAGTTCGAATCACACTTAATTATCACAACTGCTATATTACTACTACGATAATAAGCATTGTCTGTGGATCAACGCGTTGTTGTTGTCTTGAATTTGTGGGCTTGGTTGGTGCGTTCGAGTTGGCTCAGAGAGCTATTGGCTTCCCGTGTGACCCTTGAAGGTCATACTATTCGGCTGACACCTAAGTCTTTATTTAGATTACTTTGTGTTCATGTTACCCCAGGCGGCCCAGGTTATGAACGCAATTTGCATTTCGGCAAATCATGACTGCGTATGTTAAACAATGTTGAGCACATATCGTTACCCGATGATCGCTTTGTGTCAATTTGATGTCTCTATGCCCGTGGGATCGATTAAAGTCATCTGGGCTAATTAAACTTTCTATGATTTCGCTGCCCATTGCGAAACCTAAGGAAAACTTATCTCCTGGTAAAGAGGCAGTTCTACACAAAGACGAAAACATAATTATTTAGTTTAACCGCTGATTTAAAAGCAAATACCTACAATAAAGAGACAGTTCTACACAAAGACGAAAACATAATTATTTAGTTTAACCGCTGATTTAAAAGCAAATACCGCGGGCAAATTAATCTTGGTCCTTGCCTTTGTACGGAGAGGCGTTTAATCTAGAAAGTACGGTATGCCTACTTGCGCATTTTTAATTCAAGAGATTTCACAGAAAAAAAGTGTTTCCTAGCCTAATTGAGGAAATATTTAATCTGAACGGAGCAAACCTTGCCGAAAAGCGCCAAGACCGATCCCGAAACCTGCAATGCAGACGTGTCGCGCCATCCTGGATTTCTTAGAAATAAGTTCTGCTTGATCGGCGACTTCCGCTGTTTCGGAAAATTTTGTTTTTTAGGAATTGCTTGACCTATATTTTGTGGTTTTTAATCCATATTTTCATCACTCTACTAGTAACGTTCCATATACGATGCATCAAAAAATCCCTACTTGTGCATACGTTTGCTGTTATCAAGATAAATCGGCAGCTGGTTCAAAATGCGCCATTAGCATATAATTTTGCTTCACAAGGATTTCTTTATTTTCAAACATTCTCTTGCATCGACCGAACGAAGTTATCCATACAAACGACACCTCGATAACAGTCTCTGCGTCAAAGTTTGAGTTTGTTATAAATTCTCTCGATTTTTACAGAAAGTACTCCTTTACCAGCTTAGATGAAGAATACAAATTCCTATGCATTCAATTCTACTGGGTAAATGAACTTATTAATTACTTCCCCTGAGTAGTGTTCATTGCTGGGAAGATCACTCTCATATTCACCTGTTAACTCTTGTTTGCAAGCAAGAGAGTCCGTCTAACCTAATATGTATCACAGCGTGGGTTTGCAATAGTTCATTTAACATCAAAAAATGCATCCTCGACAACTTGACTTCATCAAATTACAAGCAAGACTCAGCAAGGGCGTAGCTATAGGGTCCTGGGGTGCCCGTAACCCTTCCTTTGTGAGCCTTTTTTTTGTCACGCCAATCACATGTCACATGTCAATCATTCAGTTAAACCCTGTCCTCTCATTGGTCCATTTGATCCAGGTGGCCCGAATTTTAATTCTCCTATATGATTTTAGGCCCAGAACCGCACGTTCTTTTCGATTAACACCAGCTGCAGTGAGACTAGAGTTGAGAACCATTCCAGATTGCTCTAAAAAATCCAAGACATTCTGAGACGATGCCGCTGAAGGAATCTTACGTGATCTGGAACAACAAAGGCGGAGTGGGGAAAACTACTCTCACCTTCCATATAGCCACAGAGTACGCTAAGCAGCATCAAACCGAGAATGGAGCTACCGTGAATGTTCTTGTGATCGATTTGTGCCCACAAGCGAACGCGTCGATGGCGCTGTTAAGCTCACCAGAAGTTTACGGAAGTGCGCATTTGTCTACTTTGTACAGAAATGGAAAGACTATCAGTCACTACCTGAAAAAATCGACACAAAGAGGACCCACTATAAAGGTGAACGAATTTATCACTCGCGTTTCAGAATACAATCGTCAAGTGCCTGCGAATTTATTCCTCCTCTGCGGAGATATGAAACTTGAATTGGTGGGTCGCCACCTCGAACATTCGCGACGCGGGTATGATGCACCCGACGACAGCCCATGGTTGAATAATACGTGTTCCGTTCGGAGCTTCATTGAGGGTTCAAAAGACCTAGTCGACGGCGTGAGTGAAAGCGATGAAGAATGGGTCGTGTTTATTGACACAAACCCAGCCTTCTCAGTGTACACCGAGATTGCACTCGCAGCAGCAAGAAAGCTAATCATCCCAATCAATTCTGATGATTTTTCCGTTGAAGCTGTGCGAGCCATGCTGGATTTAGTTTACGGTATTCACCCACAACAAGGTCAAGAAAAACAGGATCAGTACTTTGAGGCGTACCGAAATTACATGTTCAGCAGCAAAGCCGAATCGTACAACCTTAGACTACCGCAGATCCATTTGCTGGTAAACAACAGAGTGACGGTGTATCACACACGCGCCGCCACAGCCTTCAGTGCTATGGGCGAAGAAAACTTCAAAGTCCTTTATGAGGCCTACACGCAACATCAAGCGGAAAAGCAATGCTTTTCACCGCCCAAAGGGAAAATTGATGATGAAAAAGCCTTCAAGGAGCATTATTCTGTAGACCTTCGTGATTTCCATTCGATAGCTATAGTCTCTCTTCATACAGGGTGCCCACTCTCATGTCTTGGTGGAATTCAGGGAAAAGCTAAAATCAGTGAAAAAGTTATGGTCCATATTGACAAAAATTTGTTGTCGGCCTACACTGCCACACTCGAGAAACTCGTGCAAAAGTTGTGACTTATGATTTTAACATTTGTATTGTGCTTACTAGATCATTCGAAGTGAATGCTTAGATAAAGTCTTTTTTATTAGATCATAAACTCAGCTTTACAGATTTGGCATATCTTTTTGCATTTAGAGTTTTGTTGTTACTTTGTACTTATGTAGCCATGATGATGAACTGAGATGAACTGGGAGAGGGAGTATGCATCTTAAATTGATTGATAACTAGATTGTATGTGCAATTAATGCTCAAAATTTACCCCAATGAGTAGATTTCGACTTCATGGTTGAACGGTAATCTATATTTTAACAATTTGTACAGGTTTTTCGGACCAAAAATAGCCGTAAGTGCTGGTTTTTATTTTTGATGAATACTTAGAATTTCTCGATTACCGTAAATGGGTCCGTTAGCTTGAAATTTTAAATTGGTTGTCGAGGATATATTTGTGATATTTAGTGAAAGATTTGCAAACCCACGCCTCATCTGTCGCAGACAACAAGAGTGAAACAGGCGTAATACTGTTTTTGGATAAAAGCATTTAGCTTTCAGTGGGTAAATATAAAGTTCACTCAACAAAATAAAGTGCTCATTGAATTTCGATGCATGAAAATGCTTTGTACTCCTATATTTGGGTAAAAGGAATACTTTCTGTGAAAAAGCTAGAGAATTTCACAATGAACTCCATTCTTAGGTGAAAACTGTTATCTAGGTATTGTTTCTAAGGACAACTTCGCTCGGAAAATTAAGGAAATCATTGTGAATCAAATTATATCAACAAAGGAGTCATTGATACTGACCGCGTATGTTGATCGAGATCAATTTCCCCGAAACAGCGGAATCAGAACTTAATTCTAAGGAATCCAGGATTGCGCGACTCGTCCGCATGGTAAGATTGATTTTAAGATGTACCACAGTAAAAGTGTTTCCCAGCCCAGTTGTGGAAATATCCCATTTGAATGCCGCAAACCTTGCCTGAAGTGTCAAGGCCGACAAACCCTACCTTTAAGTCGCGTTACGCCATCCTGGTTTCTAAGAATTCACCGGCCTCCGCTATTTCGGGAAAATTGACCTACGTTTTTTGACATAGATTTTGTGATTCGCATTTCCTCACTTAACAAACACCGATGCATCAAAGGATTCCCATCGCTATGTAACCCAGCCACTATCAAGAAAAAAATTTGGATCAACATATACTGTCATCTAACGTTTTCTGGAATCGACTCTCTCAAGGTTTTTGATCTTGCGTGTAGCTGAAGCATGCGTCACACAATCCTAGTTCCCAGGTATCAGGTTTAATTCTGAAACACCGGCCAAACTATGACTATTAATTGTAACGGACCAGTTAAGACTTGAATGCTAGAAACAGACGCAAAGTCAGACCAATCAATACAATACATATGCCAGGCATACGCGTTATTGACCAAGTGTGAGGTTAAGATGGCTTGATGTAGGCCGAGATGTTTTTTTGCGTTTTTATATACCGAAATGAAATCGAGGTCCATAAAACTAAAATGGCCGCGAGGTTAAATGGAAGGAAGCCGTAAGATCATTTTCTGCGTCATGGATTGAAAAAAATTATTCAAGAGATATTTACTTTTACTTTAACAACAGTAAAGAGAGCTAGAATATTTTCCACGCCCCATTATTCTCCTGTTGTGTTTAACAATCTTTATTCTGTAAAGTCACGACCTATGTGCATGACGTATTCCGTAAGTGCATTTGGCGTATTTTTTTTCTAATCCGAATGTTTGTTACATGCTATCTATTAAATGTTTCAGATGAATAATGAAAGCATGCAAATATTCATAAGATGAAATTAAAGTTTGATTCACTTGTATATCACAGATTAAACCACGCCTCAAGTACTTACCCCTATGCTGTGATTGCGGAATCGATTCGCGGAGTTTGTAAAAAATCTCTTTGGTTTTTAAATTTCAAATAAAAGATTTTTCTCTTCCTCCTCTCCCTTTGTATTCTTTTTGTACTTACGCGCGCGTGATTTTTCAAGAAATCAGTTTACGTCAAAGAAAGTCCGACCTTGACGTTGGAAAACTGACGTACACATTTTTCGCGCGCTTTTAGTTCAAGTTGCTTTCGCGGAGTTTAAGTTAGTTGCTTTTAAGCTTTCGTTTACGTAAATTTGTTACCCCTTTGATTGGAAATTTAAGAAGTTTTGGAGTTTTTAGTTTAGCCAAATGTTGTGGTTCATTTAACAGGTTTAAGATATATTTTCTACGGAGTTTGGACTCTAGCCTCTTTTTTTGTAAATGGACTTTTTGCAGAGTTAATTTACTGGAGTAAATTTAAAATAAACCTGAGAGGCGTTTAATCGAGAAAGTATGGTATGCCTACTTGCGTAGTTTGACTTCAAGACATTCCACAGATCATAATTTGACCATAAATTGATCATTCAATCAATTAATTATTGATGGTTTAGTACTGGTCAACATTCACACTGGTTACCAGACCTTGTGTGCGTTATAATGTTTGTGTTTCTTTAGGAGATTGCTTTGGAGACTTGAAAGCAATTGCTGAAATTTGAATGTCACACCTTAAACACTATATTCTATATCTCCAGACTGAAAAGTTTGAAAAGTCTGGGGTGCAAAAAAGCTGTACATGAAAGAGCTGCTCACTAAGGTTATCTCATGATAGTTGTCATAGAGCTTTTGAGCTTTTCAGGGAGTTAAGGGACGGCGATGCCTAATTCAGCTTAAGTGGGGAGGGGGTTAAAAATTTTTCCCCCATTCCCCCTTATTTACAAGAGATTATAATCTCTTGGCATCTCGTTCTAAAACAAAATGTCGTCCTGGCAAAAATTTGGAGAGGGAGGGGGGCTAAAGTATCTGGAGTCAGATGTGGTGATATGATCTGATGCGTTTAAGTACAGTGCAAGTTTTGCCTCGTGTTGAATGTTTTGCACAATTTATTGAACCATTAAAACCCCTAAAATTGCACCTCTTGCGAGCAAACAATCAGTGAAGGTGATCAGTTGAAAGAGAAATCAAAATATGTTCGCCACAGAGTTATCGAATCCCGCTATTTTCTAGAACTTTTGATCATGACTGAATTTTTCCTGGATTATTTTGCTGATGGACCTTTAGTCGGACACGCCCCATGAAGATTCACCTCCGCGTATTCTGGTTCTTTCCTCTCAAAAAGCACCTGAGCCGTCGGGGGCGCATTTGAACCTGGTGCCAGTTTCCCGGAAAACTCGATTCGAATTTTTTCACATTGCTTTAGGTTGGCGTTCTGAATCTGTCCCGGGAAATTCTCGATGTAGTAGGTTTGTCCGTCTTGGGATTTTCCGGAAAGCTTGGCTGCGTTCAGATTGGATATTTCAGCAACTGGTCTGGAAAACTCCAAGATAACTTTCCATCCGCCTCGGACAGAATCTATCACTTGCAACTCAAACCTCATCTTGAAGTTATTTGGCGGCCATTGATGAATCAATTCTACGCCGGCGCGTTCTTGTGGGGCCGGTGGTCCAGGAGCTGGGGCAGGCAGATCAAAATCTTTACATTTCGTCGCATTTGGATTGAAAACGAAGAATGCATTCGGTGCAGCTTCGTACAACTTCGCTTTGTAGCAGTTAAATTCAAGGCGGAGATATGACTTCGCTTTGAGCTTCTTGTTGTAGGGCCGGGGTCCGAGACAAAAAGAGTCGTTAGTTGATGCTTTTGGAAGCGAGAATGTCGCCTTGTCGATAGCAAAATTCTTCGTGCTGATCTTTTTGGTGAACTTGAGTGATATGCTCCAGTAATTCACAGCCTCTGGGACGTGGTATTCCATGATCATTTTAAAACCAGAATTCGATTCATCGACCGGCTTAAGTGGATAGATCGGTATAACTTGTTGAGGTGTCGTGGGCTGAAACTAAAAACATTTAAATATTTTTAACAATGTTTTTCATATTATTATTTTTTTTATCAGAAATAAACTTTGATCTAGAAGCTAAATCAATGTTAGACCAATCAGACAAATAATATCAGAGAGATTGACAATAACTCAATGTTTACTGACTGTAAGCATTTTGTTGGATTTTTATTTCCCATGGACTAAACAAATGAGTATAATCATTTGTGACAGAAACAAAAGAACCAATTTTTTGATGGAGTGGAAGGCTTCAGAGAAAGGGGAATACTTATCGTAAGCGTTTCAAGGACTTAGTACTTCCCAACATTAATTCGGATCTCTTCCTTCAGTTCCTCGTACCACTCGTAAGATTTTGTTTCCAATCCACTATTCAACAGGGCCAAGTCTTTACCACAGAGGTTAAGAGAATCGATGTGAAATCAGCTTTTTTTAATTTTAGAGGGTCAGTGTAATGTTTGAGGCGAAAACACTTAAACTGTGGAGCTACATGAAGTCAAAATGCAACTTTAAGCATGTGCCAACAGGAAAAAACCAAATTAGAAACCAGACAGTTGACCCGTTCCTAGAAGTGAGGCCGAGAAACATGGGAACGAAAACAAAATCGGTAATCTCTTCCGTCTCTAGCTTTGTACCGCCATCCCATTCGTGTCGTGCTAATTTGAATCATCCCCATGCCTCTCGCACTTCTAGAAAAAAAGCGAACACAACTGGGGTCGAGTCAGCTCCAAAGTCGCGAGTTTACCAACCGGGGTCTGGGTGGGGAGTCGAGGACTTTTGTTTCCGCCTTTGAATATAACTGTGACGTTACCAGGGGGGGAGTTTCTCTTGCCTTTGTAGGCCACCACAGCAAATGTTAGAACTTGACCCGTTGCCAATTTTTTATTGAAATATTCTTCTTTGAGATCATGTATTCTTTGATCGGCAGATTTCTCTAAGACGATCGCTCGCCATACGTCGATCTTCTTGATTGGCTGGGAAAATATCAGTGCGATCCTCCAACCGTTAGGGACTGGGTACTGCATTTTGACGGTGATGATGAGCTTGAAGGCCTCGGCCCAGTCATGCTCTAATTCCGCTGAGCCGTAGATCATTGGCGAGTCAGCGGTCTTACACCTCAAAGCTCCCAAAAGGACCAGTGAAATGGACCAATACAAGTGCATATTTCCTGAAGTGAGACAAAAACGAGGCAGCCAATTTTCAAATAGAAGATTAGGAGACTTTTCATGGGTTCCAAGGGTAGGACGTCAATTTTTCCTTTTACCATACGCAGACATACATTAAGACTACTTTTCAGCACCAATTGTTTTTAAAATCAATCTAAATTGTATTCAGTATCTGAGCAACGTTTTCTTAAATGCAGTTTTGAATTTATGAAAACATTGATCTTTCCCTTTGTTCTCGCTCAGTATATTTAGATGTAAAGCGTAAATAATAAAACTGTTTGGAGCTTGCAGCTTTACAAACAAAATTTGTTCAGTTCGTTGTTCGATCTTTTTTTCACTTCAGCTGCATCTCTTGTTCTAAGAAATCTATCAAAGTTTCCGTATTTACATTTCCCAAAGCATTCGATGACACACTGCAAGACACATATCCATTTATGGGTGCAAATATAGACATTCTAGATTTTGTAATTCTAATCTCCAAAATGAGCTCTTTGAGATATTCATTTGTGAAATTGTAGGACAAACCCCAGCCAGAGGGGGAGGGGGGGGGTGGTGGATTTAAATCAAACTAATTCCAGTGTTTGAGTTATTTTCCTTCAAAGAAAATAAATGGGACAGACTTTGGAACTGAAACTTGAAGGACTTATCAATAAGTCATTTTCAAAGCGAGGGTGCAAATCAACTCACATAACATTTGTACTCAGCTTATCCTACAAAAAATGATCTCATCTTTCAGTGTAAAGTTTTTTCAAACCGGTTCTCTAAAAGACTATTATTATTCCCTCCTTTCTTAATTATTATTAAGTAATTATTCTTACTATTATTCCCTCCTTTCCCCCCCCCCCAAACTAACCAAATTAATCCTTGATTCCCTCAACATCGCAGTACAGGGCTGGGGAGATTTTCATAGAGAGACAAGTATTTACAACAGTCAACGGTTTACCTTAAACAGCAGCTTTTCTACGTTCTGTAAGTAATGAAAAAAAATTGAAATATTACAGATTAAAGATATCATAAAAACATCAAAACCTCTTCATATTTCCCCCGCCTAACACAATCGACAGAAGCTGTCACATCAGCAAATGATACAGGTACATTTATTGTAAGAAGTAGAATTTGTAAAATTAATAACTCTCACCAAAAGACGTCAGGGCAATCTTTGTATCACTGATCAGAACTGTTCTGCTGTGGAGAGGTGATATCTTCTTTTGTTCATCGCATGTTACCTTGACAGACAGTCCTGCCTCTCGAAACAATCTCTTGTCCAAATAATTGAATGTAATCTTTTTCTTTCTTTCCTCTACCCAAAAGCAAACAAATATCTTTTACGGAAGTAAACAATATCATCGCACATCATGGATTCGCCTTTGGAACATCTTGCAACCCTAAATCAGTGCTCAGTATTGCCATCCGGCAGCTTAAAAGAAACCAATTGCTTTTGACTTTTAATGAATATTTTACGATCTGCCGCCATTCTAAGAATGGAATCACCTGGTAGAAGGGAAAGTAAATATGATCCAATTCCAGTCTGAACTGTCCCAACCCGGTAATTGTTCTCTTCGAGCTGTTTACGAGTTTTGTTGTGTTTTTTGTGTCGATTCTCATGATCGGTTTCGATAAAATAACGACAAAACAAGGACTGTTTATTTTTCAGTGAGAGCTGCGTAGAATCTCTCTTCCTCCATCGACTTCTACACGGGGGAATTGGAGAAAAGAGAACGCATAATAGGCAACAAGTTATTGCGAAAGAGAAAACCTCTTGAAACACTCCGACTGTTCAAATAAGAAAAAAATTATGTTTCAATTTTGCGCTATTAATTACGGAAACGGGGAGTTCTGATTCAAATGTCAAATGCATAAGAGCTTTTTAGATACACTTGGATTTATTTCGCAATGATGAATTGCCTTAAATAAGACATTTTCTCAAACGTTTCCTCGTGGCGCTAGCTGAAATCCAAGTAAAACAAGTTCAACAAAAGATCTGTTTTAAGTTTTTTAAATACATCAAGTACTGATCATACCCGAGTTAGACTACTCAAACCACGAGATTTTATTTCTGCTCTACAGACGGTGATTAATTTTAATACAAATAAAATGTCAATGGAACAGGAAACTTTCAGTGGTGCTATTTATCCTTCGTAGAATGTAGGAAGCTCATTTCCGAGAATAACTCTCCTTTCTATGCCTGACTCATCAATGGCTGCCAAACGGATTATTCCACCTGATGAACCATCCCTTGACATAGCCAACGCCACAGCTGAAAGCAAAAAAAAAAAAAATTAACATTTAGTAAATTGTAATTTTCCAAACCTTTCGCCACACATTTCTTGTAATTTAAGCTTTGAGTGTTAAGTACTAAACCAAACAATGTCTCAAAATGATGATGTTATTTCCTCTCGTCACCTTTCTAAGTAAAAATGTATTGACATTGACAGGAAAAATTCCCCATGGGTCACTACTAGAAGTGATAGGGTTGTTACAGTAGTTTGTTAAAGTTTTCACTGGAGCCAAGTGATCTATCTTCAGGGTAGCACAGCAAATTTTAGAGTTTGGAGGGGGAGGGTGGGGGGTGGCTACAGTTGAACGCATAAGCTCCAGCCAACAAGGCAAGGGAATGGGGGCATACTTAGCACAGAGCTTATGCCACTTTCCAAAGCATTAAGCCTTGAACCCCTTAGACTAACTAGCATCTCAATTCTCCCTATGTTATCACCCCTGGATCACACATTAAGGTTATGAGAATAAAGAAGATGATCACCAACTCAAGAGGCTCTTGCTTGTTAAACAAATTCTCTGACCCCTCTAATGGAAATCTGATTTCTGCAGAGATCCCAAGGCTACAGGTCATAGGGATCTACATGTACCAGTAGCCAACATCATTTAAATAGCACCATTCAAAATGTTCTCTGGAAAGTTTTGAAAGATATTTCAATAATATCTGTCATTACAAGGCCTCCCTATGACAAAGCCATAGGTCATCACACCAGCTTCTGGGGTAGACAAAAAAAAAAAGGTTTCCAAGTGCATTTCAATACCAACCATTTGCCACAAATTTGAAACACTCCTCCTTTGTCATTCCATGTTTGTAAGTAGCATCACAATGGCCATAAATGTAAGTACTTCCAGATCCTGAAAAAAAAAAAAAAAAAAAAAAAAAACTTACACATTGAAAATCTTCTCAGAATCATTGTGAACTATCTTTGCATTTGAACCTGCATGAGACTTCCAACAAGGCATCTACTAATTTAAAGTGTCTTCTAATATTTACCTCCTATGGCAAAGGGCTGCCTCACACACATTCCACCCAGGGGAATTGAAAAAACCTATAAAAAATAATATCAAACATTTGTAAACTAATTACATACTTAGCAAAAACTATTTAAAACCAAAAGATTCTACAGCGGTAAATACAGATAAAATAATGCCAAATTTGCATATACACTGTAGCCTTATGCAATAAAGTAATCAAGCACTCAAATAGTTCCAGACACTACATGTACGTGAAATATTTCAACACTTTCAGCAATATACATATGCCTCTGAAAATTATATATGATTGGTAACCACAATTATCTTAGTATCTTTATACTGGAATGCTAACTGATATCTAGTTTTATCTATTATTGCAACATGAATGTTTTCCTCCTTACTGTGAACATTTGGTCCCATTTTAACTTTTGCAAACTACCGATATCAGAGTTATAACTAAAAATTGACCAATATAATAACAAAGAGCAAGCAATTAATTTTGTCCAAATTCTTGTCATATTTGACAGCTTGAGTATTATGCACTGATTGGGTCAATTCAGTTTAGTTGGAACCACTGTGCTTTTCCAATAATGTGATCAGAAGGACAAATGTTCATTTAAAGTTTCAAAACCATAATGCAGTTGGTTTCTCTCAGAAAATATTTCTACTGAATTGCACAGCCTTCATCAGTCTGTTGAAGTAAGTTATTACACAGCAAAAGACTTTGTAACCACTTGCTCAGAGTGCCCCTCCCCTCTGATGGGAGCATGGTCTGGAAGATCTTTGGAAGCTCAAGCTCCTTGTCCCTATTAACCTCTTTAATCTCTGTAAGTGACCAGCATGTAATTTCTCCTTACAGTAATACTGCTGAATCATTCATTAAGATCATGAGAATAACAGAAATGGTCGCCAACCTAACAAAACTCTTGATTGTTAAACAAATTCTCCCTGTCAGTACCAAAGGAATTGTATAAAGAAGAGTATGGAGAATATGGATACTGATGTTAGGGTGTAAAGGGTTAAATGATGGACATCTCATCTTGACCTCTATAGCCTCTTTATTGTCCTCTTGTTGGGATTGGTTGATTCTATCTAAGTGATGCTGGTAACAGCTGTGGCATTACTGTTAGTAAAATAAGCTCATCTTACCTGTCCTCCTTCCCTCTTATCCCAGCCTGCACAAATAATGCCAGCTGTCAGTGAATCACGGTTTCCATAACAAACCTCACGGAAGACATTAGCCACTGTTTTCACAAGTGGCTGTTCACCCATTTCAATGCTATAGGGAAAAAATGATTATCAAAAGGTTATCTTTTCGATTCAATGACATTTTATTTTAACAGTGAATACACTACTACATGAAGTGGTACAAGACTTCAATTTTTAAAACTTCTCTCAAGAAATTTAAATCAGTTTACAAGATATTACCATCAATACATCCCATTAAGGTTTAACACTTTAACTCCCAAAAGTGATTAACAATTAATTTCTCTCTACAATATCCATACATTATCCAGAAACAGGTTCTGAGAGAATCCAAACTTATCAGTTGGAAGTTGTTATCTTGATAAAACACTAAATTCTCATACTAATTTACAAGGAAATGCATAGCAGCTAGAGGGGAAAATTAACAATCAGATGTTGGGCTTAACCCTTTCACCTCCCAAGATCTAATTAGTAATTCTCCTTACTATCTGCCATACAATTCTTATGATGTTAGTTCAGAGAATTTGGTATTGGATCAACTAATAATCCCATAATTGATATTCTTCTCTATTCTCATCACCTGCCTGCTTGATATTGTATTGATATTGTAAGGAGAAATTCTGTCTTGGTCACTTGTGGAAGTTTAAAGGGTTAAGTTACTCATAGAAATCAGTAGCACTATAGTTCAAAGACAAAACACTTATATAGAGAGGAAATTAACTCAATAAAGCTTCTTCTCCAATCAACTCAAAAAATACACCAATATTACCTGATGAAGTTCAAATGATATTTAGCTATATCAGCAATGGCCTGTGTCGCTGCTGCAGATCCTGATCGGCAACAAAACACTCTATCTGTCACTGGAGTCAGCTTATCTGTTACTCGGTTTGCTATGTATGCACTAAATAGGGGAAACAAGTTATAAAAAAGAGTCATTTGAGTCTAGTGGCCTAACGATTTCTTAAGAAAATTGTCTTTTTTTCAGAACAAATGTAGCACAGGGGACTCAAGCATCTAGTAAGGTGTCCTTGCACTTTTACAGGCATCTTATTATACTCCAGGATGGTAAAAGGCACTAAGAGAGAGTTAGCTACATGTGCATTGTATTCTGATCTAATATGTGATAAACATGTAATTTCTCCTAATAAATCAGTTGACAAGGGATGGACCAAAAGAGAAGTTGACAGCAGGAACTGCAAGTGCCTAAGAAGGGAATCTGGAGCTCAGGGTATTCGAGATAAAGAATGAGGAGGGGGGCAGGGCCAGAGGGTTTGAGAAATGCAGGCAACAAGGCTAGACAAACATACAAAGAGCATGGGATAAAACGAAAAAAAAGGGAAAAAAACACAAATAAAAATGGATTTTTTTTTCATCTCAATCTCCACTTCCCCTCTCATGGTCCTTCCTAAAGAGGGCAAATGGATTTTGACAAGAAGCAGCCTTCTGAATCGAACTAAGCAATCTTTTCTTTACACAACATCAAATCTCTCTCCTAATTCACAATACAACTTATGGAGGCTAAAACAGAGAAAAAATAAAGAATTGGACAACCTGATCTTTGAATTCAGCTCAAGTCTTTATCAGCAGAGTGCAACAATCACGAATAAAGTAGTAACTTTTATGGCCATTGAAAAACACCGTTTGGAGCGTTCGCCATCTTTTTAAATGAGGACTTTGGCCACACGCTAATCGTTCGAATCAAGTCAACGTTTCTCGTATGACTTAGAAAATTTATCTCCCTTTCCATACATCTACTTGATGACTAAGAGCAACGGTTCACCTACCCAGTTGTTGTTCGTGAATCAGCACCTATCACCACGCCGCCATTGAACTCAACAGCCATTATTGTTGTCTGAAAAAGACCATAAATGAGAAGCTATTCAACAGAAAATGTCCTCTTTTATAAAAAATAACAATTTATCTTACTCCTGTTCTATGTTCTGCTGTTAGCCAGTCTGGATAATCGTCAGAAGCCATGGTTTGTTCACGATGACTTAGCATTCCCGGTTGAAGCATGGCCGCCATTTTGGTTCTGCGAGCCTCGTTCTCGGGTTGAAAGTTTCCTTTTAGTACCCAGATCTCCTCGCTATTGTTTCCAGTCTGCCCCCGGTTGTATCCACTATAAATCGCTATACGGTGGATAGCGCAGTACGTTTTCTTAACAGTTATGCGATGGATAGTGATTTATCCGTTGGATAGCGTTATCCACTCTTTGAACAACTGGGCCCTGGGAGGAGGGCTGCCCTGGTGCTAAAGGAGGGGTGAGCGAAATTCGGGAGGGAGGGGCTAGACCTAACTACGGTTCAAAAAACGCTGGGGATGGGGGTTTGACGGACAGAATTTTAAACAGGAGACATCGGCAACAAAGTGGATAATTAACACAAATGTGAAATTTAGTTAAAAACCAAAAGATCGAAATAAGAATATGATAAAACACTTGGAAGCTAAAGATGTATGCAAGCACATACCAAAAAATACGACTAAAGTCAATAGCCCATTAAGCAATAGGCTAGTGCTAACTTATACTCGTCATAAGCTGACTTCAGATGAAATAAATACTCATGTTTTGAATAAATAACATTTGTTGGTGGGAAACGAAAACATCATGCAAAGGAACTTGAAGTAAAATTTCAGTAGAAAAAGAAAAAAAAATTTTAAAAAACATACAATTTGTACTGAAAATTTATTTTCTGTTCGTGCGAAAATAAATATGATTTCACGGCTCATGGAGTTTTCATTCTATTCCTTTGGCAAATTGTTTTCAAGTGTTCAGATGATAACGATGTTCAAATAAAGATGCCAGTAATTGTGGAAGACATTTAAATAACTTTTAATTCAAATTTGGATTTTATGACACCATGACGGCCGTCTGGTGCGCCTAATAATAAGCCGATGGTGAATGGGTAATCAAGAGCTCTTCTTAGTTTGCTAATTACACGCGCCATATTGTTATCTTTCTCAGTCAAGTGAACACAAGAGGCTTTACCGAAATAATGTTTAAGCTTGACTATCACGCAGCTAAAGGCGGAGCGCTTCATTTCACAGATCGAAAACTCTACCATCAGCCAGCGTTTTAGCAAAGTACAACCACAGTTGCGAGACTGGTGCGACTCACAGTCACACCAACTACCAGCATTCGTCAAAGCTTCAGTTTTTGTTAACGCGACCATAATCTCAGGTCTATCTATCGTGAAAATATTCGGAAATATCGTAATTTTGCTCGCCCTGAAACGAACTTTTCGACTGCATACCGCATCTAAAGCTCTGTACTTCAGTCTAGCAGTGTCAGATTTATTCGCTGGACTATTTGTACAGCCAGTGTTTGTTAAAAGACTCGTGGTAGGACTGAAGTTCCCAAAACCATGTCGGATTTTTGCAATTATGGCTACTATCCTCGGCGTTATGTCGGTGGGCGTCTCTTTGCAGACCCTCACACTTATCAGTGTAGACCGAGTGCTCGCGCCATTCGCCTAAAAATGCGTTACAAAGAAGTTGCCACAATTTTCCGCGTGCGTCTCATATCAATCTTCATGAGCCCGTCATTTTTCAGTCTTTTCCAGATCCTTGGGCAGGGGGGAGTAATATTACTGCGATAATACCTAATGGGTGGATCACTTGGCTCAATACAGACTTTCCTTGTCCTTTATTGTGTTGAGTACTGAGGAACTTACTCCACTTCTATTTACGCAAAACCTTCCTCATATCCCGCCAGATATTTGCTATCTTAGCCCCAGGTATCACGACCCTTGTTATCTAGAGCCTCTTTTATTGCAAATCCTCCCGGTCCTCGAGCTTCCCACCCCACCCGTCTCCAAATCCCTGTTTAGTCCCCTCTCGAGGGAGTGGTATTCAACGTACAAAAGCTGTATCTTCGTAATCGAACACAAAAGTGTAAACGGAGCCAGGGTCTTTTGTATTATAAGCACAATATATACCAACAAGTCAAAATTTAGTCCGAAAGTTTGAGATATATTTTGCTTTTAATTTGTATTGACAAATGAACATGTTCTTTTCGTACTGGCTACTGTTTAAGTCCTGTCTGTGTTAGATCCTCTTAGACCAACTTTTACTGGGATAAGGAGCACGTACTCATGGTTTCCCTTACATGAAAGCCCCTCCTACATGGAAACTGAAGTCTTTAAATGAAGCAACCAAGGGTAGTACACCAGTTAAGAGAAACTTTTTAAGAGAACAGCTTTTTTTAGCAGATATCTTTCCCCCAACTTTGGCTTTCATTTTCTACACTTTTCTGAATGAGCAACTGCAGTGTTGAAAGTTGGGGAAACAAGGTTGTTTACATCCAAAGGTCTCCTGTTTCTTTTTCAAACACCAACCAATTGTCAGTGATAAACAGGCAACTTGTAAAAGTTTCAGAACGTCAAACTTTAGCGAAGTTTGCTCTAGATTTTCAACGCAATTATATATATACATAAATAGGCTGAAAATTATACAGGCCATAAGCAGGTCAAGCTTTAGTGTAGCGAGTTACGACAGCTTTCATTTGCTGGTAGGTGAAAATTACTTTTACTTTTATGTGTGCTCGGCATTAATCAGTTTAGCCCTTGATAACGGTATGAAGCAAATCATTGGTGGCAAAAAATAGAACTAAAGCGACGAATTTTAGCAATTGTTTCAAAACCATTCATTAATTGAGGGTCGTGCATAAATCAAATCTCCCCACAAAATTTAGAATTCCTTTCTTTTCGAAGTATCCTCCTTTATTTGTAGATGACATGATCACGGCTGAGGAAATAGCAGTTGAGGAAAAAAAAGGACTTCATAATTGTTTGAACCACGTCTTGAAGCCAATGCTAAAACAAACATTTTAAGAAACGAGGAAACTTTAAGTAGAGAATTGAAAAACCGCAAAGGTGTTACGAAGATTAATGCAAAAAACACCTAGCACCTCTATGGCAAACACAGAAAAGCTACCGCCCTCAGTAATTATGATCATTTGGTTTTATAGGCAGAAAAAATGAACCTTAATTGTACATCAAGCTGCTTTTTGTGGAGTGAAGACTTGAAAAGTCACATTGTTGCAAAACTGAATTCAAAGACCCTCAGAAAACCGCCGAAACGTCGATGGAAACCTCTACCGCCTCTTTTACGAACCAGTATCCCAGCACAGCACTACCAATGTTTCAGAGCTGGTGTGATGCAAAACAAATTCAAGAGTCGACCTTCATGAAGAGCTCGAATGTTGTTAACGCCATGATCAACTTAACGTTGTCTCTAGTGACCATCACCGGGAATGTATTGATTTTGTTGTCTCTCAGGAGAAGTTCTCGACTGCACGCCACATCAAAGGCCCTTTACTGCAGTCTTGCTATTTCAGATCTAGGTGTTGGTTTGGTAGTCCAGCCAGCGTTCTTTATAAGGCTCGTGGCAGGGCCATCGATACCAGAGACATGCGAGATTCTAGGAGTCATTATCAATGTCGCTGGGGTTATATCTGTGGGGATATCCTTGCAGATATTGTCAGCTATCAGTGTGGATCGTGTCCTTGCTATTCGGCTCAAGATGCGTTACAAAGAAGTTGCTTCTGTTTTCCGCGTGCGTCTCGTATTAATCACTTGTTGGTTCTTCAGTACTTTCCATGCGTTTTCGATCTTCTTCAGCCCGGCATTCTTCAGCCTGTTTCAGATCCTTGGCATCATTTTGTGCATCGGTGTCTCCACTGTCTCGTACATCATTATTTTCCACACTCTGCGAAAACTGCAAAGTCAAGTTCAGAACTACAGTCTCGAGGAAGAAGCATCGCAAAATTCCTTCAACATAAAACGGTACAAGAAATCCGTGTCCACTTCACTGTGGGTGTATGCGTCCCTTCTAGCGTGTTACATGCCATTTATGTTGTCCCTTATCGCCAGGATCGCTTGGGGAATGAGTCCAACATTTCTTGCAATACAGTGGTGCACTGTTTCTATGATCTACATGAACTCCGCGTTGAATCCTATCTTGTATTGTTGGAAAATCCCCGAAGTGAGGGATTTAATGAAGGGAATTATTAAAGAATGCTGTTGCTGTCGCAAATAAGCGACATGAAACAAACCAATTTAGTTTTATTGATTTGAATGAGCGGCAAGTAAACAGTACCCATGCATGATTTTCGTTATAAAAATGCAAATCAACTTCATTTACAAGTTACTTTAAAGACGACGAGGACGTTGACGGCATCAAGAGAACATAAAATTATCTTGACGACAAAGAAATCTGTGTACATATTTTCAAAAACTAAGCAGCTTGGTACAACTTTAAAAACGCAACACGAGTGTTTCAAGCAACCACTTTATAGTTTGTTCATGGAAAAGGTACTAAACCTTCTTAAATTGGATATAGGAACTTATAATACTCCATAAATAAGCTTTTACGTTTTTGCGTCGAATCACAGATGATGTCAATAGTCCTAATGTATGATAAAATAGCACAAGAAGAAAAGTGCTGTACCTGCGGTGCTTAAATAGTGCAGGGTGCTTTGACGAGAATCGTCTTTGAAAAACTGAGCGTGAGCAATTGAGCAGTGGCAAATAGAAGTGGTGCAAAATACAATTAGCCTGATTTGACTTCAGCCTTTTATTGCAATTCATTTTAGTTGATGCTCTTTTCTTTTTCAAATCTCCCTATCCTATTTTGCCTTGCTGAAATCTTATTTATGACATATCTTAGTAATTATGCATAAATCCAAGGTGACAGACGCGAAGGCCTGGCACTACGTGTGTTCGATTCCAGATAGAGAGGTCTGGGTTCGAAACCCGGCTGGGTCATTGTAATGTGTTCGCAGGTGTAAAAAATCCATTTACGAAAAAAGAGACTAGAGTCCAAACTCCGTAGAAAATACGTATTAAACTTGTCAAATGAACCACAACATTTGGCTAAAATAAAAACTCCGAAACTTCTTAAATCTCCGAGCAAAGGAGTAACAAACTATTTACGCGAACGAAAGCTCATAACAACTAAAACTCCGCGAAATCAAACCAAAAGTACGCGAAAAATGTCCACGTTAGTTTTCCTATGTCAAGGTTAGAGTTCTTTGACGTGATTGGCTAATTTGTGAAATCACCCACGCCGCGTGTGAATACAAAAAGGATACAAAGGGGGGGGGGGGGGGGGAGGAAAAGAGGAAAATTGTCACTTGAAATTTAACTGAGAACGAAAGAGATTTTCTACAGAGGGCAATAAGCATAACACTGCCTCTTTCCACTCAGGAATTCAAATGAGAGCCGGGTAATTTTCAAGAGAACCAAAGGGATTTCCGAGGGGTCACTTGCTATGAGTTGCTAATGCAATGGTACAAAATTCGTGAAGAGATGGGTAGGAATGCGGCACGGTCACGTTAGCGAAAGGTTTAAAGCGAAACAACTGACAGCGTTTGAATGAACGACATTTTTTAAGCGAGTGGCGTAATGTTTCGAATTGGTGTTGCACACTTTTGAAGAAAACCGCTGTACTTGATTGAACCGACTGTACAACAGTCAAGTAATAAGCAATTACAACGTTGACAGCGCGTGACCAAGACAACTTCCTGAGAAAACGAGAAGGTCGTGTTTAGGAGACGGAGGCATTCATAATTAATAGGTAAGTAATAATGAGAACAGAATTTTCTCTTTTATAATAGATCCACTGAATTTTTTAGCATCAAGCTTGTATGTGTGTGTGAAATTAAAATTTGCCCATACTTGTTTCTTACGTCATTGATATAGAAGTGTTTTGGCGTTGTATTGTACTATCGTAATGACATTTTAACGAGCAGTTTCTGCTGTGTTGTGTAACAAACGCAATCTATAGTCATGAATACATCGAAACTAACTAAATTCAGACCAAAACTTGTGAAATATGTGATATTAAACATTCTTAAAGTGTTAGCAAACTTTGCAAAGTCACATCGGAGGTCACTAAGTCATGTAAGTCTGTTACTTGCGAAGGAAACTCTGTTTGGTTTCATTTTGATACACGTCCAAATTTTCCAATCTTTAATAGTCCAGCTATCGCGAGAGGTAAATAGAAACACGTAATTTAGTTTCTAAACTGAGAATTGTTCCTACCTAATAGAATACGACTTGCCAATCTTCAAGATTATTTGATTTCCGATTCAGCTCAAACCCTCTTTCGTTTGAATGTGTGGAAACAGGAAAAAAGAAATTATCTTAAAAATCCTCCGTCTTAACATATAATCTGAATTTAACAAAGTTCAAATCCGGAGTGCAAGAGGGATTTTTGCTCTCTTCGTTGAATTATGAGAAACATTCTGCAGCAATCACAGCTGGAGTGTTGTAAGCTAGAACAGTTGATTTTGCTCTTCGTCTGTGACAAGCCTTGTGCGTCACTTGTAGTTGTCAATATTCGACTTTTGCTAACTGTAAGAGGAAAAAGATTTCCATGTGTTTTTCTGAGGTAGAATGATTCCGTATGAAAAGGAAAACTGATTACCATTAAAAGCGAAAGCAACAGAATTGTTTAAAACATCGTGTGCGAGTGTTGTATGACACATTCTTTACCCATTATGACAGAGAAAGTCCCTTGGCTCTCGTTCAATTTTACTTGGCATCGAAGGAGGTAATTTTTTTCAGCGATTTGCAAGGAATTAAAGTAAATCTTTTACGAGATGAGGGAAGGAAACTATTATGTGCCAAGTAGCGCTGGACGCAATCGATACACTAAATCCCTGAATGCAGAAATATAACCCTTCACCAAAACAGAAAATGGCCTTAGCAGTCATTTGCATTACTATTCGGGTATTCTCTTACAGTCACGCTCTTCAAATGAGTCAGCAAGGTCGTGCATATACAGGTTCTATGACTAATCCATTATATTTAGCAACAAATAAAATCCCCCCTTTGTAATGCTAAAGAAAGAAAATTAGGGTCGCTGCCAAAAAATGATTGAATTTTCCTCTTTTTTTATGTGTGCGGTAATAGCCGTTTTGTCGTTTCATCGGAAATTGAACCTCGCATGATTTTCCGGCCACGATTGTTTAATAAAGATAATGATGGATTTCTTTAGCTCCAAACAATCACGATGGATCGTAATTGAACACAAGGAAAACTTGAAAAACTCAGTTTAATGTTCTATCAGTTTTCCTGGCACCACAACACTGATTAGTTTTCTTGGCTAAGTTTAAAGTTTGTATGCAATCTTCGTATTCAATTAACTATATTCGAGACTCATTTGACTCCTGGGTGCCGTTTAAGTATTCAGTCTCTCTTTTTAAATAAATCATCAACGATGGGAAAAAAGACAAATGGTACGAGATAACAGAAGAGGATTTGTGGAGATAAGAGAGTCTTTCAGCATGGTTTGCTGTCATAATATATCATTATGATAATTCACTGCATTCAACTGATGGGAATATTTGAAATATACTTGTTAAAATCGAATAAATCAATGTACAGTAATATTCGAAATGCCCTACATTACTCCAGTTGTATCTATATTTATACTACGCCGAGACAGAAGGTAACAGTCTCCCCAAAACACTTAACGAGTAACGTTTAATTCATTTTTTTTATTAGACTGATCTGTTGTGTATTTAGACGTTAATAAACGTCGCTATTCATTCATTAAAATCATTCGTAAGTGGCTATGAATCTTTAAAGCGCTTCGATGTGTTGTTTTTAAATGATCCTTCTCATTCGATGTATGATGGACATTTATATACTGAAAGGAAAAATTGACAGTTGCTGTATGATAAAACTTTTTATCATACAAACTACGGTGTTGTACAAGGATTTCCAGCCCTGAGAAAAGCCGTAACAACACTCGTGAAAAAAATACGATATTTTTTCACGTGTGTTTGATATCGCCAATCAGCTGCTGAACGTCACACGCCTTTCACGCCACTCGGTCAGGTTGATGAATGAACGGTAAAGCCTTCACCATTCTCAATCCAAGGTCGTTTGTCAGAATATTTTCGGATTATGTCTGCTAAAAAACCGAAATATTCCTATCGACGCTTACAGAGAGTGACGTTCAAACTTTCCTAGAAAGGGAAGAAAACCAAAATACGAAATGAAAAACCGAAAATTACGTATTTAGTGGCTTTGGTAATAGCATTTTTCGCGGCTGCCGCTGGAAGATTTGCCACAGGCCGATTTTGGCCGGGTACTTGAATGATTTCCTCGGGTACTTGAATGATTTCCTCTGTCGGTAAGGACCAATTCAATAATTCAGAATCTTGTGTATTGAAAATTAGGCCCATTGTTTGTTTTTTTTTTTTGCAGTGATTCTGGGATTGTCGATCCTTTTATTTTCATTCATTAAAAGTAGAGTCGAATTTTCTTGTCAGTAAAAGGCTATTGTGTTTATATGATAAAAAAAAATAACACATACTTGCTTGTAGATATGAAATTTCTCTTCTCGTATTCAACTCAACATCTCACTCGTTCGCTGTGCTCACTCGTGAGCTATCGAGTTAAACATTCGAAGGGAAGTCCATATCTACGCGCGCCCATGTATTATTGTCTATATATAATAAATAATAACAACACTCAGTTCTCTCCGCGAAATAGAAAGCAGCCTCTTTTTCATTACATGATAATTTAGAATGCCTATAAATACGCGATGAAATAATAAGATGCAATGTTTTTCAACTGCAGATTTAAGGCGTTTTGCCGCGACCATCACAAAACGCTGTTTTGGAAAAATGGCTTTCTTTTAAGACTTCCTCATAAATGATACCCACTGAATGCACTTATTTCTTTTCCACAAAGGAACAAGAAGAATAACAGCAGATTGATTCATTACTACAGTGAGAATGAATTCGACACAGCACGGCACTTCATTCTCAAAAAGGTAAGAGTAGATTTTTTGTCTAATGTTTTATTAAACAATACGGTATTTAAACTTTACGCAGAAACCGCTTATCACGAAAGAGATCGACAAGATTTGCAGAAGAGAAAACCATCATAGCTACCCGAAAGAATTGTAGTTGTTGAATTTGCGGTTTAAAAGAAAATAAGAATTTTGACGATTTGTGGCAAAAATTAATACACTGAATAAATGTGCAGATTTGCTATCCATGTTTGCGGCCAAGAGATTTTAATGGTTTTAAGTGACTGGTTGCTGTATTTCGGGATTATGAAATCACTCTCAACTGGGTAAGCATGTTCAAAAAATTTCAAGTAACTCGCCTGTTCCGATAGAATGGCGCATTTTAAGCCAGGGATTTCTGATTTCTGATTTTATCCATTTTAAGTGGTTTTTGGAAGTATTGAGAGCACTTTAAACTGAGACAGGTCAAAGTCATGATTAAGTGTGATCAGATGTTCCTTTTTTCCTCCGATCGGACGTTCTTTCTTCTAGAACAAAAGGCTTTAGCGCATAGTTTCAATCCCACCCGATGTGTGCGACAGAAACGCCTTCTTTAACTTCCTCTATGGTTTTAGGGGCCACCATGAAGAAAAACAACAATTAACCAAAAAATTCCGGTCCACCCTTTCAGTAATATATTTAAATATATTCAAAAGAAAAGGGCATTATGTTCGAATGTTTACCTCCACCTTGACAATGCCGATAAAAGCGTTTGAAGATACTGTTTCGGAAGTAAGTGGCATTACAGAATGTAACAAAGATATGTAATCTGTGATGGACGGCTGATAAACTATTGCTACCGAATTTGTAGATATACCTAAGAAAATCATGTCATAATAGCTTACTTTGAGATAATCTTCACTCGTGTGCGTTAGCTTCCATTTATCAAAATACTAGTCTACTACATTTCTCTTGTCCTGAAATTGAAGAATTTTACTGATGTTTTGCCTAGATATGGTTTCCCTAAGATAAGATATTGAACGCGTAACAGTGTAACGATGTAAGTCATTTTTCGAATGCAAACAATTCTATGACTTTCTTCTGCCCTGTACGATTTTTTATCATGAATTAGGTGGCGTAAGTTCTTCTTTAATTTTTTTCAAAAGCTACTGTTATGGCTGGTATCCGGTTTTCACTTTGAATTAAAGCTATCACTAGCTTCACAAGGCTCGTCTTTCTTCAGTTGTCCCCTAATCGCGACTTATGAATCAAGCTAGTCTATTTTGCAATTCAATCGACCAAGGGAGACTTTCAAAATGAGGCTTTTAACGCAGTTATTTCCTCCATTTCAATTTTTTTTGCTGTCAGGATGTCATCAATTTTCTAACAAATCTCAGTATTTTCTTAAATTCCAACTAATTATTTTTCATTGATCTTGATCAACCGAAGCCTTCCTTCTTCCGCTCTGAAGTAATTGAGAACGAATATTTCTTTTTTATTTGTTTTCGGTTGCATCAATAATAGCTGACGCGAAACATGTTCTCAGTTCTCTTGACGACACCTGAAGAAATATTTTTCAAGTAAATCATTCAAAGAGCCCTCTCTAAAGCGCAAATAAAGGTAGCTTTTATTTTGTACGTAAACATTGGACATACATCATGTTATTTCTTTTGAATACCAAATTTAGTTTGTTTACTCTATGTGAATACCAATTTTGTTTTAAGTGTTAACTTCGCGAAATTTCGCATCTTAATGTCAACTTTGCGGCTTTGCCTTTTTCCGCTGGTATATTACTTTATTACTGTATTCGGCGGGCACAGTTGTATAGGTTTTTGAACTTTTCGGCTTAAATTCCAAATGAGCATATGAAGAAAGGATTTCTAAGCCATCGCCCGTTTATCAAATGAAGGACTCCGGTCAAAGAGCGATGATAAGTTTCTCGTAAGTACAACAAAAACTTTAATGTACAGAGAAAAAGGCTATTGCTTGAAAAAACAAAAGACTGTTTTGTAATGTGTGTCGTGTAGCAGTATCATACGAGTTTTGCTTTTCTAATGAGAGAGGTCGCGCAACTGAGTTTTCACTGGGACTTAACGATAACCTTAGCTTCGAATTTGAGAGGAATTTTTCTGAGCTAATTTCTTGTAAAATCCGCCTCATTTGATGACAGGGAAAGAGTTATTTTTACTTTTATTGTTTGATTTATTTGTAGTTATTAATTTTGCCGAAAATGACCGTCCAAGGGAAGAGGGCTACATAATTTCATGAACTGTTTGGAGGAAAAAATATTCATGTCCAAAGAAATGAACAGAGATCTTCATAGATGCTCTTTTGTACTATAAAAATGAGGAGGGGAAAAAGACTTGTCTTTCGCTTGAGTTGTTAGGCTTGAATTCTCAATTGTTGTGCAAAAAAAGAAAAGGATTTTTGACGCAGTTCACTTTTATAAACCAGTTAAGAAAGAAAACAAGGCGATGCTGAACTTCAATTAGGCATCAAAGCTCATGACGTACTGTGGAATCAATTAATTAAAACAGCTTATAAATTATTTTGGTCTTTTAGCAATATCATAGCAGATTATTTAAGGAAAAACGTCGTCCCGCTGAGATTTCATCCGGACAAAACGAGATTGCTTGTGGTAGAAATGAGTCATGATGATGTTTATTCATGTTTTTTTTTTTTTATAATTTTTGGCAAACTATCGTTCTGAGTTAAATGCGATAAGCGACAGGCAGGAGGGAGCTTAATTTCAAGTATGTAAGAGTGAATGCTTTTGTGTGTAGAGTTATGGAGATCTTTTTCAAACGTGTGCTGTTGTTTAGTTAGATTTTAGGTACAAGGGAACAGATTTATTATTATTTGAAGCTCTGCTAAAATTCTAAATTATCTGGTATAGAATATTCTCAAGGAAATATTAGTTTATCAATCCGTGTTAATATTAACAAAAATTGTTAGGAAGCCGAGAATTGATGAGGGGTTAACGTTCCATGCAACTAACAAAGCATATAGAGTGCAGAGGCATCATTTGACTGAAACGTTCACCACCAAAACTCTAATACGTGGGACAGAGAAAATCACACGAGTTTCTTTCATTTGAAAAGAGTCCTTCAACTGAGTTCATCCAGACTAAAAAAAATTATCTGCAATCGAGAGGGAATAAACTGAATTTTTATTGTTGAACACGTTGTTTTCACGACCAGAAAGAAATTGAATTCTATCAGATTATTTCTTTGCGTGCCGTTGTCTTTGAGGAAATCACGGCGCACGATAAGAGCGGAAATTAATGCCTTCATGTTAGCGGCAATTTCAGGGATACATTTCTTCTTTTTTGAATTGTACGGCTCAAATTCCAACATTCATATGCAGAGAAAAGAGTTCCGTGTGGTCTGTTTTATCAACCAGTAATTGATAAAAAGGAACAGTAAAGCGAGATAAAGAGGGCAGCGAAACTAATTAATTAAAAGAAGCTGATAGCTACCAAAAGTCAGTCGTATTATGTGTCGTAAACTAATTGATTAATTAAAAACAGGCTGGGGGATAGCTTTCCTCCCTACCTAAAAGTCAGTCTATAAACCAATCAGAATCCGTTTTTGCGCAGTTATTTTGATAACTTTAGGGGGTAGTACAGAGGCGTCATTATATGCGTTCACAAGAAATGATCAACTACAAAGAAATGGCGTATGCGCGGCCGACTTTCAATATTTTCAAGTCGGATTTTCTGTTCCTTTCCACCATTTTAGACCTTCTGGAACATAAAATGAAAAGGAAAAATGCTTAAGAATAACGGTCTTAAAGGCGACAAAATAAGCTTTCGAGTCGACAACACTACAATTCTCTAAAGCGATGCGAATTAGGGCCGTAAAAGCGAAAACCAAACTATCGGACTTCAAGCGAGGCCTAGAGACATTATGAAGATTCAAAGGCACGGTAAATATCACGTTTGAGTAATGAGATGTCCAAAAAGTATTGTTTAATAGAAGATTTTGTGTTAAAACGTAGAACTTTCAGTATTTTCAACACAACGCTGCGCAATATTCTAGACGTGAAGTCAAGTAAACATCGATCTAAGCATGATGAATTCTACTTCGTGGGTTTCGCACACGTAAGAAATTCGTACGTTTTTCGGTTCTAACAGAAAATCAAGAACTGTTTTGAATAAAGCTTTTTTTCCCGAAACGTTCCTTGGTCAGTTTTGTCTTTCTCCTCATTTATAATTTCCATGTAACATGAGATCTCTCCACACACTGATGAATTTGCATATTCACTTTGAAATCCGATCCGCAGTGTTACACGGCGCGCGAGTGTTAAACAGAGCGCCCACCCGTGAGAGTTGAACACGAGAAGAGATAGTTCATATCTACAAGTATTTCAGTACGTATTATTTTGTTTATCATGTAAAAAATAATTTCAGCAAACAACCTTAGATTAAGAATGGTGAACCCGTGGCCATTCATACATCAACCTAACAGAGTGGCGCGAAAGACAAGTGACGTGTCAGTAGATGATTGGCGATTTTAAACACGCGTGAAAAATTATCATAATGTTTACTCGCGTGATGTCACGGCTTTTCTCAGGGCTAGAAATCCTTGTAAAACACCGCAGTTTTTATAACAAACTAAGTTTTTTCTTAATACAAAAGCAGCTATCGTTATAAAGGGGAATACGAAAATATTTCTGTGTTTCAGGTGACAGTTCAATCTTTGTCTAAGGCGACCTGTTACATTACTGGACGAGTAAGCAGTACATGTCCTCTGAATGAAGTTTGGAAAACGAAAAGCTTAACTTGTTAATCTGGTTTTTTAAGTCTTTTGACATATTTCCTCATTCTCTTATCTTTCACAGTCCTCCTTCGTCCGATGGAGACTCCATGGTCCTGTGGCACACACAGATAGTGTATATAACGATCGTCATCAGCATAGCACTCATTGGAAATTTTATCATCTTCACAGCGATCTGCAGCATCAGACGTCTTCATACAATCGATAATGTGTTCATTGCTAACCTGGCTGTTAGTGATTTTCTCTTCACGCTCATTGAAACATGTTCCAACACAACCCGGCGGCACAATGAGGCCTGGAAACCACCCCACGACTTTGTATGTTATGTAATAATGGCATCAAGCGTCCTATGTGCGTCCGCTTCGGTGTTCACTCAGACAGCAGTGGCTGTCAATCGACATTTCGCCATTACGCGGCCGCTCCAGTATCCAAACTTTGTTAACAAAACTAAAATATATATTTCCATTCTGGTAATATGGATCTTTGCAATCGTTCTCGCCTCCCCACCGTTGATTTGGCGACCTCATAACGTTATTTGCGGTGAAGTGGAGTCTTATGACAAAAGCCCCACTTTTGAGAAGGTCTACATGACCGTAGAATGGATTTTTATCTTCATAATCCCGTTTGGAACCATGTCGGCCATATATTTTAAAATCTATCAAATCGCTCGGAACCACGCCAACCGAGTGAAGCCTGGTACGAGCGAAGAGTCTGCCTCACGCACTGGCACCGGCGGTAGTGTGAGAAGAATTCAAATATCAAATTTAAAAAGACAGTTAAAAGCTGCCAAAATGTTGGTGACCATCGCTGGTGCCTTCCTGGTCAGCTGGCTTCCATTCTTCGTGACCCTTACGCTGTGGAAGTTTCAGAAAGGAATACAGATAAATCCTAAAGTTTTCACCATATTCCTGTACGTTGTTTACACTTTACCCGCCGTTAATCCTGCAATTTACGCCTTTTGGTCAAGAGATATACGAAAAGGGATAAAACAGCTTTTGTTCTGTTGCAAACGAGACAGGTAGGAAACATGAAATCAGACGAGTGAGCGAAAGAACGAACGAAAAAGGTATCCTTCGAGCAGGCCTTTATAAGCCGTTCGGCACGAGGAGTTCTGCGCCCGCGAGCGGCACGAGGGGTTCTGCGCCCGCGGGAAAGTATGAGGACTTGAGCAACGCGAGTTGTTGAGAGGTTTACAAGGAGCCTAGCCGGCCAGATCACAGGCATACCACAAATCTTCCTGCGGGCAGAGAAATGCGTATCCTGCAGAGCTTTATACGATGGCCCATCCAAAGGGTACGAATAAGGCAAAAAATGAACGTATAATTGAACTGGGGCGAAAGAGACTGTCAAGTAACCCTGCATTAAGTTAAGGATCCATAGCGAACTTAACTCTAGGTCGTGAACGATCTGGAAACCGAAAGAGGACACTTTTTGGCCTCACCTTTCAATTTATGCTTATATATGCGCTTTTTTTTAGGAGTCTTCACTAATGCAGTTATTTAAAGATGATTTTATGAAAGACGTAGTGAAATCTTCAACTTGATATAAGGTGCATTCTTTTCATTCCCGCAAGCAAACAAAGTTTTAAGTTTTTATCCTTGAATAAACCCAGATTGCGAGCGCAACACACGAAAGCGGCTGAAGTTCAGCATTGTTGTCCTTATCAAAAAGTCACCCGACTTGATTGTTTATAACAGATGATGATGATGATGATTATTAATCTCCTACCCAGATCCTACCTGTAACTGTAACTGTTACTGAAATGCTTACGATTGCTTGACCGTGTAAGGTCTGGGTACGAGACTAGGTAATAATGATGATAAAGATAATAATGAAATTGATGATAATTATGATAATTATTGCATGGTCAGTTCTGGTCTCACATCTCCTAGTTGACAGAATCATTCTTTTCCATCTCACATAACGTAGACGGCAATAACCATCTCTTTGTTCTAAGCAAGGGGATCTCTATACTGAGAATGGAAAGCGCATGAGTGTGAACTTCCCGTGGAAAAATTACCCAGGAGGTAGGTTGGTCTGCCAGTCCTTCTCAAAGAGTTATTGCCAGGCTCGATTTTTGGCGTTTTCTCGTGTCCAGTCCTCGATCGTCTCCTGGGGAAGGAGTTCGGGTTCAGTTCCTGAACAACGTGTGGTGATCAAGCCGAAGTTTTTGCTCACCAGATTTCTTTTTTCGTGTGATAAACTTAAGAAGCATAGCACGAAACGGAGCTACAATTCCATAAAAATATTTTGAAATGAACGATTTTTTATTGACGTTTCAGTAAATTCGATTTTTAGTGATTCAGCTGTCACATTGCCCCTCTTGGCATGCTTGACAGCGTCTGGAGTCATGTGACTGGCGCATTCTTCCGTGTCTTTTACTAATGTTGGAGTCTTCCTGTGCAAAACCGTAGAAATCCTGGAAAACGAAGAGAAGATCATTTTTACTACAGATAGTACAATTTTATTAAGAATGACGCAAGCAAAACCGATGCGATCCCAGCGGCCCATATCAAATTATTACATTGAGCCACAAGTAAGTAGACTGAAAGAGAGAAAACTGCCTGAAGTGTGAGGAAATAATGGTGACCATGTCATTGTCGGTTTGAGTTTTGAATACGATTGGCTGAGAAAATGGCGTGAGTTTTTTATACCATAAACACAGCGTGGAAACCAAATGCAGCAGTGATTTAGTTTCTTTGCTCAATTGAAAATTGCTCTATTTCATTGATGATCTATAGACGTGTCCAGTTTCATTCAGAAGGTCGATAATAGCAGTTAGAACAAGTGATTTGTTTACATATACCACTACGCTTTTTCGGATTTTATAATCATCTTATTGACAATTTACTAAAAACCGTCAGATGAAAAACTTGATGTAAATCGGTGTGTGTCGAAAATGTGAAAAATCTGTACCACTCTTCCATAAAAACTCACGATTTATTCGCTTGATTGAACAATTTTGCTACTACGCTTCGGTTGACTCCCACTCACAACTCTCGGCTTACTAGAAGGAAACACACTCAACGTCCTGTTGTAAGCACGTGGAGCAGTGCCATACATGAGACGATGAAACATGAGCTGCATACAGGTTTACTTAATTATGTATAAATAAACCATGAAATCCCTTATAAATGTCAATCAAATCGAGAATAATTAACGCATCGTACAGTTCCCCAACATGTGTAATCTTCTATTGACTGCTTGGAGGGCTGTAGAAATTTTACCCAAGGCTTATTTTCAGACGCATCGCCCTCACAGAAATGGGACGTTTTATCTGAGTAAAGAAGGGTTTAAGCTTCTTTCACGATAACCTGTCTGCAGGCCTGTGAGGCTATGTTCCAGTGGCATTGTAAGCGTGGTATTTGAATGTGGTATTCATGAGTATGGAATACACAAGGTATCCGAAAAAGTGACTATTTGCTGTTTTAATTTAAAGTTAATAATCTTCTTAGAGTTAAAACTACCTTTCCTATCTTTTTATGAACGTTTTCCAGAACTCTTTTGACCTCGTCCTCGTACCACAGCGGATTGATAAATGTCCCATCTTCACATATTTTGCACTGCTGACCGTACAGCCTGAACCTCAAGGAGTCTAAGAAGGAAAAATAACTCATTTGCTGTCAATAATGCATCGTAAAAAGAATGAATAGATTTACCAAGAGAGGAAGCATTCTCAAGCCCAATATATTGTTTCAACAACTGAATCCCGGTTGAGGTCTTCCTTCACCTTTTGTATGTCTCGCTACCCTAGAATATTCTGGTGGAAATGGACATTGCATAAGGTGTCCGCCTGAACAAAATTCTTGAATCAGGATCGGTTAAATCTAGTAATTGATCTAAAAACGGAATTGATCTCAAAATGACTCGAAGTGGATTAACTCAAGGTGATCGTTTCCTTCAAGAGACTATAAACTTGTGTGTCAGTATGATAGATTCAACAAATTTATCGACAGAATTTTCGTTCGACTAAACATGAATTTCTTACATTTATTTGTCTCCTTCGGTTCATCTTTTTGTCCTTTTTCTTCCGTCTTCAATTCTTTCTTGTTGTCTTTCTCGTCACTCTTCTTGTACCAAAATATAATCCTTCCCATCATTGAAGTCCACGAGTTATTGCAATCACAGAGAAATTTGACTTTGGCTTTATCCCTAAATTTTCTCCAATCCCTTGGCATTTCTTTGTCAGTCGGCTCCAGTGTCCACTCGTCCGGATTGAAGACCTGGAAGATGTCATCAAAGGTTGTATGCCAGTATTGTGACAATTTTAGCTGCGGTGTAGCGTTATCACCCCGTGAAGCCATGTTATACCTTATGGCTGATTTACAAAGCAACACAGGATTGTCTTTCTTCACTGAAAAAAAAAAAATTAGAAAATTAAAGGCTATGGTTAAAATTTGTTTAAATGAACGGAAATAAAAACTACTTGTCAAGTTTTCTCGTTTTTAATTCAAAAGCAATCTGCACGGCTTTTGTGACTGGCTTTACACCAATCTTAACTTACGCATCTAGAAAGGTACGGTTTTCTGTTTGATTATTTACACGTAACAGTGAATTTTGTACTTTCGGTTTTTACCTACGATAGCTAACATTTCACTTCCGGTCTGCGAGGCTGCATTCTTATGCCTATCTCATCCTTCGTCGGTGTTTGTTTTTAAAAGACACCTACATTTATTGCTTAGCCGAGATTAAAAAAAAAGGGAACGTTTTACATTGAGATCTATCTTGCTGCCCGATGGAGAGCTTCGATCGTAGATGTAAAGGTGCGTGTCTTCACATCGCCGTGTTTTTTCTCATTGTATGAATTAATTATTAGGTGAAGACAACATCGAACATGTGTTACAACTCAAATAAACATTTTGACTTTGAAATCTGAGTTAAGAAATTAGCTTACATAACTATTCACCATCTATCTGTGTGATTCACAGAGTTAAGGATCTCGATTTATATCTTACCTTGCTTTTTGAGGTTTCGGTTTCTTCCAGTAGAGAGCGTCGATGCCGGAGCTTTCAGATCCAGTCGGCTAGACACAAATTTTCTGGGTTAAATTCAAATTACGCCCACCTGTATTTACTGTAGACAGTAATGCGCCGATTTCTTTTTCTTTCCACTTTTTTTAACGTAGCTTCTACTCTAGATCGCTGAATCATAACTATGATATCAGCCAAGAACGATCGATGATGTTATTTAAACGATTTCGATTTTCCGGTTACTAAGAAAAGCTCTGATTCCGGGAAAACACCGCTGGGGTTTCTCCCAGACTCTTCTCTACTTGAATGTGTGATGCTGTTCAACACATGTGATTGGCTAGTGGCTTGCATGAAGGAGTGCCGTTTTGAAAATGTATATCAACTTGTATTACTTGTTTTGATGCAGTTTCTACACTAGATCGCAGAATTATAACTATGATATTAGTCAAGAACGATGACTTTATTTATATGAGTTCGATTTCCAATTACCTAGAAAAGCCCTGTTCCGGGAAAACACCGCTGGGGTTTTCCCTGGTCTCTTCTCTATTCGAATGTGAGATGACAGCAGCTGGGAACTGTTGAACACATCTGATTGGCTTATAGGAGGGAGTTTCGTTTTGAAAATAAATATCAACTTGTATTACCGACAAATAATATACATTTCTTATAACCAAACTTAATGACGTCCGTCTTTCTTAGAAAGCAACGCACCATTTCCGGTTACTTATTCAAATATGTACATACCACAAATTATATCAGTTTGTTTGGCAAGAAATGGAGAAAATATTCTCCGTTTTCAAAGGAGATAGCATTATTCAACTAAAATTTACTTCAATTGAGACGTGTTGGAGAGGTCTTCGCTGAGAAGGAGGTCGCAGAAGGTGAAATATCTAAACCCACCCTCCCGACGGATTGAAAATTACCTCAGTTTCATGCAAATTTGTGCAGTCACGTATGGTTTTCTGAGAAAGCAGAGAGCAGTTTCCGGGTAGCTTTCTTATAAGAAGGACTTCGCTCAAACTTCAATTCATTCATTTAAATCAACGTGTTTCCTAGCAGAAAACTGACGATATTTTAGACTATTTCGCACGGTCCAACCTTGAAGCAATTTGTACGTGTTCGCGGAGATTGTAACGCGAATCGACAGGTAAGGTTATTAATTGATAAAATCATTGATTACGGTTTCTAGTCACCCATATTGTAAAATACCACAAATAATTTCAACTGCCAGTGTGTATCAGAAGTTAGGCAGTTGATCTATGACGGTTGTTTTTGTCTTTCCAGTTAAGCAAGGTTAAAGGAACTCGCTCTTCTCATCTGTGAACCTCTTCGAAGGTTTCGAATTATAACATCGATTGGTCTTTCGTGGTTCAGCTTATCAAGCTATCATGGAATCTATGTATACTAATAATGTCTGACTTTTATAAAAGGAATCTTTTCAACCGTCGTTCTGCTAAAAATATTACCCGTATGATGAATCATACGGGTAAAATGCGTACGGTACTTTCACTCTGTAAACAAGCACATTTGCCTTTTTCAGTAGCTTCGGTTCTGACATTTATTTGAGATTTCGTTTCGCAATGATTTGACGATTCTGTTTTGAAGACTTCGAAGAGCACGACGCTTTAGAAGGCAATCGTTCACAGTTGTGCACATTGTTGTATACCTTTAGTTAATTTACGCTCGACTGTAAGCAAATCTAGCTTAAGTTTCAGTCCCGTCGGCGGTTAATTTAACCGGCCGGCATTTTGCACTTACGGTCTGCGCCTGGACATGTACAGTAAAAACGGATTAAGTTTTCTTTACGTGGATTGATTAAGGAATTGATAAATAGAACGATGCTAACGTTGCCCTTAGTCAGAACTGTCTGAGTTACATGTGTAAGAAAATTATCGGTTTCATATATTCCAAAATAGATTCACCACCTCCTTCATGTAAAGCGGTGTGCGAAGATTGAATCAGAATTATCATTTTTCAATGTTAATTTTAATCCGGTTAATTTTAAACCGGTGAATTTTTGTTAAGAGTTGAAGCGTGTAAACCGGCAGCAAAGGTAAGCTGAGTGACATCATTTGAAATGCGCTGGTGTGATTCCTTGTTCATCGTCTACGCAAAGTTCACAATCAGACACATTTCGTGTATGTCATGGACTAAAGAATATGAATACCCGCGGGTCGGAATTTTTGAACAAATTTTTCTGTTGCTCAATATTACAACTAGCATTTTTTGAAATTGGTTTTCACTGTCGAAAACCAAACCTTAAATATGTAACTTTGTTTAAGGTAGTCTGGAAATTTTACAATAAGGGTTACCTCATCATTCATTATAATTTCGCTTTTTTGTTCAAACTTTGGTATTAATTGTTTGGGGATTGATCATTAGTTGTAGACATTGGTTCAGCGCTGTCTGAGCTCTTATCGACAATGATATTCGTCATCACAGCGGTCAAATGTTGCCGACTCATTAGGCGCAGGCGAGTGAACGATTTGTGTCTAACCACAATATCGACGACTATTTCAGTGCGCGACCATTGCGTGACACGTTGACGTGACAAAGACAAATTGGCCAATCAAATTGCGACATTACTGCTAATTGTGGTTAAAAACATTGACCTGATCCCCCCATAAAGCTCTGTACTATGAATATGTCCCCTCCCTCTTCTATAGCAGTTAATTAGCGATTAATTTGCTACGGTTTCCCTTTAAATACTCAGCGGCGACACCGATCCCCCTATGAGCCCCCTGAAAAATATATCACCCCACAAAATATCCCCTTTCCCTCACCCCCCAGGGATAAATACGGACTGACTCCTCCATGGTCTGTTTCATCATTGCAGATAGTAAACCATGTCTGGTGAAGTCACCGAAACACCTGTCGCAAAATATGGCCAAAGTAGTGAATTTGGCGTCGTTCTTGACTTTATTCAAAGAATGATAAGTAACGACACTTTACGCCAAGCCTTCAACATTCCACATCTGGTCATGGTCGGTCGGCAAAACATGGCAAAAACCACTCTGATAAACCGTCTGATCGGGCGATATCTTCTCCCAATGCGCCGCAATGAGACCGCAAACACCTTACAGGCCCGCACTACATATCCCATAATACTCAACCTGAGAAACGGCAAGAGGAGCCTAGTGGAGGTTAAATGCGATATACCGGGTATTGGGGGGGCTGTGGAGAATCCTAAGGATGATACCGTGGAGACATTTCTTAACCAAGTCACAGCACATTTACCAAAGGAAGAGGGAACTCCAATTTCGAAAACCCCTGTTAATGTTACTTTGCAAGGTAAGATATATTAATTTAACTAGAATTCAGATTTCACATATCGATCTCATTTAAAGAGATCGATATGTGAATATCGTTGTCGTTTTATCATAGCAGATAGCAGTTCGCATTGAGTGAACGTGAAATAAACGAGAAGTTTTTTTACTGCTTTTTGTTTCCTGCCAGTCTTGAAAATTCCTTCATTCAATTCTATAGAAGTTCTAAGTCCATTCTGAAATTTAAACTTAATATATCTTGCACTGTTCAGATAATTTCGACTTCGTACTCTTTCCTCTTCTCCAGGCCCCGAATTCACGACTCTTACATTGGTCGACCTTCCTGGCGCTCATTTTGCCAATGACGATCCACGCATGAACCTCGTCACTCAAAATTTAGTTTTGGAATACATCGAGAAAAACACTAACAGCATTATCGTCATAGTATCTGAAGTAGGGGACCCCACAGGTGACAGTGCAATAAACCTTGTCATGCAAAAGGCCCCAGATTTTAGGAGCCGCACAATCTGTGCACTTACCAAGCCAGATAAGTTGAGAGAATCCGATGACATGGGGAAAAGGGTGGCCATGAATGGATCCAGCTTCACACTGGATGATAACCGATTCATTGTACTGCGAGGTAAAATATGATTGTTCAGTTTGTTCCACTTTGAAATGAGTCCATAACTTAGCTTACACCAGTAGTTAGGGACTTGTAAGGTATTAGTTAAAACGTTCTTCTACTGAGGGTCGCAAAAGCATAGCTAAAGTAGTCACATCGCTTCCTGATGACAAGGGAAATATCACAATATCCCTTGCAATAAGAACAAGGGCAAACACGTGTAATAACCTGAAGAGTGGAAAACACAAGAAACCAAGGAGTCACGATTGGTAGTCTGGCACCTGATTGATCGAGGGTGTGTTTTTTGTAACCAATCCAGCTCGAAGGGCAGTGAGACGAAACGAAAGAAATACATGATTTCTTTCTCCGGGAAAACTTGATCTACTGGACAGGAATGTATTTTGTGTGATTCAGGTCTAATTTAATTCGATAAAATTTATGGGCGTTTCTTCAGCTTTTTCTTCAATATAACATTCAGGGAAAGATGGCACAGATCCAAAAGAGAAGGACTGGGACGCTGAAACGACTCGTGTTCAAGAAAAACTATGGTTTGCACGGCATCCTCAGTACAAGGACATTCAACATGTCTGTGGAATTGATCGACTCATGGACACCATGATCTCTTTACTGGCTGAAAAGATGATCACAGAAATTCCTATTCTGGTGACACAAATGAGGAGGCGAAAAAAAGAGGTTACAAAATCGTTTGTTAGAAGGGATTTTTTGATTACTGCCAGGCTAGCACCATTGAGAGACCAGGACCAGGATTCAGGGTCTTAAGGGAAAATTTTATTGGGTGTCGAAAATAATCCAAATTTTCTCTGGTTTTTTTTTCCTCTGTGTTTATTGATTGGCATTATCGCTCCTAGATCCGTAACCACCTGATGAATGATAATGTGATAATGATAGTGTCGTGTCTTAGTATCACAACTTTTTGATCCAATAAGGTGGACGATATACTTGAGGAACTAGAGGACAGCGAGGTACCAGAATCGAGCGAAGGCAAGGGTGGAGTGGCCATGAAACTGAAAGAAAATCTAATAAGAGAGTTAAATAAACTTCTTTTCAACAATACTTCTAACACAGCTGGAGGGGAGCGTGTCAGGCAGCTGTTTAATTCATTTCACCAGGAAGTTTTCAGGGTGAGTGTCTTTGGCTTATAGTCTTTAGTGTCTTGTTATAGGTGAGTAGTCATTTATCGAAAAGTGATGGGCGAAAATTTTACATATAGTACGATATATAAGGGAAATTTAACTTATTCTAAATAACGATAATAATAATTATTTTAAAATAAAGCACTTAGAACAATCCTAGCATTCAATTGTTTTTAATTTTAGCTTTCCAAGTTACACTCGTTCGTGAATTATACTTGTTGGTGAAGAAAGAACTACTTAGTCAAACATCTTCTTATACATCACTGAAAGCACGACTTTTACGATCGGCATGAATACAGTACAAAGCACTCAGAAAGACTCCAGCATTCATTTGTTTCTTTTTTCAGCCTTTCCGATCATACTTGCAGGTGTAGTAAGAGCTACTTGAGTCAAACATCTTTGTTAACCACAGGAACAAAGAACAGAGCAAAAAAAAACCTAAATTTTCCCAGCGCTCCAACTATGAATAGAAATTGAATTCATGGTCTAAAACTCTTTCAAAAGGGAAAATTGGGCATGAGATACGCCGAACTAAAGCATTGGCTAAGGGAGTTATTATCACCTTTTTTTGGATAAAATTTGTCACAGGTGGATCCTTTGGAGTTGCGTAATGACGATGAAATACGAAGACAACAAAGAAAATTGGAGGGCGTGGCTGCCCCTCTTGGAGACAGCAGTGAAAACAGTCAGCTGCTGCAGAGGCTTCTGTATGAGAAGTATACAGGTATTAACTAAGAGCTTCTTAAACTTTCTGTAACAAAACATTTGTTTCTGGTTAAGCTAATTTGGAAAATTTCAGGGTAGGAGGCTGAAAAGCTCATAGTAAATATTCCTTTCATAGAGTTATTTTCGTCCCGTTTCTGGATAGTGCAATTTTCAATGAGTGTCGAAAGTGTTCTAAATTTTAAAGTAGACCCCCCCCCTCTGGGTACACTATTGGGACTTGAAAAAGTGCCTAATGAATGGAGTTTTCCCTTCAATGAAGATAACAAGTTTAAAGGTTATTTAGTGGATGCTCATTTCAGGTTACATTTCGAGGCTCGGAAAAGCTTCCCTTTAATTTAAGTGTACTTTCAATAAACTTAAGAGGAAGAAAAGTCATACCTTGGCCCCTCTCTCAAGGGTATACCTTTGGTTCTGAAATAATGTCCTCTTAATATAGGTGTCATAAAGCAAGTTCTTAGACTGTTTTTCAATGGAACGATGCAGTCAATCACTTTTCTGTTTTTTCGATAGGAGTACAAGCCAATGGTAAACCAATCGCGCTTCTGAGCCCAGTTGATAGGTTGCTACCCCTGTCAGAGAAACTTGTCAGAAATGTCGAGGCAACTTTGCGAGATATCGTCCAAAAGGCTATCGAACAAGCCTTGTCGAAGTTTCCCACACTCAAACAAGCAGTTGAAGCGAAAGTTGTCAGCAAGATTTTTGACAAGAAACGCGAACAGACTACGGAATTCATCCGACAATTCCTTGAAATGCAGAAAAAGAGCACTGATATCGTTTTCGCCCCAATCCCCACACCTCGAGAGATCAGTGTCTGGGAAGGGTTTCCTCTGGTAGATCATAGGAAACCTCATCCATGCATGACGTCAAAGATGACGAGTCATATGAAGTACCTTGCGAAAAATCTCTACCCTGAGAAGCTGCTTCAAGAGATAGACGGTTCTGGGTCACACGGTCTCATGTATAAGGTGAGAACTGAGAACTTTTAGGGTAATTTGCATGATTGAAACTACAACCGAAGCCATGCGTAACTGTGTTCATCATTTTATTTAAAACATCCGTACGCCTACGGTACTAAACACGAGTAGGAAAATACATTTTAGAGAACGGAAAGTTACAAATAAACTCACAATAAAGAGAAATATTAACCTTAACGGTGCATAGCTTTATTGGCAAAAAACGAAAACGATAATGCTGCTTCTTGAAAAGTGAACGTAAACATTGATCCTTATGAATTAATTTATTCACAAAACTTACAAATTACTCGACGTAATTACGTAACATTACGCAACGGTACAAACATCAACCATAGGTACACAAAATAACTGATGAAACGTACCAACGCTAGAAGGTAATTAACGCGTAAACGAAATTCACACAGAAAACAGCATGGTGATAAGTTTCGCGATTAAGAAGAAAGAAAGCATCTCGAGGTTAAGTCCAGTTTCTTTAAATAGAGTAAATTTAAATGGCCAATTACTAGTCGCTTGCTTAGACACTTTCTGATCCACTGCTGGTTGTTGTAAGGTAAGATTATGATATAAAAAATTTTAAATTGACATTGTAAAAGCGTGCTAATGCGTGGGTTGAAGCCTCCTATCAGTTGGGGATGGGTTTGGCAGAATTTTCGATAGTTGGTGAAAATTGTCGTCGGTCCTTACTCTAGACAAACAACATTTAAATTTCTTTTATGCGTTAAGTTTAAAGTAAACTTAATTTTTGTAAGCTTTGCGCACAAAATTGGAATATGTGGGTATCCCTTGATAAGAAAATGGCTAAACTGCAGAATAGCCTGCTACTCATTTACATGTCACTGAATAAGAATAGCGTCTATTGTGTTATGCCTCGATCTTCAAAGCCTCCCGACACATATAAATGAGGGGGATCAAAGTGGCAGGGTATTTAGAGAGACACTATAGAAAGCTTTATCGTTCTTTTCCTAGGAACACGAGGAGATAAAGAATGTAAAAAGGAACGTGGTGCGATGCTTCAACGTGCTTAAAATGAATGTGTGTGACACAGTCCCCCGCTGCATCCTGCATTTCTTCGTATCACAGTTAGTGGATGATCTTGACCGCGCTTTGGAGAAAGAAAACTTGGTCGAGTTCTTGGAGGAAAGGAAGGACATCCGGGACAAGCGCATCCTGTGTAGGAAACAGTCCCTCGCTTTGGAGAATGCGCTGCCACATACACAAGACGTCCTGCATAAACTACTGCGCATGAAACAGGGATCTCCTCAAAAGGACCGGAAGATGTAACTGAATAGAATGTTTTCATTACTTAGCCTTTTCAAGAAATAATTATCTAGCTTAGGGTTTCTTTTAATTTTCGTATAAAATTCTGAATATCATCGCCATACCCGGTTGCAATAGGTATAATTTAAAAATTCATTATGTTATAAACATTTTATGTGTATTCTTTGAAGGAGTTAGTTCTGAATTATGCTTAACGTAATAGCGTTAGTCAATTTTCAAAATTTTTTTCATATAAGTACTAGTGAGCTGCACACAGCAACAAATCTTAGATTACTTTTTAAAATGATTTTTAAAGAAGTATTAAACTCTTCCTTATTAGCTCTTTGATTTTTAAACTTAGTAGCGTTTAGAATCAGAGCCAGGTGATTATTTTTAATTATACTATCTCACGCTCTAAGGGGAACATTTAAAAAGCTCAACATAGCTTACTGAGATCTTTACCATCATAATATTTGGAAAGTTAGCAGATCTAAATGTAATGCACCAACTGAAAGACAATTGAATTGTCAGTCATTCAAAAGGAAACAATAAAGGCAAGTTTAGCAGTGTGGAGTAAACCATAGTCTCTGTGTGGACTCTTCTCTCCAATACCTGAGAGAGTAGATCATTGGTAGACGTGCTAGTAAACGTTGGGTTTTAGCCACCTATCTACTTTACCAGGTTTTTCGCGAAATTTTAAAACGAGGGAAGCTTTTACCAGCGTCCTCTGTGTTTACGGTGCCTCGTGTGAAGGTCATGTGTCCAAGATCTCCAACTTCTGAGGGTAAACATTGAGTGTCTTAACAGGGGTGGGTGTTTGTTTTCTCATAACTTAGGTTCTTGAAATTTAATTCCTGTTTAAACCTTTGGAGACAGGAGATTCCCCACAATAGCCCTATTGAGGACACTACTTTTGTAATTACCGTGGTTAGACGTCATCTTCCACATACGATAGGGGCGGCAGTTTAGGTGAGTTTTTACATCGAGCACAACTTCGCTCACCTCTGACCACGTTAGCATTCCTCCACCAATTACTTTGTAGAAAGTGCGTTTAAAGAGGCCCACCATGCGCTCCAAACTAGCCGCCCCACCAGGGTGCTCGGCTCAGGTTGAATCTCCATGTGATCTTCTCCGATGCTAGGTAACCTTGCATCTGCTTGTCTTTCTGGATTTCTTTCATCAGTTTTGTCGCTCCCACAAAAGTCCTTTCATTGTCTGAGAGAATCTTCGAAGGTCGTCCTTGTTCAGCGATGAAACGTTTTAGGCTTGGCATGAGGGAAGTGGTTTCTAGATTTGGTAAGACTTCTAGGTACAAGGCTTTCGTTAGACTGCAGGCATAAAGCACCAATCAATTTCTTATGTTGTGAGAGGACCCCTTGTTCTACTTGCTCTTATTTCTCTAGCATTTTTCCCAGTATGAGTTCTTGGCAATAAGTTCGTCGAGCTCATCGTCAGATTTCACGGCCAAACAGCTCCTTTTTAGTTTTCGCCTCTCGGTTGGATTCCTTACTGGGTGCGGTGACAAGGTTTACTGACCATTTCCTAGGGTCACTAAGCCACTCAGTGGTCACCTCCACCATGGTTGGTTCTCTTTAGATACCAGTCTACTACGGCTGGCAAGATCTGTAGGATTATTTTCAGTTGGTACGTGCCGCCAGCTAACCTCAACATGCTTTCTAATCTTCCGTACTCGGTTAGCCATAAACTGCTCGTAGTCTCCTCCGCCTAATATCCAATGTAAGACAACGCTGCTGTGGAGCCAACAGTGTAGGGAAGTTACTGGGAAACCTTGAAGCGCGTCTTGCACGTTTCTAAAAAGGTTCACAGCTATGTGATCAGTTCTCAGCGAGGTATAGTTAGTACTTGCTTTTCTAGTCTTTGATTCTTACCGTCCAACCAATGAAACCGCAGTGCATCTCGGTCTTGCTCGCGGATACGCGCTTGGAGAAATGCCTTGCGAATATCGCCAGAGAGGGCCATTGCACGAAACATTCCCCTTAGAAGTACTTTCCAGAGCTGGCTCTGTAGGGGTGGTCCACCTTCTAGGCAGTCGTTTAGGGAGGGAGCTAAGTCAAGCTCTTGCTGAGGCATCGTACACAATCCGCATCTTAGCAGTTTTGGCGCTCTCTTTTACGACGGCCTTGTGGGGGATGTAGAATTTTCGTTCAATTGCTGGCATCTCTGCTTCTTCTGTAACTCCTTCCTGTAGCTGTTCTTGAATGATTGCATCATACTTGTCAAGCTTTCCTGTTTTCTTTAGTCGTTGGACTAAACTTCCGAGTCGCTTCAGGCTTCCCGATTTGTTGGAGGGTAATGGAGGATGATCTCTTTTCCAGGGAAGGCCGGTCTCTTACCAGCTTTTAGGGCTGCAGCTCGGCTGTTCGAGGAATTCTCCATACACCACGCTCTGATTCCCATTAGTTTGGTCTTCAAAGTCTAAAGACGTCCATGCGGCAGAGCTCTTCATAACTGGTTGAAGTCGTCCGGGTTAAGAACATGCTGTCAAGGTTTTGCTCCGTCCCGGTCACTTGCACGTTGTAGGTTTCAGTTCGCTTGGTAACAGTGCCCACAATAGTTTTTATTCGGTGCGTGAGAGTGCATGACGGTGCACAATTTTCCTTAAAGCTTCTCCATAGCGGGCTATTTTTTCATTGCTTCCACAACTGCGTTAGTCTCCCTGCGCGTTAGAACAAAAAGTTGAAGCTCGGCATCGAGAGCCTTGAGTTTAGGTTCTATAGTTGGTGCCGTCGGAGATGCCATTAATGTGGGGAATAGGTAAGGAACCCACAATGTCGCTTTTCTCTTCCAGATTTTTCATTCTTTTTTTTTAGATTCTCTCCATTGATTTTAGGTTCTATAAAGGGTCCCGTCGGAGATGCCATTAATGTGGGGAATAGGTAAGGAACCCACACTGTCGCTTTTCTCTTCCCTTTTTTTCATTCTCTTTTTTTAGATTCTCTCGCATGCACAACAAATTATCTCAGACTGACTAAAACTACAATCAACTGCTCCTTTATCGTATGGACACACCTTGATCAAACGTAAGCTGATTGTCTTTAAAAGATCTTTCAGACAAAAGATAAACAAACTCATTCATTAGAGCAGACAGAACGTACGCTTGATTTCCGGCTAGATATTCCACAATTATTACATCAACTTAACTTCAATCAATACTAGTAATGCTGTTTCCGATATTGCCGCAATGAATCGCGAAATCGCGCGCTGGATTTGTAGCCGCCCGGTCATTTTGAGCTTGGATTTTTCGCTTCTCGGATCGGGCGTTCGGAAATGGAGCGTACAACTTTGTCCTTCTCTTGTGTAGTAAACCTAGAAATGAATAACTCGCTAAAATGGCTTCTTTTCAACATAGTAAGCGGTCAGGTGACAAGCGATGCTCTGTAGAAGTAAGGTGAGGTATTGTTATTGAGAATTTGACTGTATTTTTTTAATTCATAGGAGCGGTCGTAAATATTTTCCTTCAAACTCTTATAATTTCGCCATGAATCTTATTTCGCAAGATGATCATTATACAGCTGGAGCTTGGGCCGCCTGTTGTTTGCTTGCTAGGTATATCACAGTGCGTTGCTATGTGGTATCCAAGCAGGTGATGAAGTCCTGCAAAGAGCCTATTCAGTCGTTCACTTAAATCAAGGTGTTTCCCGGCAGGAAATTGACTATTCCGCACGGTTCAACCTTAAAGCAGTTTTTACGTGTCCGCGTAAGAAAAGGTAAGGCAACTAACTGATAAGAGTGTTACATAATTGACTATAGTTTCTAGTCGCCCACATTGTAAAATACCACAAATTATTTCAAATGCGAGTGCATATCAGAACTTAGGCAGCTGGTCTTTGACGATTGAAATGAGTGTTTTAGTCTTTCCAGTTAAACCAAGTTAAAGCAATTCGTCGCCCTTCTTAACCATGAATCCTCTTCGAAGGTATCAAATTTCAACATCGATCGGCCTTCCGTGGTTCAGGAGTGCTTATGAAGCTGTTATGGAACCTATATATACTAACAGCGTCTAGTTATTATAGTAGGAGTCCTTTCAGCCGTCGTTCTGCTGAAAATATTACTCGTTGGATTCAACTTTTGCAATGTAAACAAGCACACTTGTTCATAAACAGAAGCTACGGTTCTTACATTTGATTGAGGTTTTTAAATGAAAGAGGTCGTGAATCTATTTCGGAAAGACGAAACCGATAATTTTCTTTAACAATGAACTCACTTCAATCTGAGGGTAACCTATCTAATTGCAAAATGCGCGGATTAAATTTACCACGAAGGGAACCAAAATTTAAACATAACTCAGTTGAATCTGAGGGCAGCTTTATCATCGTTTTAATTATTAATTCCTTAATTAATCCGCGTAAAGGAAACATAATCTTTTTTACAGTATATATGCAGGCGCAGACGCAATTCCAAAATGCGCCAACTAAAATTTATCGCGAGGGAACTAAATCTTTAGCTAGATTTACCTATCGTTGGGCGAAAATTTACTAGAGGTATATAACAATGTGCACAACTGTGAACGATTGTCTCTTCAAGCGTCATGTTCTCCGAAGTCTTCATAATTAAATTATCAAACCTTTGCGAAATTGAATCTCAAACAGATGTCAGAACCGTAGCTTCTGTTTATGAACAAATGACCTTGTTTGCATTGCGAAAATTGAATCATACGGGTAATATTTTCAGCAGAACGACGGCTAAAAAGATTCTATTATAATGGCCAGACAATATTAATATACAAAGACTCTATCGCTATAACAGCTTGAGAAGCACTTCTGAAAGACCGATCAATGTTGATGTTTAATACCTTCAATACCTTCCGCCGGACCGCCTCTAGAGAGACTGCGTCTTAATTCACAGTTTTGCTCATTATTATATACCATTAGTAAATTTTCGCCCAACTATACGCAAATCTAGCCTAAGATTTAGTAACCCTTGCGGTAAATCAAAAGGTCCAGAAAATGGCAAGCAAAAGTTCAACCAAACAAGACGAAGAAGCTCTTACGCATCTTTCGTGCTCTCCAAACTTCCCGCGTGCTTCATATCTCGATGAACGCACGCTGACATATGAACCAATTGTTAATTGTCGAAGAATCAAACGTGTACGACTGACCTTTCTTCCTATTCGCTAACACAATGACAGTTCTGACAGTTGACTTTGAAATGGTTTCTGGGGCGCACACTCACGATAAAAACAAGCAATATTATTTCTGTTTTCTTTTTTTCGCGATTCGTGCGATATCGGTTTTCTGGCGCAATTTAACGCGAAATTCACGCGTCAGGTAGTGAGTTTTCCTGAACACATTTCTTGTATGTCATGAACTAAAAATATGGAAGCTCGCAGGTCAGATTTTTTTAACAAATTTTTCTGTTGCTCGATAGCACAATTTATTTACATTGGTTTTCGTTGTCGAAAACCAAACCTTAAATCTGTGACTTTATTAAAGGTAGTCTGGAAATTTTACCACAAGGGTTGCCTAATAATATATTATAATATCCGTCGTCACAGTGGTCAAACTGTTGCGGACTCACAAGGCGCAGCCGAGTGAACGATTTGTTTTTTTTACCTCGGCTTCAACGTCAAACAAAACGATTCTTTCAGTTCGTGGCCATTGCGTGACGCGTTGACGCGACAACAGCAAATTGGCCAATCAGGCTTCGACATTACTCCCCTTTGTGGTTAAAAAAAAAAATGAAACAATAAAAAAAACGTTTACCTGATCCCCCATAAGACCCTGTGCTATGCAATGCCCCCTCCCCCACTCATCAGCAGTTAATTGGCGGTCATTTTCCACAGTCCCCCTTTAAACTCTTTGGTGAAACTGATCTTCATCTCTGCCCCATGAAAAACATGTGACCCCATAAAAGATTCCCTTCCCCCCTACCGCCCAGGGATAAATAAGGACTGACCCCTCAATTGTCTGTTGCATCATTGCAGATAGTAAACCATGTCTGGTGAAGTCATCGCAACACCTGTTGCGAAATATGGCCGAAGTAGTGAATTTGGCGTCGTTCTTGACTTCATTCAAACTATGATAAGTGACGATACTTTACGCCAAGCCTTCAACATTCCACATCTGGTCATGGTCGGTAGGCAAAACATGGCAAAAACCACTCTGATAAACCGTCTGATCGGGCGATATCTTCTCCCAATGCGCCGCAATGAAACCGCAAACACCTTACAGGCCCGCACTACATATCCCATAATACTCAACCTAAGAAACAGCGAGAAGAGCCTCGTGGAGGTGAAATGCGATCTACTGGGTCTAAGGGAAGCCGCGGAAAATCCCAAGGATGATGCCGTGGAGACATTTCTTAACCAAGTCACAGCACATTTACCAAAGGAAGAGGGAACTCCAATTTCGAAAACCCCTGTTAATGTTACTCTGCAAGGTAAGATATATTATTTTAACTAGAATTCAGATTTCACATATCGAAATCATTTAAAGGTCCTTTTTTCCCTACTAGTCTTGCAAATTCTTCATTCAACTTTATAGAAGTTCCAAGTTCATTCTGAAATTTAAATTATCTTGAACTGTTGAAGTATTGAAGTAATTTCGACTTCGTGCTCTTTCCTCTTCCTCAGGCCCTGAATTCACGACTCTTACCTTGGTCGACCTTCCCGGCGCTCATTTTGCCAATGACGATCTACGCATGAATCTCGTCACTCAAGATTTAGTTTTGGAATACATCGAGAAAAACACTAACAGCATTATCGTCATAGTATCTGAAGCAGGGGACCCCACAGGTGACAGTGCAATAAACCTTGTCATGCAAAAGGCCCCAGATTTTAGGAGCCGCACAATCTGTGCACTTACCAAGCCAGATAAGTTGAGAGAATCCGATGACATGGGGAAAAGGGTGGCCATGAATGGATCCAGCTTCACACTGGATGATAACCGATTTATTGTACTGCGAGGTAAAATATGAATGTTCAGTGAGTTTAACTTTGAAATGCGTCGATAGCTTAGCTTACACCAGTAGTTAGGTTCCTCTACTGAGGGTCGCAAAAGCATAGCTTAAGTAGTCACATCGCTTAGTGATAGTAAGAAATATATCAGAGGATATCAGAGCTAATGCAGGGTTTGGAGTAATTTTTCCATAAGCGGCGATGGTGTAATGGGCGGCTGTGCTGTAAGATGAAACCCAGACACGAGAGCTCGATCGCAGGCTGAACAAGGGGAGGGGAGTAAGACCGCCAGTTTTAACTGGCTTTTATGAAAACGCTGCAATAAGAACAAGGGTAAACACGTAAACACAAACCAAGGAGTTACGATTGGTATAGTATGGCATCTGATTGATCGAGGGTGTGGCTCCAAATTTTTTTTGTAACCAACCCCTGCGTGGAGTGAGTCAAAAACGAAAGAAATACATGATTTCTTTCTACACGTAAAGAGAGCGGGAAAACTCGAACCATTGAACAGGAATGTATTTGGTGTAATTCTGGTCTAATTTAATTTGAAAACATTTAGGGATGTTATAGGAAAAATAGCCTATAGCCTTCGGCTTTCTTTTCAATATAACATTAAGGGAAAGATGGCACAGATCCAGCTGAGAAGGACTGGGACGCTGAAACGACACGTGTCCATGAAAAAGAATGGTTTGCACGGCATCCTCAATACAAGGACATTCAACATGTCTGTGGAATTGATCGACTCATGGATATTATGATCTCTTTACTGGCTGAGAAGATGATCACAGAGATTCCTTTTCTGGTGACACTAATGAAGAAGCGAAAAAAAGAGGTAAGAAAGTCGCTTACAAGTGATGATTATTTTATCATTGCCAGGTTAGCACTCGTTTTTCTCCATTATATTTAGTATTTTTTATAATCGCCCCTAGATCCGTACCCACTTGATGAATGATGATGTGTGTATTATGTGAGCAACAGAAAATGACAATATTTTCTGGTGTCATGTCTCAATATCACAACTTTTTGATCCAATAAGGTGGATGAAACACTTGTGGAACTAGAGGACAGTGAGGTACCAGAGTCGAACGAAGGCAAGGGTGGAGTGGCCATGAAACTGAAAGAAAGTCTAATTAGAGAGTTAAATATTCTTCTTTTCAACAATACTTCTGACACGGCCGGAGGGGAACGCGTCAGGCATCTGTTTAATTCATTTCATCAGGAAGTTTTCAAGGTGAGTCTTTGACATCTTGCTTCGTCTTAAAGTCTTAAATGTCTGTTTATGAACGAGTTGTCATTGTTGTGAAATTTTGTCGCGATGGGTTTATTTACATGGCACTATGTCACAGAATTTTTTCATTCTACTTAGTCTTGTATTTTCCTGAATCTGTTTGAATATTCCAGCGGTCTCATTGCATATTTTTAAACATACATGCGGTGTTAATCTTCTGACCCATCACAAAGCTTAAGGTGTACTGTCAGCATACATGCAGTACAGAGCACTAAGACCAATCCCTGCTTTAAATAGTTCTTTTATCCCAAATTATCCCCAAATTAAACTTGAAGCTGTAAATTGAATTATTTGAGTAAAACATCTTTGTGAACCACATGAACAGAGAGAGGAAACCATTATAGGCCTCGAATTCGCGTTTGCGAGCTCTCTCAATGAACAAAGATGCTCTTAGAGATTCAAATATGTCTTTATTATGAAAGAAAAAGGAATTCATGGTCTAGACCCTTTCAAAACGAGCCATCGAGACACGCTAAACTAAAGCAGTGGCTATGCAAGTGATTATAACATTTTGGATAAAATTTGTCACAGGTGAATCCTCTGGAGATGCGTAATGACTATGAAATACGAAGACAAAAAAGAAAATTGGAGGGTGTGGCTGCCCCTCTTGGAGACAGCAGTGAAAACAGTCAGCTGCTGCAGAGGCTTCTGTATGAGAAGTATACAGGTATTTGAGAACTAAGCCACTCTTAACAGAGTTGTTATGAGAAATCAAATGTTCTTGGGAAAACCAACAAGATACCATGAGATTAGAAGGCTGTACGCCAGTTTAAAAAAACCTCAATGCTGACATTTGTTCTCTTCCACATATGAAAGGATCCAATGCCAATGGTAAACCTGTAACGCGTAAGGGTCCAGTTGATCATTTACTACCCCTGTCAGAGAATCTTGTCTGTAACGTCGAGACAACTCTACGAGATATCGTCCAACGGGCCATCGAACAACCTTGTCAAACTTCCCAACTCTCAAACAAGCTGTTGAAGCGAAAGTCGTCAGCAAGATTTTTGACAAGAAACGCGAACAGACCACGGAATTCATCCAACAATTCCTTGAAATGCAGAAAAAGAGCACCGATATCGTTTTCGCCCCAATCCCCACACCTCGAGAGATCAGTGTCTGGGAAGGGTTTCCTCTGGTAGATCGTAGTAAGCCTCATCCATGCATGACGTCAAAGACGACGAGTCATATGAAGTACCTTGCGAAAAATCTCTACCCTGAGAAGCTGCTTCAAGAGATAGACGGTTCTGGGTCACACAGTCTCATGTATAAGGTGAGAACTGAGAACTTTTAGGGTAATTTGCATGATTGAAACTGTAACCGAAGTCATGCGTAATCGTGTTCATCTTTTTATTTAAAACATCAATACGCCTACGATACTAAACACGAGTAGGAAAATACATTTTAGAGAACGGAAAGTTACAAATAAACTCACAATAAAGAGAAATATTTACCATAACAGTGCATAGCTTAGACGGTTAAGAATATATGAAAGTCATATATTTGAACTGCGGATAAAGACATGAATGAAAGTGATCCTCGCAGTGATGTGCACTACTTAGGCAGTAGTGAAAAACGAAAACGATAACGCTGCTTCTTGAAAAGTGGACGTAAACATTGATCCCTATGAATTAATTTATACACAAAACTTATAAATTACTCGACGTAATTACTTAACATTACGCAACGGTACAAACAGCACCATAAGTACACAAAATAACTGATGAAACGTACCAACACTCGAAGGTAATTAACGCGCAAACGAAATTCACACAGAAAACAGCATGATGATAATTTTCGCGATTATAGAAACCCTCTCGAGCTTAAGTCCAGTTCCTGATAGAGTAAATTTAAATGGCCAATTACTAGACGCTTTCCCACTTAGACACTTTCTGATCCACTGCTGGTTGTTGTAAGGTAAGATTATGATATAAAAGTTTTTTAATTGACATTGTAACAGCGTGCTAATGCGTGGGTTGAAGCCTCCTATCAGTTGGGGATGGGTTTGGCGGAATTTTCGTTATATGGTGAAAATTGTCGTCGGTCCTTACTCTGGACAAACAACATTTAAATTTCTTTTATGTGTTCAGTTTAAAGTAACGCTACTTCTTGTAAGCTTTGCGCACAAAATTGGAACATGTGGGTATCCCTTGATCAGAAAATGGCTAAACTGCAGAATACCCTGCTACTCATTTACATGTCACTGAATAAGAATAGCGTCTATTGTGTTATGCCTCGACCTTCAAAGCCTCCCGACACATATAAATGAGGTGGACCAAAGTGGCAGGGTATTCTGCAGATACTCCTGCAAAATTTTCAAAGACACTATAGAAAGCTTTATCGTTCTTTCCCTAGGAACAGGAGGAGATAAAGAATGTAAAAAAGAACGTGGTGCGATGCTTCAACGTGCTTAAAATGAATGTGTGTGACACAGTCCCCCGCTGCATCCTGCATTTCTTCGTATCACAGTTAGTGGATGATCTTGACCGCGCTTTGGAGAAAGAAAACTTGGTTGAGTTCTTGGAGGAAAGGAAGGACATCCGGGACAAGCGCATCCTGTGTAGGAACCAGTCCCTCGCTTTGGAGAAAGCGCTGCCACATACACAAGACGTCCTGGATAAACTACTGCGCATGAAACAGGGATCTCCCCAAAAGGACCGGAAAATGTAGCTGAATAGAATGCTTTCATTACTTAGCCTTTTCAAGAAATAATTATCTAGCTTAGGGTTTTTTTCAATTTTCGCTGGGAATTCGAAATTATCGTCATACCCGGCTGCAATCGGTAGAATTTAAAAACTTAATTGGTTATAAACATTTCATGTGTATTCAAGTTGTAGGAGTTAGTTCTCAATTATGCCTAACGTAATAGCGTTATTGAAATTTTTAAAATTTTTTTTTATATAAGTTCTAGTGATCAGCACATAGCAACAGATCTTGGCTTACTTTTTTCAATGATTTTTTGAAGAAGTATTAAACTCGTCCCTTTTAGCTCTTTGATTTTTAAACTTAGTAGCGTTTAGAATCAAACCCAGGTGCTCTTTTAATTTTAATCATATTATCTCACGCTCTAAGGGGATCTTTAAAAAGCTCAACACAGCGTCTTGAGATCAACTGAAAGGCAATTTAATTGTCAGTCATTCAAAAAGAAACAATAAAGGCAACTTGTGCATTGTGGAGTAAACGATAGTGTCTGTGTGGACTCTTCTCTCCAATAACTGAGAGAGTAGATCATTGGCTGAGATGTTGGACTAAGATAGAATGGTGTCAGATAGCATTGGGTTTTAACCACCTATCTACTTTACCAGGTTTTCCGCGAAATTTTGAAATGAGAGAAGCTTTTACCAGCGTCCTCTGTGTTTACGATGCCTCATGTGAAGGCCTCGTGACCAAGATCTCCAAATTGTGAGGGTAAAATATGGAGCGTCTTAACAGGGGTGGGTGTTTGTTTTCTCGTAACTTAGGTTCTTGAAATTAAATACCTGTTTCAACTTTTGGAGATAGGAGTTTTTTCCCCACAAGCGCCCCAATGAAGACACTACCTTTAAAACTACCGAGGCTAAACGTGATTTTCGTTTTATAATTGTTCGATCAAAAAGTTTGAGCGGATGTGTACAATTCAGAAGCGTCTAAATACCATAATATTGGTTTAAAATCAAGCTGAGTTTAAGCAATATCACTATTTTGCTTTTTAAAGCAAATTGAATAGATGAAAAGCTCTATTAGGAACTTTTTTGGGAAGCTTTATTAAAATAAAGCTTTCCATCGTTTGCTTAGAGGCCGTAAATATTTATATTGGGGCTGGATTACGTTCTGCGGTAAGGAAATGAGTCGAAAGATTTCAAGGTAAACTAGTAAAGGCGCTTTTTTTTTGCGTTAGGGGGCAAACACGCGAAAGGCGGTAAGGGCAAATTTCTATGGGGCGAATTAACCATGGACAACCCTCCTCCTGGTTGAGTCCAGCATTGCTTGTTGTCTGACCGCTTTCTATGTTGGAAAGAACCCATTTTAGTGAGTTATCCATTTCTAAGTTTCCTACTCTTAAGAGAAAGACAAGGCTGCAAAGCCAAAAATCCAAGCTCAAAATGACCGGGTAGTCATAAATCCAACGCAGAATCCAAGCACGTACACTGTAGTTTTATTTCAATTTTGCTACCAATTCAATCCTCCCCATGAAACCGACGCTAAACCGAAGTTTGCTTTCAAAATTTCCAGTTTAGACGTCGCTAACGACCTGTACACATTCACCACGATTGTAAACCAGCTTGGTAACCCTGCCTCCTTTGCTAAGTGAATCTCGTCAGGGACCACACCGTCACTTTGTACCCGGGGTTCTAAAACAATTTGTTGATGATAAGTGATGATGTAGTCCCTGGCGAGGCTCAGTATGCAAAGGAGGCAGATCGTTAGAAAAGGTGCGCGGATCGTTAGAAACGTCTAAACTGGAAATTTTGGAAGCAAACTTTGGCTTATCGTCGGTTTCACGGTGAGGATTGAATTGGTAGTAAATTGGGTAAAATTTCCGCACAGCCCCATACTACATTATGCATTCAGTTCTTGGATTGAGAAAACAATGACAAAAACAATAGATTGCCATTGGGAAAACAGATTTGTTTTACAATAGTATGGGGCTGTGCGGAAATTTTACCGTAAATTGAAATGAAATTACAATATATGTGCTTGGGTTTTGCGTTGGATTTGTGGCCGTCCGATCATTTTGAGCTTAGATTTTTCGCTTCTCGTATCAGGCGTTCGGAAATAGAGTCTGTAGCTTTGTCCTACTCTTATGTAGTAAACCTAGAAATGAATAACTCGCTAAAATGGGTTATTTTCAACATAGTAAGTGGTCAGATGACAAGCGATGCTCTGTGAAAGTAAGGTGAGGTATTTAATTGAGAAATTGACTGTATTTTTTTATTTCTAAGAGCGGTTGTAAATATTCCCATTCAAATTCTTATAATTTCGCAAGATGATCATCATACAGCTGGAGCTTAGGCCACCTGTGGTTTGCTTGCTCCCAGCAGTGCGTTGCCATGTGGTATCCAAGCACGTGATGAAGTCCTGTAAAGAGCCTATTCGTTCACTTAAATCAAGGTGTTCCCCGGCAGGAAACTGACGATTTCGCACGGTTCAACCTTAGAGCAGTTTATACGTGTCCGCGGAGATTTTAACGCGTATCGAGAGGTAAGGCAACTAACTGATAAAAGTTTTTCATAATTGATTACGGTTTTTAGTCACCCATAATGTAAAATACCACAAATTGTTTCAAATGCGAGTGTATATCAGAGCTTAGGCAGCTGGTCTTTGGCAATTGCAATGAGTGTTTTAGTCTCTCCAGATAAACCAAGTTAAAGCAATTCGTCGCCCTTCTCATCCATGAATCATCTTCGAAGGTATCAAATTTCAACATTCGTGGTTCCGAAGTGCTTATCAAGCTATTATGGAATCAACGTATACTAACAATGTTTGGCCATTAAAATAGGTATCTTCTCAGCCGTCGTTGTGCTGAAAATATTACCCGTATGATTCAACTTCCGCATGTAAACAAGCGCACTTGTTCATAAAGAGAAGCTACGGTTCTTACATTTGATTGAAATTTTTAAATGAAAGAGGTGGTGAATCTATTTCGGAAAGACGAAACCGATAATTTTATTTAACATGTAACTCACTTCAATCTGACGGTAACCCAAGTGCAAAATGCGCCGATTAAATTTACCGCGGAAGGAACTAAAACTTAAGCTTATAACTGACCTCAATCTGAGGGCAACGTCATCATCGTTTTAGTTATTAATTCCTTAATTAATCCGCGTAAAGAAAACATATTATTTTTTACTGTATATATGCAGGCGCAGATACAAGTCTAAAAAGCGCAAACTAAAATTTACCGCAGAGGAACTAAATCTTAAGCTACATTTGCTTATAGTTGGGCAAAAATTTACTGACGATATTTAACAATGGGCACAACTTTTCAAGTGTCATAACTGAATTGTCAAACCATTGCAAAATTAAATCTCAAACAGATGTCAGAACCGCAGCTTCTGTTTATGAACAATTGCGCTTGTTTACATTGCGAAAATTGAATCATACGGTGATGTTTTCAGCAGAACGACGGTTGAAAAGATTCTTTCATAATGGCCAGAAATTGTTAGTATACATAGATTCCATTACAGCTTGATAAGAACTTCTGAACCACGAAAGACCGATCAATGTTGAAATTCGATACTTCCATTACCTTCCGCCTACCTTACCTCCAATGCCTTCCGCCGGACCGCCTGACTGAGACTGCGTCTCAATTTCGCAGTGGTTTGACAGTTCAGTTTTAAAGACTTCGAACAACATGACGCTTATGAAGGCAATCGTTCACAGTTTTCCACATTGTTATATGCTATTAGTAAATTTTCGCCCAACTATAAGCAAATCTAGCTTAAGATTTAGTTTCCTCTGCGGTAAATATAATTGGCGCATTTTGCACTTGGGTCTGCGCCTGGATAAAGACGATGAAAAAGATTGTTTTCTTTACGCGGATTAATTAAGGAATTAATAATTAAAACGATGACAACGTTGCCCTTGGATTAAACAGAGTTATTTGAGTAAGAAAATCATCTGTTTCCGAAATAGTTTCAAAGTTGATTTTAGTCCGGTGATTTTTTTTTCCCGTTTGGGTCACCCAAGTGCTAAGAAATAGAAGGAGTAAATCAGAAACAAAGGTTAACTGAGTAAAATCTTTTGAAATGCGCTAGTGTGAGACCTTGTTGATCGTGTACGAAGGTTCACAATTGAATCGCATAATTAAATAGAATTTCGCATTCTCGCATTGGTCAACGAAGCGAAGTATTTTGCATGGAATTGCGAGCTGAAAACGAGGCTAAGTGATATTGTCTCGCATCTACGTAGACATAACTATCGTTAAATTATAACAGTTTTCTACAAAGTTATTTTAAAGTGTTTTCAAAACCATTGTCACCTTTTGAAGAGCCACAACAAGCAGAAGCGTGTTTCAAAGTGAGCCAGAGGCTCTATCCTGTTTTGAAATGAACTACAACTTCTTGGAGAGGCATTAAAAAACCTCTTTCGCTCGCGACAACGAGAAAGCGAGAAAATCCTGCGAACAAGGCCCAGAAAATGGCAAGCAAAAGTTCAACCAGATAAGACGAATAAGCGGCAACGGAAGAAGTGCCAGGGTCGATTGTCATATATACAGAAGAAGAAATAAATACCTTTAATCGCGATGTTAAACTATCAGTGCTTTCGCTCGGACACTTCATTTCTTTCAGTTTTGCCACCAAAGAGGTAAAAAGTGTAAATTATTTTCCTTCTCGAGCAAACGATTTGGAAATTTGAAAAAAGATGTTAAAGATAAACGGCTCGTAAATTCAGTGAAATACCACTATTATCCTTAAGATAGTGTGAAGCTTGTTTAAAACGTTTGAAAAAAGAATGTGAAAACAAGCATAAGGCACAAATAATGTTATCGAAGATTCAAACATGTACGACTGACCTTGCTTCCTATTCGCCAACGCAATGACAGATATGACAGTTGTCTTTGAAATGGCTTTCTGGGGCGCGCGGTCAGGGTAAAAACAAACAATATTATTACTGTTTTCTCTTTTTCTTTTTTTATTCAATTATGTGATTCAAGGAAAATTCATTAGCTTACATAACCTGTTTTTTGCGTACAATTCAACGCGGAATTCATGAGTCAGGTAATGAATTTTCTTGTAAAACACATTTCTTGTATGTTATGGACTAAAAAATACGGAAGCTCGCAGGTCGGATTTTTTGAACAAATATTTCTGTTGCTCGTTGTCGAAAACCAAACCTTAAATTTGTAGCTTTATTTAAGGTGGTCTGGAAATTTTATCACAAGGGTTGCCTAATAATGCACTATGATATTCGTCGTCGCAGTAATCAAACTGTTATGGACTCACAAGGCGCAGCCGAGTGAACGATTTGTTTTTTACCCCAACATCAACGTCAAATACAACGATTCTTTCAGTTCGCGGCCATTGTGACAATGAAAGGATAAATAGGGACTGACCCCTCAATGGTCTTTTTCATCATTGCAGATAGTAAACCATGTCTAGTGAAGTCACCGAAACACCTGTTGCGAAATATGGCCGAACTACTGAGTTTGGTGTTGTTCTTGACTTTATTCAAACTTTGATAAGTGACGACACTTTACGCCAAGCCTTCAACATTCCACATCTGGTCGTGGTCGGTCGGCAAAACATGGGAAAAACCACTCTGATAAACCGTCTGATTGGGCGAAATCTTCTCCCAATGCGCCGCAATGAAACCGCAAACACCTTACAGGCCCGCACTACATGTCCCATAATACTCAACATAAGAAACGCCGAGAAGAGCCTCGTGGAGGTTAGATGCGATCTAAATGGTCTTTGGAGGGCTGAGGAAAATCCAAAGGATGATGCCGTGGAGGAATTTCTTAACAAAGTCACAGAAAATTTAGCGAAGGAAGAGGGAACTCTAATTTCGAAAACTCCTGTTAATGTTACTCTGCAAGGTGAGATTAATTTAACTAGAATTCAGATTTCACGTATCAATGTAATTTAAGCATCCTTTTACTGTAGCAGGTAGCAGTTCGTATGTAGTGAATATGAAATAAGAGAAACTTTTTTTCACTGCTGTTTGTTTCCTGCCAGTCTTGAAAATTCCTTCATTCAGCTCTATAGAAGTTCCAAGTTCAGTCTGAAATTTAAACTTATCTTGCACTGTTCAAATTATTTTGACTTCGTACTTTCTTCTTCCCCAGGTCCCGAATTCACGACTCTTACCTTGGTGGACCTTCCCGGCGCTCATTTCGCCAACGACGATCCACGCATGAACATCGTGACTCAAGATCTAGTTTTGGAATACATCGAGAAAAACACTAACAGCATTATCGTCATAGTTTCCGAAGTAGGGGACCCCACAGGTGACAGTGCAATAAACCTTGTTATGCAAAAGGCCTCAGATTTTAGGAGCCGCACAATCTGTGCGCTTACCAAACCAGATAAGTTGAGAGAATCCGATGACATGGGGAAAAAGGTGGCCATGAATGGATCCAGCTTCACACTGGATGATAACCGATTTATTGTTCTGCGAGGTAAAATATGTTTGTCAGTTTGTTTAACTTTGAAACGAGTCGATAGCTTAACTTACACCAGTAGTTAGGGACTTGTAAGGTATTATTTAAAACGTTCTCCTACTGAGGGTCGCAAAAGCATAGCTAAAGTAGTCACATCGCTTAGTGATAGTGAGGGAAATATCAGAGAATATCAGAGCTAATGCAGGGGTTTGGAGTAATTTTTCCATAGGCGGCGATGGTTTGATGGGCGGCTGTGCTGTAAGATGAAACCTAGACACGAGAGCTCGATCGCAAGCTGAACAAGGGGTGGGGGGGGGGGGGGGGAAGACCGCCGGTTTTAACTGGCTTTTATTAAAACCCCTGCAATAAGAATAAGGGTAAACACGTATAAATGCCGTGAAGAGTGGAAAACACGAGAGACAAAGGAGTCACGATTGGTATAGTCTGGCATTTGATTGATCGAGAGTGTGGCTCGATATATTTTTTTTGTAACCAATCCCCGCGTGAAGTGAGTTAAAACGAAAGAAATACATGATTTCTTTCTACACGTAAAGAGAGCGGGAAAACTTCAGGTCTAATTTAGTTCGAAGACATGTAGGGATGTTATAGGTAAAATAGTCTATAGCCTTCGGCTTTCTTTTCAATATAACATTAAGGGAAAGATGGTACAGATCCAGCTGAGAAGGACTGGGACGCTGAAACGACACGTGTCCAAGAAAAACTATGGTTTGCGCGGCATCCTCAGTACAAGGACATTCAACATGTCTGTGGAATTGATCGACTCATGGACACCATGATCTCTTTACTGGCTGAGAAGATGATCACAGAGATTCCTAATCTGGTGGAACAAATGAAGAGGCGAGAAAAAGAAGTAAGGAAATCGTTTGTAAGAAGAGATTATTTTATCATTGCCAGGTTAGCACTTTTGGGAGACTACTGGAAATCAAAGAATGACCGCTCGAGCCTCACTCGGACCAGTACTCAGGGTCTCAAGGCAAAATTTGCTATCGGGTGTCGAAAGTAATCCTAAACTCACGGGTTTTTCTCCATTATATTTAGTGATTGGTATAATCGCTCCCTAACCACTTGATGAATGATAACGTGTGCATTATGTAAGCAACACGAATATGACAATATTGTCTAGTTTCGTGTCTCAATTTAATATCACAATTTTTCGATCCAATAAGGTGGATGATACACTGGTAGAACTAGAGAGGTGTGAGGTACCAGAGTCGAGAGAAGGCAAGGGCGGAGTGGCCATGAAACTGAAAGAAAATCTAATCAGAGAGTTAAATAAACTTCTTTTCAACAATACTTCTAACACAGCTGGAGGGGAACGCGTCAGGCAGCTGTTTAATTCATTCCATCGAGAAGTTTTCAAGGTGATTGTTTTTGGGTTATAGTCTGTAGTGTCGAGGTATAGATGAGTAGTCACTTATCACAAATTATTGGGCGAAAATTTTTCGTAAAGAACGATATGTAGCGGAAATTTAAGTCATTCTAAATAATGATAATAATAATTATTTTAGTATAAAGCATTTAGAACAATCCCAGCATTCAATTCTTTTTTTTTTTAGCTTTCCAAGTTATACTTTTTCGTGAATTATACTTGTAGGTGAAGAAAGAACTACTTGGTCAAACATCTTCTTTTACATCGCATAGCAGGACTTTTACGATTGGCATACATATAGTGCAGAGCAGTTAGAACGATCCCAGCATTCAATTGTTTTTTAAATAAAATTTGTCACAGGTGAATCCCTTGGAGATGCGTAATGACGATGAAATACGAAGACAACAAAGAAAGTTGGAGGGCGTAGCTGCTCCTCTTGGAGACAGCAGTGAAAACAGTCAGCTGCTACAGAGGCTTCTTTATGAGAAGTATACAGGTATTAACTAAGAGCTTCTTAAACTTTATTGAACAAAACATTTGTTTCTGGTAAAGCTAATTTGGATAATGTTAGGGTAGGAGGCTGAAAACCTCATAGCAAACCTTTACATAAATGAATCCCTTACAAGTTATTTTCGGATAGAGCAATTGTCAATTGAATGTCGAAAGTGTTCTGGGTTTTAAAGTAAAACCTTCCCTCTGGGTACACTATTGGGACTTGAATGTAGTTTTTCCTTCAGTGAAGATAACAAGTAGATAGATTACTCAGTGGACGCTCAATTCAGGTCACAGTATCAGATCTAGGAAAAGCGTCCCTTTATTAGAGGTGTACTTTCAATAAAGTTCAGAGGAAGAAAGGTTATACCTTGGCCCCTCCCTTAAGGGTACACCTTCGGCTCTGAAATAATGCCCCCTTAATATAGATGTTATAAAGGAAAGTTCTTAGACTTTTTTCAATGGAACGATGCAGTAAATCACTTTTCTGTTTTTTCGATAGGAGTACAAGCCAATGGTAAACCAGTCACGCTTCTGAGCCCAGTTGATAGGTTGCTACCCCTGTCCGAGAAACTTGTCAGCAATGTCGAGGCAACTTTGCGAGATGTTGTACAAAAGGCCATCGAAGAAACCTTTTCGAAGTTCCCAACACTTAAAAAAGCAGTTGAAGCGAAAGTTGTCCGCGAGATTTTTGACGAGAAACGCGAACAGACCATGGAATTTATCCGACAGTTCTTAGAAATGCAGAAAAAGAGCACCGATATTGTTTTCGCCCCAATCCCCACACCTACTGAGATAAACACCTGGGAAGCGGTCCCCTTTAAAGATCCCTCCAAGCTTCATCCATGCATGATGTCAAAGACGACTTCTCACTTGAAGTATCTCGCGAAAAATCTATACCCCGAGAAGCTGCTAAATGAGATTGAAGGTTCTAGCCCAAGCATACATATGTATAAGGTGAGAACAAAGAATTTTCAGGGGTAACTTGCATGATGGAAAGCCTCTCAAGCCAGGGTTACGTCCATTCTTTTTAAAAACACATTAGCATGTCGGGTAACGATTGTTGCGGTTGAACATTATGCAGGACTTTTGTGTTGAATACACAAACAAGGTATTTTGTATGTTGTTACTTGCGTTGAACCAAGCGCGTGACCTTGAGCATGATGGGATTGAGTTCGAAGTTTCGTTAGAGGGTGATATTTGTCTTCGGTCCACACCTTGGGCAAACAGAAGGTAACAGCTTCCTTTAATTCTTTATTTTTAAATGGCGCTATTTCTTGTGAGTTCAGTGCACGTAAATTGGAGTATGTTCCAAGACATTTGCTGTCTTAATGGCGTTCAGCAAGGTAGCGAGTCAGGTTTGGTAACGGGTGATGATATGATGTAGGTGTCCCGTCACCAGAGAGTGAAATGAACACCAACTTTTTCTAACTGTTAGGAATGTTTCCGATTGACACCAAGAGTACTCAGGTACACAGGCAAATTTTCTGAGGGAAGCATTATCGCTCTTTTTCTTAGGAACAGCTGCAGGAGGAAATAAAGAACGTCAAAAGGAACGTGGTGCGATGTTTCAACGTGCTTAAAATGAATGTGTGTGACACAGTTCCCCGCTGCATCCTGCATTTTTTCGTCTCACAGCTGGTAGATGATCTTGACCGCGCTCTGGAGAAAGAAAACTTGGTTGAGTTCTTGAAGGAAAGGAAGGACATCCGGGACAAGCGCACCCTGTGTAGGAACCAGTCCTTGGCTTTGAAGAATGCACTGCCACGTACACAAGACGTCCTGGATAAACTTCTGCGCATGGGATCTCCCCAAAAGGACGGGAAAATGTAGCTGAATGGAATGCTTTTATTACTTAGCCTTTTCAAGAAATTATTATCTAGCTTGGGGTTTCTTTCAATTTTGCTTGGAATTCAAAATATTATCGTCATGCCCGGTTGCAATCGGTAGAATATAAGACCTAATTAGTTATAGATATTTCATGTGTATTCTATGTAGGAGTTAATTCTGAATTATGCTTAACGTAATAACGTTTATTCAATTTTAAAATGATTTTTTAAAGAAGTATTTAGATCGCTCTCATTAGCTTTTTTGATTTTTAAACTTAGAAGCGTTTAGAATCAAACCCAGGTGCTCGCGTTTTAATGATATTCTTTCACGTTCTAGGGGGGATCTTTAAAAAGCTCAGCATACCTTACTGAGATCTTTACCACCATAATATTCGGCTATTTAGCAGATCTATATATATTGCACCAACTGATAGGCAATTTAATTGTCAGTCATTCAAAAGGAAACAATAAAGGCAAGTTGTGTATTGTGGAGTAAACCACAGTCTCTGTGTGGACTCTTCTCTCGATAACCAAGAGAGTAGAACATTGGTAGACGCTGGACTCGGATGGGATGATGTCAGTTAGTGGATTTGGTTAACTCTGTGATCAATTAGCCCCATTCCACTAGACAACCCTCCTGCCAAATAACTCTAACTTTTCACTCATTCTCTGAAAAATTCAACTAACCGTTTACAAGGAAATGGCTAACTCATCGCGGGTAACCCTGTCAGGCGAGAAAGACATTTTATATAAGATAGGTAAAGCATGACCTTTACGCTAAAGAGGAAACAACAAAGATGATCACGTAACAAGTTTTTCCCGCCAATTTTCATTTTTCCGTTTGCTCTCTGTCGTTTTCAACGTGAAGGAGTATCAAAGTGTATTCTTTAATGCAGTTGTGAAGCATAAAAAAATCGCGTGCTTCGAGGCGAACCTCCATAACTCAGGGACCGCGCAGCAAGTTTTGAAATAGGGGGGGGGGGGGCGGGCTATTTTGGGCTCTATTTTTGTTAGGATATTTTTTATTTAATTTTTTTTTATGTTTGCAAAAAAGTGGGGGGGGGGGGCGCTAAAGCTCCCTTAGCCCCTCCCTCTGCGCGGTCCCTGTTGCTGCTTCCTTGAGGTAAAACAACTGTCTTGTATTGACTTTAACTGGAAAGAGCGAGCCTTGTACTCTATTTTGTTTTTAAAAAGCATTGGTAAGTTTTCAACAAATAAAGCAATTTTGTGCCGCCATAGTGACTGTTAACGTAGGAAGATTTGGAGAAGTTGAGGATAAAATTTCCGAGTGACTAACAATTTTTTTCTTGACATAGCGAGGATTTCTGAGCGTGACGTTACATGTGACGTCATTTTATGATCTACAGAGCACACCCCAACCACTTACTCTTACTAACTCCTTTTAGAATTCACCCCAGTGTAATTAATGTTCAAATAGTGTAACAAGATAGAGACACTCAATAAAAAACACTTGGTGTTTATAACATTTGTCTGTCCAAAAAAGACAGCGAATAAAAGATTAGTACCATCCCATGATGAATAGCTCCCACAACAACGGTAACGTCTATTGTTTGTGTGTTAAAATACCATGGAAAACAAGAAGAAATATAAGTAAAAACTGAGCAATTTTGGATATTGAAAACCTTTCTTCCAAGGTCGATTTTTCCTTAATTCCTTAAAATTCTCCCATTTATCACTGCGTATCCTAACACCACGCAAGGTAGAGCCTTGAGAGACATTTGTGGATCAAAACTGCCTCTCGACGATCGCAAGAATGCCTCGATTCATTCAACTGACATATCCATTATCTTTGGGCGGAGGACGCCTCAGCCGGCTGCACTCGTTTGCACGTGCGAAATGCATCATGATATTTGATGTCTGCTACACCTAGTTTTTTGCCTAGGATATTGTGCACCAAGATCGTGACGAACTTCCGGTCGTGCTGACGTCATCGTCGTCATCAGATTCGTCGCCTGCCGGTATGTCGTCCTCATCCTCGCTGCTCTCCGTGTCACTAAAATCCGGGAAACTGAAGCGCCGGATATGCTTAGCTGTGACGTAGCAGTCCTCTGTTTCCGGTCTGTGAAAAAAGAGAAAATTTGGTTAACTTTTCCTGACAGCTATGGAAAGCTAGTTCCGTTTGTCATTGAGCAACAAGTATATCACTTTAATAGTTCCAAAAATTACTACTTCTATCGTTCTTGGTTGTCTTCAGCTGATTAAAGTTAGTTTGGGAACCGTCTATAGAGAGGTTTATGATATCACCTGTCTTCGTTTGCTGTTTTGACCAAAATTCCCCTTACAGCTTTTTCCTTCAACCCTCTCCACCCCAAAATAAGTATGCATATTCTCCACACTGTTCTCTATAAATTTTCCTAACGCGCTGACAAGGAGAATTTGTTTGACAATCAAGAAACTTCTTTAACTGGTGATCATATACTTAATACTCGTGACCTTGATGTTTGATTCATAGGTGATATTGTAAGGAGAAACTTGATGCTGGTCACTTAGGGTTCAAACGGTTAAAAGGCTTATGTGTATTATCGTTGTTTTCTTTGATGAGACAGTCATTTAGGGTGTGAGCGTCAATTTGAAAAGGCATTCGCATAAATTAATTCCTCAAATCTCACGATTCCGGTTACTGCTTCGATGCTAATTAGTCTTGGAAAGGATCAAAATAAAACTGAAGATAAAGCGCGACTGAAGGTACGCATTATGACTTCTGTCAGCTACATGCACCAAGGCGAGATCCGGAGTTAAACATTTTTTGCCTTTTGAAAACTCGTTTGTCTCCCGACTAATGCTAAGAGAGAGTGAAATTGAAAGAAATGTTACGGGAAAAGAAACCTTTATCTACCTCGATCGTTTCTTGACCTTTGAACTCGGCAACTGATCCCAAAGTTTCAGCTCCACTCCTCCCGTGCACATCCTGTGAAGGGTCACGTGATCGCGTGCTGTCTGCGTGCATGATAGGCACGTGATGCTTCCGGTGTTTCTGTCGTCTACGGTTGCTACATATTCCTCTGAGGGTAAACTGCGAACTAAACCAACGAAAATGGGACAAATTAAACTGAGTTCAAGATCAACCAACAAACCTGCTTAAATGATCTGTTAGGAGCAATTTTTTGAGTGCATTGATTAAATTGGTTTGATTTCCTTCTTTGATTGGCCCACAGGACTCACTCAACCCTTCATCCAATCAAATGCAAAACTGGAACCAATCAAGACAACGTCACACGAATTTCCCCGCACTCCACACACGTCACCTCTCTTCACTTGAGTGCTCACTGGTTCTTTGAGATATTTTTTTTATATTCTAATTGGTAGCCAGCCATGTTGCCGTTTTTCAAGGGCGAGTTAATGTTACATGCTCGCAATCATTTATTTGACCGGCCATGTTTGACTTAGAGTTAAAGTGGACGGTGTGGCTAGGAGGCGGGGTCCGGCCCCTGCCTCTTTCCCCTCCCCAGCCTTCCGCTGCCGAAGATGGCGGCTTTTTTTTTTCACCAAGAAGAAACATGTACTGAGCACTCGCTGGCCAAAGTTACGTCTCGTCTAAAGGCTATCTAATTTGCCGATGTTAGTATGCTCTTGTGATCTGACTCGAGTCGAGTTTTACTGGGTGTGCAAAGAGCGTGAATAGCTCTTTTAAAGCTATAGAATAATTATTCATGCAACATCATGAAGCCATGATGTGAGGCAACCACACAGAGCAAGGTAAAAAAACCCAAGCCATACCATTCAAGTATCCATTCCCACGGTCCAGGTCGTAACCAGTGCTAACAAGACACGAACCCGTCGTTTCCATGGCACCTGTCGACCCGAATTCTGTTACGTGATTACGAATCTTTCGGAGTTTACCTAAGCGGTGAAAAAGAAAAATTAGTCAGGCATCATAGGATTAGATTTAGGCATGACCAGAAGTAATTCAAGTAAATTTATGCGATATCTGTACCTGATTTCAAGTCCATTGCCTTCATGTTAACTCCATCATCTCCCCAGTAAATTGTTTCCTCTGTTGTTGCCAAGCAACGCACCCTTCTGGGTTTGACGGTCACACCCGCGGTAGTTTGGCCCACAGGAGCCTGGTCCGAGCTCATGACAGGCTTAAGAGAATTGTCTCTCACGTCCCAGACTTTCACCACTCCACTGGCCGAGCCACTGATCACACGGTCGTCCTGGAACTAGAGGATAAAATAATAGCCAAAAAAATATTTAAACGAAGTCCAGCAGTTTGAGCAAGAATTATGCTCTTTCTAATTTTTTAAAAGTAAAAACGCATGTACTCCTTTCACATGAAAAAAAATCAAATTTCTCTACATAACCTTTGGCTAAGCCTAAAAGCAACAAATTCGTATATATAAGAGCGAAAAGTATCATTTCATGAATGAACTTCGCTTAATTTTTCTAAGAAAGTAATAATTAACAGTTTCCAAACCTTTTGTCGAAACCCTAATCATACTGCATTACTTTTCAGGCCCAAAAATCAAATGATAATACTAAGCATTCCATGACCAATCCCAGCTTTTTAAATAATTACTGGTGCCCCTTCCCCATACTAGGGCTCCTGCCCATACCTATTTCCAATTCCTGCTTTTATTAACACCCGCGAACATCAGCCGAAAAAAATTAAAAAAACCAGTCTTCATGCGGGTGATTTCCGCTTGTCCGCCTACAAAGACTATGTTACCATGGATACCTTGATGGCCGTGACGGCATCTTCATCGTGACCACGCACAGATCTCACAGCATTTCCGGTCTCAAGGTCCCACAGCTCAACTTTACCGCCATCTATAAAATTACATAATAGTTTTTGCCTTCCACTATTTATAAAACATACAAGACCATTCACTCGGATTCACACGATTAATTGAGAGGTTCTTTTTTTATTTGAAATCAACGGAGTTTCGCCGTTTCTCTGACAGACGAATATATTTGTCACTCTGCGACTCACGATTAAAACAGATCAACAGATCAAATATGTTAACTAATATCAGTTGGTCATTAAAGCAACAATTCAAATGTATACACAGAAAAAAAGCTTGTTAAGATACAAGTGATACTGAATTGCCGTTCTAACTCTCATATTCATAGTTTTTTATGTTATGTTTCGCGTCAGTTAAACCAAGAGTTCGATTATTTACACCATATTCTGTTGTAACTGATATCTTGAAGACCCCAGCTTAGGCTGACGCAATAAATTACTTTGCTTGTTTCTCACACAGAAAGTACAACTGATCCAGCGACACTCAGTATAAACACTTCGCTTATGACGTTCTGGTTATGTTTAAGTTATGACGTCCGTCTTAAAGTCTACGCGTTGGCAAACTAAGGGAACAAAGTTCGCTCGCTTATAGGAACGTGATCAACATAACCACATCACATGCTAGCATAAGAACTTTGACCAACCTAGTCCAGCCGCTGTTAGATTACGGCGACAGTCGAGGCATTCAACAGGTGAAAAGGCATACATGGATCGCTCTATCTGACCTGAGGAAAGTGAAGGAAGAAATCACTTTACAATGAAAAAAATTTTACTGCGCAATGAGAATTATGAAAGGGAAAATCCTTCGAGCCACAAGTATCTACAAATGAAATCGAAAACGAAAACATATTCACATCACTTACGGACAAATCCCATTTTTGAATAGAAAGGAAATAGTACTGCTCTCAAACCACTGCTAAGATTTTAAGAGCTTTCCAATAAACAAGTATTTATTCCCGTGTTATAGTAATATGGATGTAGTTGCTGAAGCGGGTTCCCATCCTGTTATGCAAATACGTAACTCTCGAGGGACCAATAAAACAATTGTATTACGTCTGCGGTATAAGTAAACATAATACTTAGACGTAGAGATTGAATCGATCAAGCGATTTAATTTATCTTCCGTGACTTCAAACGTTTTTCGAGTACAATAACACGAACGAGAGAAATAAACATCTGATCCCTGGCAACGTTAAGACTCGTTAAAGAGACGTTTTAATGTAATAACGTGATGGAGGCCACAAACGCGACTCCATAACGTGACAACAAAAATATCACGTACAAAGTCACGTTGACAATCCAGACCGATTGTCGCGGTCACGATGCCAAGTAAACAGCAGAAATAAAGAAATTTTGCAGGTACAAACACTGAGGAAATTATACCACGGAAACGACCATATGATCCACCTCCCATCTCTTACTGTTTTAGGTATAAGAGAGGATACAGAGGGCGTGTTTGGGGGAGGGAGAGGGGAGTTGGTAAGGCGTCGGCAACCTAGTCACGCGGAAAAGTTCATGAATCTCTCTTCACTAAGCACGCGCAACGTAACCATGTTAAAGCGTTGCATCCCAGCAAACAACTGCTTAACTTACCGTTTGAGAGAGACCAGATCTTCATGGAGCAATCTTTTGAGCCCGTGACAACAGAGTACTGATCAGGTCGAAAACTGGAAGACACTTCTAGGGAGACAAAAATAGCAAGAAATGTAAAGACAAGACAGGTTGATAGGAAAACTAGAAAATGACCGCCAGCCACGGCGACAGAAAGACAAGCAGGGCTGACGAATAAGATAACTCTACGGATGAAATAAATAGGAAATTTAGACAGGAAGATCGAATAGAACGGGAAGTATATGAGGCAAATAGAGCAACAGAGAAAACACAGGTAAACAAAAGGATGGACAGATGACCGACAGAAAGACCGTCTGACCGACGGAGACAGATCTACAGATAGACATTGCAAAAGACGAAAAAAGAGGATCATTTTCTAAAGAAAAAAAACCGAAACTGTAGTGCTGCGTCGGTGGGAATATTACAAGATAAATTGGTATTTAACAACTGAGTGGATAAGTACAGTTTCCAAAGCTGACATTTCGAGGGTAAACCCTTCGTCAGAGCGAATGACGACGCTCGAAACGTCCGCTTCAGAGAGGCTGCAACACAAAAAGAGGGTTGAACATAGTTGTAAGGGGGATCCTTTCAAGGGTGAGGTCTTATAGAGAAAAATATATAGATAGACACAGACAGAAACACAGACAAAGAAATATCAAAACCACTCTCTCACCGCAGGATGATGTATCCCTTTTCGGCAGAAGGAAAACTGATGTTATGGAACCAGTATGACCTCCCAAGCTCTTCACCTCTTTCCCTGTGTCAGCATTCCACAACTTTAGCATGGTGTCGCGACTGGAAAAAAACCGGTAACGTTGCAAAAGTGAAGTAGAATATGAACAAAAAGTTTAGGATCGATGTCAGTATCTGTGCAACTGCGCACCTACCCCTCCCATAACCCGACAACCATCAACTGATAACAGGTTGGGGTTAATGTTGGGTTAGGGGAGGGGAGGGGAGGGGAGGGTTAAGAGCGCAAATCTCAGATACTAACATTGATCCATCCAAAATTTCTTACGTTTTAAAAATCGAGTTGACTTCGAGACAAACTTGAACCTCCTCACGGTTTTTGCCTTTGTTTTAAATATATTTCTCGGAATACTTAAAACTACCAACAAAAGTGAATCTGAAAATAGCACTTTGGATAAAAACTAGGGAACCAAGGAGTGACCAGCATCTATCTTCTCCTTACAATATCACCTCTGAATCACACATTAAGGTCATGAGAATAAAAGAAATGATCATCAAGTAAAGAAGCTCTTGAATTCTCCTTTTCAGCACCTTAAGAAATGATAAGAGAACAGTATGGAGAATATACATGCTGGTTTTAGGGTGTGAGGTTTATGTTCACGATTTAGCTTAACTATGTTAGGTATGATAAGAAATAAGACATGATTGGGAAATCCAAAAATTAACAGTTTCCTGTACTATCAAAAACAAACAAATAAAAAATAAATAAATAAACACAATTCAAATATGAATGATAAGGGAAAAAAAAATTTTCGTAAGAAAAGTGTATCGTCTTATGCGAATGGACAACTGTCTCAAAAAAAGTATGTTATATGGAATTATTTTACATGTTTATGTATAATGACGGATAAAGATTCATGCGCTATTTGGGAGACAAATAGATGCATACATGTATAACAGATTGCCTTCAAACATTTTGAGAAACCCCTGTCAATAAATCAAAAAGACACTAGGGTTGAGCTACAGTTACTCGTGTGTAATTTCACCACCTAAATGGAATTGCAGTTCAAAAATATTTCATAAGTTAACGACCATTGAACTTAGACTGCTTTTCTTCTACGAGAAAACAACAGCCTATGCTATATTTCCACGATTTACTGATCTGGAGGAAAGAATATTGAATATAGGACATTCCAATCAAATATCTACTGGATAATTCGAGCGCAAATTCATTTTTGTCCAAATCTAACGATGCCGGTAACTGAGGTCGATAAGGAATAACAGTACGGCACGATAAGTTGATAACAGGTAACAGAGCCATTCGATTAGTAAAAATACCTGTTCTCATCCTTCCTGAAATTAAACAACATGGCACCAAGTCACTGTGTTGGAACGCTGATAAAATATTTCACGCCCTTTCACCGTTAAATCTTAGCATGACGCTTCTCTGCTGCTTTTGCTGAGTTTGGCCATGGTGTGTGCTATACCTTGCTTATCAACCGGTAAATAACAGCCTCAAGGCCAAAATCTCTTGCAAATTAGATGAAACTAACTTATCATTAAATATTAAGAAATTCAAAGCCGCACATCGCAGCAGTGAACTGGTCTTGCGGCAGGTATGTGAATAAGCTATCACGATAGGTTTTTACTAGGAGTTCACGAGATTACAAAATTCACAACGTGAAGAAATTTGCAACAAAGTACAAACCTCAAACACTATCCTTTTCACACACACGAACTCTAACAACTTGACGAATGGAAATTTTAGATATTAATGTTTTTATTCTGGCCGACGGAATTAACTTGAAAAATAAAAGAAGGCCGACGGCAGGTTCATCGTTCAGATAGAATATCAAGCAGAGGGCTATAGAGACCATGTTAGTATTCCAGGTCATTTCAAACTGACACGATTAAAGAAACAAATAACCTTTTCGCAATATAGCCTGTGTTTCACGTTACTTGGTCAAAATAGCTGCCGCCAACTCAATCTAGCCGCTCTGGTCATGTGACAAACCAGCACCAATCACATCGCAAGTGCTACGATTTACTTGCTGCACTAGGCGTCATAAAAAAAACGATTTTTCTTCGGATTTCTTGCCCTGCTACCCAGCTAAGGCAATGTCTGGATTCGAAATCTGATTAGCCTCTTTGTTTATCGATTTAATAATTTTATAAGGGATGGGTTGTCTAACCCTACAAATCTGATTAGCCTCTTTGTTTATCGATTTAATCATTTTTTGAGGGATGGGTTGTCTACAGGAGATTGTAAACTGATAATCTCTTGTTTGTCTAACTTTTTTCCGTTTCATCGAAGTCAACTGAACATAACAAATTTTACCGTCCAAACTAAATACCGCAAAAGAAAATTAATCCAAAAGAAATTTATGCAAGTTTTTCCAGTGGCCTTATGCCGTTTTTCTTTGAGGGAGATGCTCATACAACGTACACAGGTATTCTTATCATCACACAGAAGTCTTCAAATTACGGATTTGATCTCATATCCTACGAATTAGCTCCAATAGTTGTAAGAACGCTTTTGAATTGAGTGTCTTAAAACAAAAACAGCCAATCCAATGAAGGGATATACCTTGAGGAGCTAATAAGAACTCAAAGTAAAACAACCAAACCAAAGCGCGGGAAAACGCGGGCGACCAAGTCGTGATTACTTTTAGTTTTGCATCTGATTGGATGAGAGAGTGGCTCCAGTTTTCTCGGCCAATTACAGTGCGAAGGAAAGGAACAACGATGAAACCTCGGATTACTTTCGACCAAAGTATTAGAAACTATTGTTTGGGGCTGCTAATGAAGAAATTGAAAAAATTGTAGCATTCTGTTAGAGTGGAAATGGATAATAGAGGGAAAGTAATATCACTAGTTATTTTAGTGGGGAAGCAGCCTCTCCCTCTTCTGCTTACAGGTCCCCTAACCCTTTTAACTCTCAGAAGTGATTAACATGAAACTTCTCCCTACAATATCTATATGCTTTCCAACAAAGAGTTAATAAGAATACTCAAAGTTATCAGGGAGAGGTTTTTATCTTGATCTCAGACCATATTCTCATAACTAATTTACTGGGGCAATGTGTAACAGCAAGAGGGGAGAATTAACAATCAGATCTTGGAGGTTAAAGGGTTAATAACTACATGGGATGAGGGGGGGGTGGTGTACTGATATCAATACACCATTAAAGTAAAGGCCCCAAGGAATGAATTTTTAAGTAAGGGAGTACAGAGACTGTATTGATAGTGGAGTATTTTAAATCCTTGGAGTGACCAGCATCTCAATTATCCTTACAGTAACACTGCTGAATCATTCATTATTATGATGAGAAAAAAGGACATAATTGCCCAGTACCTAAGAAGCTTGCATTGATAAATGAGTTGTCCTTGTCAGCACTAAAGAGAATGTGTAGAGAAGAGTATGGAGAATATAGATTCTGATATTAGGATGTAAAGGATTAATGACCACAGGGAAACTCCTCTTGGAGTCCAGGGTCATTTTTGTGTTGAAAAGTTTGAAAATTGACCATCTATGTTAGCCACAGGGAACCCTTTCTGAGCATTAGTTTGTTCCTATTGGGAAGAAATTTTGATGCAATTTTTCCTCCAAGGAGTGAAGTGAAGGGGCACTATCCTTATTCCAGCTACTGGTACTTTGGAGTATCATGACATGATCATGGTAGTTTAGAAAAGATGATCTTGGGTGTGTGTATCAACCCTTTAAATTCCAAGTTCAAGATAGAAATTCTTCCTCCTTATTTCCTTAGTTTTCTTCAAATATTTAACAGGAGAATTTGGTCATCTCAAAACAACACCCTGTGGCTGGTGAGCTTGTCTGTTCTCATAACCTGCTAAGGAGATAACCTATAGTAATTGCAGGAAGAAGTCACATGTTCATCACTTCTGGGGGTTAAAGAGTTAAAAAGGGAAATTGTACCAAAAAGCATGTATGACAGTGGAAAGCCATGCAATACTTATCATCAATTGCAAGCTGCACATAATGATACATACCTTCCAGACACAAGAACTGAACCCTCACAGTGTATACAACATATTGCATCGTTGTGACCTTCTAAAGATCTCACATAAAACTTCATATCGCTGTTTAGGGATGGTGACTGCAATATGCAAGTTTTTGTATTTGCCAGCGGAGTATCAGGCACCTTGCCCTGAACAGCACCTTGATTAGTACTCATACTCTTGCTTTGATTAGGTTTATTTTCATCCTGCACACTTTGACTGATAACTTTTTGTTCTGCTCCTTCAACATCAGATGCGAAAAAAGTGGTGGTAGTTACTTCCTCTTCTATTTCTTGCTGAATCAACAGAGCGGGTTCATCTTCTTTTGTTTGATTTTCCATTCTTTGTATTTCCAAATTCAGTTCGTCTTCCCTTGCTACCAATTGCTGCACTTTAGAGCGTATTTCATCTTTTGTACAAAGCTAAGAATGTCAAAAAAAAAAAAAAAAAAAAAGATTATCTATTGAATTTAAAAACTTACAAAGCTGCAAATTGATGGACAAAAGATAACATCAGCATGATAGATCATTCAAAGCAAGTGGGACACACTGCAAGAACCTTAATCCAAGCTTCCATAGTGTGATGTAAAAATAAGTGTTATTTATTTAGTACCTTGTCAGGCATTGTGACACACTTTGCAAGCTTAAGTAGAGATCTTGGTGGGCTGAATTAAAAAATGCATGCTTGTGTGATTGTTCCGACTGTTTTGTTGTCATTTTGTTCAGTTTTTATTTCTCAATGTTTTCCAAAGTGATAATAATAGTAACATAGTTTCTTTTCTTGGACATAACTATCTCTTTGGCCTTTCTATGAGTCATTTTAAGTCCTCTCCTAGTGTCTTGGGCTAATTGACTCTCAGTCAGGCCCAAAACATATTTATGCCCACAAACAAAGACTCTGTTGTTTTATTCTAGCTTGTCAGGGGTTGGGATGATTGGTTCATTGCAGATCACTTATCAGGTCTCCTTGAAAATACACCAGTACCCATGCATATTTCTAGGTGAAAAGATGCATTTTGAATCAAAGTTACACTCATGCTTTTTGCTGGAAATCACCAATAAAATAGCTCCTAATGTATGGCTAAAACCCATACCTTAAATCTTAAGTCCTACACTTTAACTTTTTGGCTCCTGCAACTTCAACCGAACAGACCAGCGAGTAAATCCTTCTTTGAAGAAATATGAGAAAAATCTGTCATGATTATAGGACACTTGATAAGCTGGCAGTGATTAAACAGAAAATTTTTTTAATGGTTTCACATCTTTGGTTCAAACCAAAGCATTTTTGTGGTCAGCCTTGCTCTATCTAGTCATGAACTGTGTGGAAACAGACTATAAATTGTATTTGGTAAATCGAGTATTGAAATTAAAATCAGTGGTTTAAAAGGGAAAAAGCATTGTAACTTACTTGGGACCAGACTCACTATTTATAAAAAATCAACAGATGGGTAAAAATAACAGGCATCGGTGCCAAAATTAACTTTCGTGCTTATCTATCGCTTCCGGCAAAGGTGATCTGTTCTCAACAACGAACTCGTTGATGGCGGAAAAAAAAAACATTCGCGCTCACGGGTAAATTACAGTTAAGCTGAATCAATTCATTTTCAGTAAGTGTTAACCACGACCTCAGTAACCTTTAATTATAATCAAATTGATGAAAAGCAAGTTGACCCAAATCTCTTTTCATTCGTTTTTACTTACAAACTGTGAGCAAAGAAGTATAGTCTGCACTACTGTTTGTAATCATAGCTGCTACGAGACGCGTATTAAACGTGGTTATTGTTTACCATGGCACAGTTTCAGTACGAAATTTTAACTTTCACCATTACCTTAAGATATTCTTCTTCCGTTAATTCTCGCTCTAAGTCCTCTAATTTTTCAATTTGCCGTAGCTTTTTCCTGAATTTTCGTAACTCAGTAGCAACTTTCTGTCTATCGAAGTCGGCCATTATACACGCTGAAAATGATTGAAGACTGGGAATAATTATTTCAACATGTTCCAGGCTGGGGTAGGGTTAGGTTTTTTCTCTCTTCTGTCTACCCTCACGGTGGCCGTGATCCAGCAGCTGGAATGCCAAAACACAATAAACAGCAGGTCATTTTTTTATCTTTATTTTCCCACAACGATTAAAATTTTAACTCATATTGATTTGCCTTTCCACAAGATAACGCTATTAATCAAATCGCGCTTTGTGTATAAAGCTTAGCACTATTCATGAAATCCGTTTTGATACACCACAAACATTTCCATAGTCCATTTTTATTAAGATTTAGGAAGTCAAAACATGTGCTAAAGCGAAATAATTTATACTAGACCATGTCATGAAACAATTAAAATGTTTGATGGACCGTGTGAAATTGTATAATAAACATTCTAAAAGATTTTTCTTTATTTACTGCCGAGTAAAGTTTCTTCAATTATTTTGAATGAACATTTATTGATTTATCATCTTCTGTTATTTGAATACTAAATCTGTGTCCTGAATCCCAGCTGCCTCAATAAACTGCCGTATTTTGTACTAGTATGTGTAAAAAAATTTAATATGGATTTCGTTCTGCTGATTGCAAATAAAAAAGCTATGATTTCATTGGCTGGCGGGTGACACATAGGAGTATATTTCTCGTCAAAGTCGACAGAAGAAAGGGTGTCTCATATGCCAGAGCCATTAGCACAGCTTGCGCCTCGCTAATTGACAAACAGAAATACTCATTCGCTGAATTTTTAGTCATGTAAAGAATCCCTAAGAAAGGTATTCTGTGTCAGTTACGAGTTGGGAAGTACGCGCGGCATCTCGTATCGTTCACCCTTGATCGGTGTTGTTCATGCCTCTTCAGTCAAGAGCCTTAGTTATTATATGTCAAGTGCTGTGACAGTCTTCCTGATGAGTCACTTAAAAGAATTTTAAATTTCTCCTCTTGAAGACAACTTGTTTCGACAGCGGGAACTTGACAATCGATATACCTAATATCTTTTATTGCTGACCTCAATTTTCGCCAACTGTGGGTCAAATGCGAACGTTTCACGGATGGCGGCCAAGCTTAGTTGGATCATACTGCAACTGTTCGCCGTATGGATTCGAATTTGTCGTTCTTCTTGCGGTGACCACCTTGAAGGCTATTCCGGAGACCTTCGTTTTCCTATAAGTGGAGGAAATGTTGGCGAAAGTCTTCGCTGCACTTGGACAATTACAGTGTCAGAGAGATTTCGTGTAAAAATTACATTCACAGACTTTGTTATGGAAACAATATGTTGTTCTTGTACGCATGATTTTTTAGAAATTCGCGACGGGTCTCTTGACAATTCCACTGTTATTGGACGATTCTGTGCAAAAAGGCAACCTAAATTTATTTACTCCACGAAAAATGTTATATGGATTCAATTTACGTCTGATTTTCGTACCTACAGTAGTAATCGTTTTCGGCTGTCATACGAAGCAGTATGTGGCAGCCATTACACTGATTCTTCAGGCACTCTTCGTTCACCCAGGTATTCGTTTCCTTATGAAAACAAAGATTGCATCTACAGCATCGAGGTGCCGAAAGGGAGAATAAAGGTAAAGTTCGAGAGCTTCAGAGTTAATGGTCGAATGCCTGTTTGTTTATATGACTTTCTTGAGGTGAAGGAAATTGGATACTTCGTACTCTCAAATTCTCAAGGAGAATCGAGACGTAGTCGTTACTGCGGCATTAACAAACCGCCAATTATTTATTCTACAAAAGGTAGTATTCTGTGGTTTAGATTCAAGAGGTCAGATGACGGGAAATCACGATTCATAGCTAATTATCGCACCATTTTCGTTGGAGAGGGAACATGTGGTGGAACCTTTAAAGATACATCGGGGTTAATATACTCGCAAAATTACCCCTATCACTTTCCACACGGCCAAGAATGTGTATGGAAAATTCGGGTGGATCCTAACATGCATGCACATTTATACTTTGATACCTTGAATTTTGGATATAAAATGGATGGAGTCTGTGGGTATGGACATTTAGAAATTTATGATGGGTCAGAGGAATCCTCTTTTATAATTGGCGAGTATTGCGGAAATGTTATTCCCAACAAAATCATTTCCAGGACAAATGAGCTCATGATCAAGGCAGTGTCAAGTTACGAGGGAAAAAACATGGGGTGGTTTTCTCTGCATTATGAGTCATCTACTGGAAGTGTTTGTGGAATGTCTAAGTTCACCTGCACAAATCGGCAATGCATTGAAAATGATAAAGAATGCAATGGTCAAAAAGACTGTGAAGATGGTTCAGATGAAGAAGTTTGTCCTGAACAAGCTTCTTCCAAAGACCCTGGTTTTCTGTCTTGGTACAGATTCTGGCCGGTCAGCATTGTGGGAGGAATGCTTATTGTTGGACTATGGCTTTGGAGAGCATGGAAAAAAATTATGGCAGCTCGATCTGAAGTGGACAGACCTCATGCGACTACTCCATCACCAAATCATTTAGAGATGCTCCCTAGTACTTCTGTGGAACCTCCAAGTTACAGTGAGGCTGTTGCTGAAAATGTAGAGCCTCCGCCCACTTATGAAGAAGCTCTCAGAGAACGATTAAACCCTCAGAATAGCATACAAGAGGCTGACTCTCTCAGGGTTCACTCTGACTTAAATACTGGCAACATGGCATTGCCCAGAAATGTAGGTCAAACATTGTCCATGGTAGTTTATGAGGGTTCATCAACAAGTTCTCATGGTTCTCCATATGACAGTCATAGAAAGAGAGGTTATACTTCTCTACACTTAAATGCTCAAAGTATTTAGTGCTCTTTCAGGTTATAATAATAATTATTAGTTCATAAAAATCATATTGTAGTATTTTTTCAATTGTGACAGATAGTTCAGGAAAGATCAATCAATTGTTGGATTTAATCTGGGATTACTTTGGTTCTGCTTGACTGCCTACTGCGATTGATTTAGAAAAATATAGCTACTCTATAGTCAATCAGAAGTAAAATCATCAGTAATCAGAAGTAAAAATAACACCAATTTATACTTGGCCACACCCATTTCCATGATCATGTTTATTTTTCCAAGTTTTTGTTGGCTCCTTTTGATATTTTCCTTTCTTATTGGCAGCTGTCAATTATCTTGGATTTGGTTTTCCTTCACTCATACAAAATGAGCTTTAACTGAATATGTTCCAGTTTGCAGAATATATCCAAGGGTTTTTAGTCAGTTTTTTAAAAATTTTTTAACCTTTTCACTCCCAAGATCTCATTGGTAATTCTCCTTACTGTCTTGCATATAATTCTTACGATGATGGCTGGGAGAATTTGGATCAACTTATAATTCTCTAACTGATATAACTTTCTCCCCAATTTATGAATGAAAACACTTGCTTGGCAGTCATCTTTCTGTGCTGTTAGAGTTATTGTAAACAGAGTTTCAACAACAAAGAAAGGGTTTGAAAAGAGGACATGTTTTAGCTAAGTTATCTGACAAGAACTTCTGCATTAATGATAGCTTAGCTAATTTGAATAAAATGTATTGCAAAAAAATAGGAAAATTACTAGTTGCCAAATCTACTTATATTTCATAATTTACATAAAAATAGTGTATTAACTGTTAGCCATACAGCTATTGACTAGTGTCTATAACAGAGTGCAAAGCAACACTTTGCATTCATTGTCAGAAAAATTATAGTTATTTACAATGAAAATTTAAAAATTTGTTAATGTGTAATTATTACTCATTTTGGTAACATAGATGAATCCATGGTCAACAGTTTACTGTCTCACTAAACAGGCACTTCCCCCTTTACACCCTAACATCAGTTTGCATATTTTCCAAACTGTTCTCTATACATTTCCTTTAAGGACAAGGAGAATTTGTTTACCTAATGAACCAAGAACCCTCTTTAGCAAGTGATCATTTCCTTCATTTTTAAGAACTAGCATCAGTATGCATATTCTCTATGCTGATCCCTCACTTTCCTACAGTAATGACAAGGAGAACTTATTTCACAATCAAGAGCCTCTTCAGTTGGTGACCATTTCCTTTTCTCTCAAGACCTTAAATGTTTTCATTTAGGGGTGATATAGTAAAGAGAAATTTAATACTGGTTGCTCTGAGGGCTTAACTATTGATAGGACTGTGTTGAGGTCAGTGAACTTGACTTCAATAGGTATTAAGGCCAGATATGATGTATCCCCTTAGTGTAGATAGTATGTGCACCCTTATTGGTCGAAATGGTGTGTTTACACAAGAGTATGTAGACATGGTCGTGGGGTCACACTTAATATGTTTGGAATTATTTTTGAGAAAAAGCAGTCAAGGATTTTTTCCAGGCTTACAAATCCTCTTAAAAACAAGTGAAGGGGCAGGACAATTTGAGAGAGTTTTGGAACCCAAGACTCAGTCTAGATTTATCACTCCTACCTAGACCCTGCCAATTTTCAATCATTACCTAGTTCGTTCTTCTCCTTACTTGTTAAGGCCAAGCCCCTTTTCAATCTCTGCACATGTGAGTAGCTATATAGCTTACTGCACCCTAAGTACTATATGTGACACCTAAGGGAGATGAATGATATTAGGTGATTTTGATCTCTAACCATTGATGTGTCATAGTTTTCCTTAGCCTGTGAGCAGACCCTTGTTTTTAGTGCTACAGGGCATGTATTTCTCCACACATGGGTAGATTTGAGACAAATTGGGGAGAGGTTTGTCTAGGGTCTGGCACTATCAGTACCAGGCCCCTCACAGACCTCTCACTGGCTCACATTGCTCATTCCATGGGCAAAGACATTCCCATCTGAAATGCTTACTTCCCCAATATTTTTTAACTGTGTATTTGCCACTTTAGCAGATAAGCTTTAACACCCTCATTTTAGAGGTATGGGTTCAAAGTTCATCTTTTTAAATTGATAATGTTCTTAAAGGGGTCTTTTCTCACATCATTTAATTTATCCAGTAAGGTGAACAGAAATTCAGGATGAATTCCCTCAATCAGGTTATATTGTGGAATAAAGTAACTTGGCAAAGACTTTGTGGCCAGGCAATAAAACAAGTCATCCAAAAGTCCAAGAAGGTTGGCTGCCAAATTACTGTCTGTCCATAATTTTGGAGGGTACTTGTGGCACGCTTGAAGAAACACCATTTTCAAGTGATATGAATGAAGAATATGAGGGCATTTTAGATGCCAGAATCTTATTTGTTTAAAGACTCTGTAACATGTTATAGCAGCAGGGCATTGTGATGCTAATTCCTGTAACAGAAAAAGTTCTACAACGCTGAAAGACAGTCTCCATTCTACCTTTGATTGTCCATTTGGTGAACACTTTCCAACAAGATAAAGATGCTGTTGTTGTGCTTTAACAAAAGCCTCCTCACTGAGCCAGTTTGGCTTTCCAAGTACTGTAATCCACGATGGATATTCAACTGGAAGACAATCATTTAGCAACTCGAATGCAACAACCAAATCACAATTGATTGTAACGCTTTGGAAGTCTAAAGACATGGATAAAGTTACTGCTGGTGGATTGAATTCCAATTGGAATCTCTCATTTAGTAAAGGAATTTGAGCGAAAATATGTTCAATTTGCTTGTACAAGTCGCCTACAATCAACAATGGATTAAGGTACAATTCGCCCCTTCTCTTAGGATCGCTTGGGCCAATAGCAAAGGGGGCCCAGTTTCTTCTGTAATCTTCATCATTCAGATACACGAGAAAGTATCCCTCGCTTGTGTCTTCTTGCTTCATAAGTATGGCAGGACTGTCCTTGATCTTCCGACTTTAACGTCTCGAAACACACAGAGTATATCCATTTCGAATTCAAGATGAGGCTTTCCATCCCCATGCCTATCGAAATTAGGAATATTTACCCCTTCCGCTGTGCTTCCAGTCCAGACGAATTCGACTTCCCTGTAGAGGGGATGTTTCCGTAACGGCTTATACAAACAATTCTTAATCGCACCAAACACGGATGGAAATAATTGTTTTGATAAATCGTCCATAACTTGAAAACCGCCTCCATCTAAATGCTTTTGAAGAGCTTCATTGAGGCTAGCGATTGAATTTCCTGATAGACGATCAATTCCAGCTTCCGCCATGCCGATGCTTTCTTTCAGTGACTACTTTATATATGAAGACACATTTTATCTCTTTCTATTAATGACATGGAAGGTCGTGTTCGAAGGTTGAATAATGCTATCCGCTGAATAAGCTTGAATAAATCTCTAACCGGTGGATGGTGTAGTATGGCCCTGGCCTTAACTCACAAGGCCCTCAACCCGTTACATCCTAAAGTCAGTTTTTATATTCTCTGTACTTTCTCCACACACTTCCTAATGTGCTGATAAGAGAATTTGTTCAACAATCTAGAGCTTCTTAAGTTTGTGATCGCTTCTTCAGTTTGTGATCGCTTCTTCTATTCTCATGACCTAAGTATGTGATTCAGGGGTGATTTGGTTAAGAGAAGATATGAGTCACTCTTGGGAGACAGAGGGTTAAGAACTTATACTAGCTATCTTGGAAAATATGGCTACCAATGTTGGAACTATTAACAACTATAAGACATCTTTGGAAAGTTTACAACAGAGACATCAAATGAGGAAATAAGGTTTCAATATTGACAATTCTAGGCAACAATCCGAGAGAAAATTAGAATAAGCCTTTCACTGTAATTCATGTTCCTTTCAGGAAAGTATAATTGAAACGCTCTCTAAAATACCAGGCATCCAACTGAGGTGTTATGCAAGGAAAATGAACAAGGTATCACAACCACTGTCCCTCCCTGCCCCTCCCCAGAAAAACACCAATAACTTGTACACTGGCACTATGACATTTATTAACTTGTTTCACCAACAATACACTAGTTTTTGGGGTTCATATACACTTTGACTGCCAACATCAAGACTACTTGCATTCTATATTTCCTTTTTCCATACCCAAATATTACTCAATGAATGATTGCTATGATGGTATTCGTTTGCAAAAAGATGTTTACTAAAAGCGGTGCATGTTGAAGTTAGAGAGTCTAGAAATCTTACAAGACTTTGAATACAAACCTCAAGGCTAATTCCACTTAATCATTTCTTACAAAAATTTCATACAAAAATGTGATATGCAGCAGGATTACCACAACAATCACAACTTGACACATACTTGCAGCTGCACATTTTACAGTTAGTGTGTCTAGATGTCTGGTGAGATTCAACTACATGGCAGAAATTTTACTCTTTCTCTAGTTTTCAAAATAAAATAGGTATAAACTAACTCTTAATCTACCAGAAGTGATTAACATGTAGGTTTAATATCTTTAAGATCAAGCTATATCCAGGAAACAGGTGATGTCATTACTCAAACCTATCATGTAGTGATAATTGTGATCTAACATCAAGTTCTCATACCTAACTAATGAGGAAATGTCTGGCAGCTTGAAGGGAGAATTTACAATCAGATCTTGGGAGTATAAGGGTTAAGAGGTCTAAAGAAGGCAGCAATAATCAGTGCATTCTTCCTTACCTCCAGCAGCTGTAATTTATTGTCACTTTTAATTAGTGGTTTCTGGGCTTCTGCCATTTGATGCAGTTCAGTTACGTCATTGTTCTGTGTTCTTCATTGTTATCATTTCAACTTTTGAACTATTTTCCTATCAGAACTGATCAGATTAGCTGTCATATTAAAACTTTTTTTTTCCTTAAAACGCATATTCCTAAAAAAATGGGTCATTTTTCTCCTTTCTCTTCATCATCAGAGTACTAATACATGTTCTACTTTCATACCTACTAAGAAGGGAAAAAGAAAACTTCTTTAATCAACATGATTACAGGTGCTGGGATTCATTTCTTTCCGTTTTTTTTAGACCATTCTAAAAAAATAGAACATCATTTTCCTTTCTTTACATCAGAGTACTACAATGTGTTCTGCTTTCACACCTACTATGAAGGGAAAAAGAAAACTTTTTTAGTCAACATGATTACAGGTGCTGGCATCTGTTTCTTTCTATTATATGACTCAAACTCCCTGGCAACTTTATTGTTTACTCTGATCAACATACTGACAACATCTTCAGTATGGGCATAATCACTAAAAACATCAGCTATAGCTTGGACAAACCAGGAACCTTTAGCCAAATTGTTCCAGGAAACATATCCTGGAACAGTGGAGTAAGCAACTAACATGTCAGCTTCGGCAGGGAGTGATTCTGGTTCTGGCTCTGGTTCCACTGTGTCAGGTAAGTGTGCCTGAAGAACAGCAGCTATTTTTGCCTTTGGAACTGGAACTTCTTTGGTAGACGTATACCCACCATCAGTCACCTCTACTCCTTGATCAAAATCACTTCCACGACAAGCTTGGATAAAAAACATCTTTGGTTTCCCAATGAGATCTTTTGCTGCATAACCATTGAACAATGCCAGAAGATCTGGAATGGACACAAGCACTCCATCAACACCAAAAATTTGCCCTTCCAACCCATGACTAAGGAGACAGACAACAACAGAATCTGCCATTCCATGGTCATTCAATCTTGCAAACTGGGTCAGAGTTTCTTTGAGCTGTTTTGAAGTCTGATTCCTGACCATTTTGACTTTGTACTGAAGCTTAGTAAACAATTCATCAAGTTTTTTTGCATCCACATCAGAGCCACCTCTTCTACTAAGATTCTCAAAATCTACATTGTTAACAATCAAACATAAGCCATGAGGTTCACACTTCATGGAGTAAACCAAGTCATCATCATCAGAACCACGCAGAACATTCTTCTTGACTTGCGATGAAGTAGAGGTATTGGATTTCATAGTCACTTGCTCTGAGTCAATTGGTCTGGTGCCGTCACTCCGCTCCAGTGAGATGCTGCCTCTGTTTTCATCCTGGATCGAGCTTGACACTGCTCCTTTAAGTTAATAAAAAAAAAAAAATGAAAGTAAAAATTTCTCTTTAACCCTATAATCCCTAGGAGTGACTAGAATCTAATTTTCCTTAACAGTATTACTTCTAAACAAAAAAATTAACCCTCTATACCAGTGTTCTCCTTTTCAGGCAGTAACTGGTAATATTTACTGCCTGTAGTACCTCCTATTAACATTAAAATTGCTTGGAATTCTTGAAAATTTAACAATTAAAAGGATTGCTTTACTGGTTTGAAAATTTATTTTAACTTCTCATGCTTAAAATAAGGGAGAACACTGCTTTCCCCCAACATCAGTATGTTAAAATTTTCTCTTTACAGTTCCTATGGTAGATAATTTGACCGACAGTCGAGAGCTTTTTGAGTGTATCTTCTCCCCATGATATTCATACATTATCCCATAAACAGGTAATAAGAATACTCAGACTTATCAGGTAGAAGTCATCTTGGGTTAAAACCAAATTCTCACAAGTAATTTACAAGGTTATGTGTAGCAGCTGAAGGGGGTGAATTAACAATCAGATCTTGCAAGTTAAAGGGTTATAATGAAACTCTTATCAACCATTACTTTGAAAACCTTTCGGGTAAAAAGAAAAAGAACCTAATCAGTGGTCTGAGGTCCATAAATATCATGCAAGGAAAACACAATCGTAACTTGTACAATGGTGCTCAAAACGTTTAAAACGTATCATGGAAACTGACAAATTAGAGCTGTGTAAAATATTTTGGGCCAAGGGAAGTTCCAGAGAGTTACATACTTATTACAACGATTAGTAAGAATCAATAAGCTTAGCCTTATTAAGAGAGCTTCTAACTCTAATCAAAAGAGAGACTGAAAGTTACTACATACTTTAAGTCATAAAACACGTCATAACGAACGTTCATTATTTACCAGAGGCAGGTGATCCATTCGTCTTAAACAAATCCAATAGGTGGTCTTGGCCGTCAGTTTGTTCAAGAGCTCGGCAAAACACATCAAAAACTTTCGGTCCACGACGAGGAAGAATGTCCAGAAGCTTTTCCGCTTGAGCTTGTCTCGTGGGTTTTGCCTTTATGGTTTGCATATCGTTTTCCGATATACCTCCCTCCTGATATAAAAAATTGGATAGCTGGGTAGCTTCTAAATCTTCTACTAGTAACATTCTGTTCTTTCTCAACAAGTCTCTGTGCTTTTTATCCATCTTTCCACAATTGTTTTCGTTCTTCCCGGATTACCTTGAAACTTGCCCAAACGTAAGACGATGCGTCTTCTTAAGAGGCTTTCCATTGGTTTATTTGCGGATAGAGCTCACCAGCCAATCAGAAAACGTGTCAAATCGATGTCAAAGAAAAGCGCAAGTGTGTTTCTTGCGGTCAGTGGTAAATACCATACGCGGCTTGATATAGAGTGTAAAACCACAGTTCTGTCTAGTAGCAGCTCGCGCAGGGTCTTGTTTGGTTAGTCCACTGTTTGCAAACTTACGCGGACTTCAGCACCAGATTTCTTGCGATCCCGTCTGATAACTGATGATTCTGTTTGATTGCGGACAGTTGCGCCTGATTTCATTCATTTTACAACTGATCTAGAAGGCGAAAGCTCTACTGAATGAAGATGTTATTAACAAGCTATTATCGAATAAATTCGCTTTTAATATCCATTTTCTCCGTAGAACTTATTTGATCTTATTTCTTACAAACCTGACCTTGTTTAACTAATAAGGGCAAAAAGGGGGCACTTGCTATGTCTCAAGTGATATCAGGAACCCATTACTCAAGTAAAATACAACTTTTCGGTCATTTTCTTAAACGCAAAATCCCAACAAGTGGAGAAATCCTCCTTCCGCGCGTGTCTCAAGTCGATCGGATGAACTGCGTGCATGCGAAGCAACTCACTTGAAACTGCTGACTAATCTCTCTTTCCAGGATGCTTAGCAACAAATGAACATTTTTTTTACCAACCACAATCTCAAGTGCGAGAATTGACTTTGGATGACAATTTCCTGACGTCTGCAAGCAATTATTTTTTGTCTTTCTTTTTTTTTTATACGATAAATAAAAGATGGATGGCATGTTACTTGCCCCAGTCTCCTCTTTAATTCACTTTCAGTGTTCTGGGTGTTCTCGGTGGGGATACCGAAAACATTAGTGTTTAGTGTACCTAAAGCACGGGGATATCCAAAACACTGAGATAACGGGGATAGGTTTATCAGGGGTTTGGCTCTAATCAGTACTTTAATTACCAGACCTATCGATCGCTGACTCGTGTCGCTCAAGTCTTCATACTTTCTGGTGGGCAAAGAAACACTCGCGCAGATGCATTGATAGTAAGGTTCTGCTCGTAAGCTACTGATTTTTGGCCTGTACTATTACATTAATAATTTTATCACCATAATAAATCACACTCCGTTTTTGTCGCCAAAGCTAAGGAAACGAGGCTTGAGGGAACTGGTTTCAGTTTTTGTCTATTAAAATTTCGACATCTGAAAGCTGTTGATTAATTTGCATCTCAGTTTATTCATTCTTGCCTTGATTCTTTCTACTGCTTTGTTTTTTCTTTTTTATCTGTTCGCGCGTGATTACAGCGCGAGGTTGATACTTTCTATTAATCAGATTGCCTCTGTGACGTTTAATTACCATTTATTAAGAACATGGATTGAACACGAATTGACTAAGCCACCGTGCAGTAGTGGCCGGCAAAGATAATCCATCCTGGTATGGATTTTTTGCCAGAAATAGTCATTTTAAAAGTTTTTTCTTTTCTTCCTGTTGGGGATCTGGGGAAAGCTGCTAGAGTCTGCAGTTATTGGCGCCGGCTAGCGTACGATCATTCTCTTTGGAAGGCTGTTAACTTGAAACGACAAGCTGCAAAACTCGACGAAGATACCTTGCACATGCTTATAAGGACAAGATTTTCTCATTCTCTCTCTATTCTTCATTTGGGTGGCTGTAAAATTTCGCTTGAGCTTCTCAGCGAGCTGAACAGGAAATGCAAAAGTTTGAAATATTTAATATTCAGCCGAGGATCAAAACTACGACCGCCAAGTCCACCTCCGAAATACACCGAAGTCACCTATGAATTTCCTTCTCAACTGGAATTGGTGGAGTTGAGGCCGATTAAAGGAGACTTTGCCTTCTTAGGGCGAATAATAAGACACTTTTGTGAGGTGAAATACCTAGGCATTGGAAACAATTCCTCGAAGGGCGCGGTCCCGTCTTTGTTCACCAAAATGCAAAGATTGGTTATACTTGACTGTACGAACTGCGACACAATTACAGACGAAGTTATCGGTAAAGTGGCCGAGTGCTGCCCTTTACTGGAATCATTTTGTTTAAACGGATGCAAATATGTCTATGGGCGAACATTTTGCACGCTTTTCCGATCGTGTTCTCGATTGACTACGCTGCTTCTTCGTTACACGCCGGTGCGTGACGATTGTTTCGTGATCAGCGACTGGAAGTTCGTCCCTGTGGAGGAATTAGATATTTCAGCGTGCTCTAACATAACACAGATAGGCCTCATTAGCCTGGTTACAAACGTGAAGACTTTGAGGTATCTCAACTTATCGTACTGCGGCGTCGGCCGAGCGGTAACAGACGCAGTTTTGTTACAGATTGCGCGACAAGAAACAGGAACAAACTTAGAAATGTTAGATGTAAGATGGAGTCTTACATTGACGCCTGAGGCTTTATACATTTTATCCCGAGCCTGCCCTAAACTGAAATGCTTAGGGGTGTATCAATCTTCAAGCATCAATCCATCGGCCATGGCAGAAGTTTTAAGGATGCTTCCTAGACTAGAGGTTCTGGAATACGGCGCTTTCGGCAAAGCTAGTATTTCCGAGAGCATGTTCTTTCCAAACCTTATAAGATATTGTGAATTCCTCGAGGCTGTGTCGCTTATAAACTTTGCCTCGATGGATTCTGTCGCGGACGCTGTGCTAATGAACGCACTGGTCGACAACTGTCGTTGTTTGAAACGTATAAACCTTTGTGAGCCAGATCCTACTTTACTGGATCTGGTACAAGAATTACCCCCCTCTTCTAAAGCCAAGGTGACCCAAAGATGGCAATGCGTTCTGCCTCCGCCCAACCACACCCTAGATGCGATTATTGCCAAATTGAAATACAGCCCACCTCATCCGCCCTCCATTTAGCGGTTTAGATAAAAACGGTCTTACAACGTGAACTTATTCATCTGCTAGAAATATATTGGTTTTGCTGTGCTGGTTTTGTGATAGTGACAAATGCAGCTGTTACTGAAATTTCTTTAAAACTGGAAGGATATTGTTAAAATGATCTTCGATTTTCATTTCTTCTTGTTCAAATTTTCATCATTTATCATATCGATGCTGGTTAAATTAATGCATGTATCATCCGGCCTGTAGTTCGTTTCAGGCCGGGTTAGAACATTTATGACCGTTAGGAGAAGGTTTGAGTTTTATTTCAGGAGTCAATGCTAAACGACAATAATTCATGAATATATGAATATTTAGGAATCATTTTGTGTATATCGATGTAATAAAATGGCACGTATTTTGTTAAATTTCGATTTTCCTGGTTGATTTTAGATTTGCCGGAATTTGTAAAAGTGTAAATACTGAAATTACGCGCTGTCAGACGGCAGGGGAGGGTGGAGGGTATGGTACAGAGTGAGTTAAGCTTTTCGATCGAATCCAGTTTCCCCTCCTCCATTTGATCTAGATTAGGATGGAGTTTCGGGAGCACTCGCATCTCTACTAATTGAATTACTTAATGCTAGGAAAGTATAGGTTTGATTTCTCAGTGGTTGGTGCTTGAATCATGGAGAAAAAGATATCATCAATTGAGTGTCGAAAGAAATCCGGAATTACTTGGGTTTTGCTTTACTCCATTTGTGATTGGTCCAGAAATCTCGCTCCTATCTCTCCACCAATCAGATTGAAAAGGAAAATCAATCATGACTCGATCACACGCTATTTCCCACACTTCAGATGGCTTTCTTTTACCATGAGTTCTCATCGGCTCTTCGTAATATTTTCCCTTCTTCTGGTTGGCCGTTGGGATTCCCTTGGGTTTGGTTTTACGTTACGCTATCGAAATGTACTCTAGCATGAATAACTGATTGTTACTGAAGGATGAATCGTTGAGTAATAAGCTTTGTGGTTGACAACGATTGTCCCTAGTGTTCGAGAAATTTCTAATGCACTTATTTCAATACGGAATATAAATGGGTAAAATCAGTATTATTTCTTGTTAATTAACGATACACACTGTCTACAAACTGTGCAGAAATGTTGTAAGCTAAGATGAATCTTTTTAGATATATTACGGTCTCTGAAAGGGGATACTTTTTTTGACAAAGAAACGAAAATACAAATATTATCAGAAAATATTGCATTTAATTCTTAAAAAATTAGTTATGTGAAAAACAACACAAACTGTTAAGGTAATGATATCTAACCATTCGTCCATAAATTATAAATGAGTTGTGACAAAATCTGTGTAATTATTTTAAAACAAAGGCACGGACTCATAATTAGTTGAAAATCGATCAAAAACGGAATTTTTGTAAAGTGTTCTGTTACTTTTTATTCGCTATATGATGTTCAGTGTCGACCACGTCGTTTTCCTAGACGGCGATTCGAAGCGATCAATTGAGAGGAATCTTGGAAATTTTTACACCAGAAGATTCTAATATCGCTGCTTGTATAAAGAGTCTCATTAGAAGCTGTTGTAAATTCTCGTGCTGTATGTGCTGCCAAAACTGTTTCTTTTGTTGGAGGGGATTGTTCTTTCGAGATGAATTTCTCTTGGAAAAGTGAGTCGAGTGTTAATTACATACATTTAGTTTCATTTGTGTAGCATCCCTTGCTGATTACTTGCGAGATTATTAATCTAAATGCTTCAAAACTATGAGAGAGAAACTAAGTTATAGCTTAAACCAAATACAATTTTATTCCAATTAGTACAGAAAAGTGTTATAAAACTTTCGAGCGAGAGTTATTTACGTTCATATCATTACTAGCTTAGAGCATGTGGAAGAAAATGTTCTAAGTAAATAATTGAATCTTTTCCTCAATGAAAATAGGAACTCTCTAAATAATGCAACTGATAAACTGTCGAATAGTGAGGTTTCCACTGAGTTCGCTGTGTAGATCTGAAAAGCTATTTGTAACTTTCCCCAAATGTTGAGTGAAATAGCACAACATACGACATGTTGAATAAATCGGCCTGACCAAAGTTTGTTTTGCATCAGGTAGACAATACAC